AGCCCCTACATGCAGCATATTTTTTCCACATTTAAGCAATTAATATCCTCACTGTTGTAATAAACCAACGAGTTGCAGGCAGTTTCCATATCCCTCTAATAAACGAATTATCATGTACTTTTAATCAATCATCCTTTATATTTACGTCTGAAATATTGTTGTTTATCCTTGAAAAATCTTTCAAACTTTTATTTAATTTATTTTAAGCAAACTCGATAGTTAGGAAAGCTATCATCTTAAGACAGGTAGGTTAATGTAAAATAGAGTACAGGAGAGTGACGAGCTTATGAAGGAAGCAAGCGCTTTTATAAAGAATTTAACGTGAGAAAAAATGTATAGTGCGTGCCCTGTGACCTTAGAGGCGAGCATTTTCGGTCGAGGGACGCATTCTTCTTTCCCACGCTTGCGTACAGCGTCCGACATACGACACAAAGCGCGCATTTTATCCAAACATACGCGCGTCGCAATTACGCGTTTGCGCCTGTCATTCAACTGCTTTTTTCTGAAAGAAGAACCGAGAGATTTTTACCTACAATACGTATCAAATAATCACATTTTTATTACTTTCATTGATAAAAAAAATGCATGTGTGCAAATATAAATGAGTAAATACATAAATATGTATAAATGAGTTTGTATCTGTGTATGTATTCGAAAAGGAAAAAAACTATACTCAGTAAACATACACTAAGAAAATAGCAAAGAAAACAAGTGCCTAACGAGAGGAGTGTGAAGGTCGCCTACTGCCTGGGAATAACCTTTCACTCACTCGATTTCAACGACCTCTATCGGTTCTTCGACCAATTGCTAACCACTAATTAATGTCCGTGCTGCGAATTTCTGTCTCACTTATTTCAAGGAATACAAATAATAGAAATAAAATATTATGATCCCAAGATACATCAAAATAGATAAAACCTTTCTTTTTGTAATCTTTTTTTCATGAATTATTATTGTCCACTCTTAAATATGTAATAGTCGACAAATATGGATAGAAATTTTATATTCATCATGATATTGTTAGATACAGTCATACTTATTATACACTATATCATTCGATTATAGACGCACCATTACTGCATCGCTTTGTTAGAAGGCGCGTACTTCAAATCGCCAGGGTAACAACTCGTAATGAAATGTCAATAGCGAAGGCGTGCACTAAACCCATCCTACAAACAGACGTGCGTGTATGCAGTTTCCCTTTTTTTCATCCATTTTCAATTTCGTAGCCAGGTAGCACCACCCAATCTGCATAATCGAATTTAGTCGGCTACAGGCTTCGTCGTTTCTTAATCCTCTCTACAACTGCTTCTTACATCTGTAACCAACACCACGATATATTCTAGGTAATTTACCACTCGAAGTGATATTCGGCAATGTTTTTGAATTACAAATACTCATTTATATCTTGGCAATTATAGCTAAGCATTTTGCGCAATACCGTTTTGCGATTCCGGCGAGCGTCTCTATTGCCGTAAGTGGCTGTGGGTGGGTGTGCTTCTGTTTTGCATTCAGATTATTCTGCCAATCAGTTCATGCATGAGTGCATCTGTCGATCCATGTGAAAAATGGAAATTGTCCGACAGATCGTTGTCAAACGTGCCTCAATTATTGCGATGCTCACCAGCGTCGTTTTTTTGTTGGATTTAGTTTTTTTTGCAAAGAGAGCACGTTGTCGCTTAGGAATCATTTTATTAACTTTTATAGTGACGAATTATATTCCTATAGAAAAAGTAGAATCTGAGGAAAAAATAAACACAGATAAAGCAGTGAGAAAGACAGCACCATCTGTTGTTTGAACTCTGACCCGAACTGGCAACACCTAATCCAGCCTGACCTCATTTCAGTGGCCAGTAAAGTTCTCTTTGAAGTGTATCGATTGCCGATCGCACAACCTACTCGTCTGGAAAAGGTATATAGGGCGTATGTACGTTAATTACATCGATTATAAGATATGTACGGTTGGGTGTACATACACGTTCTTTATACATTTTCTTGTTCTCGTGAAGTAACATCAGCTACTGGAATTGTATACTCTTTAACCAGGAAGGTAATATGAATGTGTGCTATCCTCCAACTGCTATCCTCTTATATGTTTATAAGACACGCACTCACAGCTTGAAGCGTCTCTTGGCGCGTGATGTAACTGACGTCTGCAGTCGTCTCATCAGCACGTCAAACAACCTTGCACCGTCACATGCTAATGACGCTCAAGCTAATTTAATATTTGCAACTCACCATCTCACTAACCCCGACTCTCTTCCGGTGAGGGGCTGAAAAGACTATAATTATATACTCTATACACTGTGGGCTATGGTATTGCTGAGTATAGACGTATATAGCGATTGGGATTGAGGCGTGGCTAAGAGACGTTCTTCGCGACGCGGCTTATGCGACGCCCTCAAAAGCGCATCCATCACGCCACTATCGTCGCAAACCGACGCCGAGCAAACTAATTGAAGCTTCGTTGACGCCCGGAAGATTGGTCTATTTGCATAGAATCGACTGCTTCGTATATGAAAATACACCACATAGATTTAAATATTGCATACCACCATTATAATTGTTAGATAGAATATGCTGCAACCACAAAGCCCATTCAGAGTGGAGTCCTCTTAATGTTCTTAACGTATTACGCGGCTCACCGCAACAACATCACCTGAGCGACCGCAATACGACACGCGACACGCAAACTGGAGAGGTGAAGGTCACGGCCTCTTCGGCTACAGGGGTCGAATAGCCAACGACGTTCGAGCGTGCGCTACCGCAGAAAGGAGTTAACTTAATTAGTGGTCGCCGGTCACTGGTCAGTGGCAGCCTACAGCGTATAATCTATATTGCTGTAGCTATATTAACGCCGCTACTGCATCATGCAGTCTCTTAACAAGGCAGCCTTCAAGTTCATTTCCTGCCGCTCGAGGGCAAGCCACAATAATCAGCTTCCAGCACACAGTGTATTTAGATTTCAAAGGCTCTAATCACGAAAGGGGCGTCGAAGGTGAACAAAGCGTCACTAGTCGCCACTTCAAAGACCCGCTGAGGTTAGCGTCCGAGGGCGTCTCTAGACGGAAATTTTTCGCTCAACATTCAGATATTCGATAACGTCAAAATTGAGACTGCACGCAGCATTCCCTACGTTAAAATCTCCAGCCGTGCTAGCGTGAGCCGCTAGGCGACAAGGAATGCTTTTGAAGAAATTGAAAACCTTCTATGCAGATATAGAGCTTTTGAAAAAAAAATTATATATATACGGTACATATATCTATTTATTAAGCGACGAATGAATTTGAGAGTTTTATATCAAGAATAAAGAAGCTTATATAGCTAAGAGAAAAGCTTTTACTTTTCAGTTCAAAAATGTAATAACTCTTTTTTATCTTGCCAGAATTGCTTCCTGAACTCGCATGGTTAAAGCGAGAACTCTTTTCTTACCGATTTTAGCAATTTCGAATGTTTTAGAAGTGCTTTTTGAAATTTTAGATTTCTTCTAGATTTTTTCTTTTTATTTAATAATATGTAAATTAAAATACCAAGCTTTGGAAACGCAGTTGTTAGCACAAGTAAGTAGCGCGCAGTAAATATCGTCCCAACTATTGTAGTCTACTTGACATTTTTCTACAGTCGAGTGCAGGTGGCAGGCTTTTCTATATGAGAATTCCTGATCTTTGAGCGGACGGAATTGGCGTAAAATGATTAAAATGATTATGAGAATCGCGATAGGGAAATCTATAGGAAAACGCGAAAGTGGTTGAAAGCCTCTGAGAATAAACAGGATAAAACACAATATATTAATTGATTTATGAAAATCTTGTATGTATTTCATAAAGAAAGATTTGAAATTATAAACTAAAAATATCTCGAAATAGCAAATGGCATAGTTGAGCATTTTTCTTCGACCCGCACTCGACCATAAATCAAACATGTTTGTAGTTTCTTTCACTTTCTCACGCGGCTTTAAACGTCTGCCTCTTGTGATGCATCTTTACGTCTGAATGACCGTTGGTCAACGGGGCTGCCAGATATGCCTTTTCCGCTTTACGAATGGAATTAAAACGTGGAGACTAGCATGTGTGCCACACTTCCTCCTGACACAGCAATGGGAAAACGATGAGCGAGCAAGTGTGAAAAATCAATCATTATCCGTTTATGATTACTGTACACTACCGGTTCGCAACTAGTTTAACTTTAAGATTTTATTATCAAATTAATATTTGAATGTATAATTCGCAAACCAGTAAGTAGGTGCATAACTGTAAAGCCAGGTGTGTACACCTCAGTGGGAGCCTCTACACCTTCCATATTCAAACAACTAGAACGTTTTTCAGAGTTAGCCCGCAGCCATTTGCCAAATTTGCTATGCATCTCGGTGAGAAATGCAATTGGCCGCTGGCTATTGAAATATTATTGCATGATATGACGTTCTACTAAAAAACATACGTTCGCTACCGACAGTTTTAGTTTGTTTACTTTTATGGTTATAGGTCACAAATATCAAGTATAAGGCAGTAGATGGCGTTTTCTCTTCCCATATGAAACACTATAGCGTTTTTTTACGAAGTAGTTTCATATATACCCGATAGATGGGGCTTGTGGTACTAAAGACCTTTTGCGACATCTATAGTATATACTCGTCCCAAATTAGTATGCAAAATTATTAAAAATTCATCTAGTAGCAATGTTTACCACAATAGTGTTTTCGAGTTATTAAGTACATAACTTAAATAAGATAGTAACTTTGCATTACATCAAATATAAGATTTTTATCATAAAAATGAATAAAAAGTTATTTTAAAGCATTTTAACTGATACAGATTTTATCAAAATGTATAATGTACAAATGAAAAATGTTCCTCTTTTATAAAGGATTTTCTAGGATTAAAAAAGGTTCGTGTAAATCGATAGATGGCGCAACAGTGATAACAAAGTCTGTCCAGAAAAACTGAACAGCCGGCGCTGCTTACAAAATAAAGAAACAAACAGGGCGACCGTTAGAGGGCTCTAGTGTCCTCAGATGTAGGCTGACGCAAAGCGATCAATTTCTGTTTGTAGTGATGCTCGGTACTGCTGCTGTACATTCTACTTTTTGAGCGACGGTAAAATTATGGCGAATGATTCAACAACACCCCAGACTTCATCTACTCCTCTCTTCTGGTTACCGCAGACCTACGTAGCACCATCAGGCAATCACCCAATGGTAAGAACTAAGGACATTTTAACGGTCATATTTTGCTGTATACCCAGAGACACAAGCGTGTCTCTTTACTTCGTATATAACAAATACGCTTTTACGGGGTTTTACTAGTGACGATTTAACACTACAAGGGAATTATACCTAAGACTTAGACTTAGACAAACTGAAAACTGCGCGAGGCAGTGCATCGTTAAATCATCATGGTGGACGGTTATCGGATTTCGCTGTCCGGGCCGCGCCTACTCTAGTAATTTTCACCAAAGGCCAACTAGCTTTTGTATCTCGTTTAAATAGCAATGTAAAAGAGAGGCACAAAGATATAAAGGAGTTCTCCTTTCGACGCCTTTATTTCAAATTCATTCACCGTTTCTCAGCCGCGCGCATCCGCCATCACTCGACGCTCGTTTCTTTCCTTATCAGCCGTTTCGATCAGGGCGCCATCTATCGACCCGCATCCTCTTTGTTACTCAGCTAGTCTGTGAACTCTACAACAAAATTCACATGATTGACTTAATAACTTAATAACTATTCCAAATTACTAAAATTACTGTGTTTTATTGTAGTTTGTCGCCGCCGCTGCTGCCGCTGCCCAGAATCCCATGGTGCAATATCCTATGACCGCTGCATCTTCTATAGATGAGTTGAATGCTGCTGTTGCTGCAGCCGTTCCCTCAGAGCAGACGGACCAAACAGATGCTGCTTCTATCGTTAGTGCAGCTGTTACGACGACAAGTCAGCAGCAGCAGCTAACAACAACAACTATTACTACCAATACGCCTCCTGCGTCGACGACAGCAACTGAAAATGAAATAGACAACCGGCGTTCAACATCTCCTCAAGTAACCGGTCCGAAGCGTTTACATGTGTCCAATATACCCTTTCGATATAGAGAAGCGGATCTTAGGGCCTTACTAGGCCAATTTGGCACCATTTTAGACGTTGAAATCATCTTCAACGAGCGTGGCTCTAAGGTATACAAAAGAGAAACACACATCATAACTAACTTACATAACTTTTACAGTCGATTGCTGCGCCGCCCATTTCATTAAATATGAATAAATATTATAGTATATATAGCACGTGCTTGTAGGCTGCTGCAGCATGAACCACACTAACGGGTCTTGAACCGATTGTTAATATATACATGTATACATATACATACATACTTATATACGGGTATACTGTGCATATGTATGTATATATATTTATATACTGTATATAAATTTATTTATTTATTTACAAGTAGCATTTACGGATAGACAAGAGTTAGGATATCTTTCTGCATAAAGTGTTAACGTTGTGTATTTTAGCAATTATGCAAAATTAAAGTCAGAATAGTGTCGATACAACAAAGGAGATTACAACGTTTTTATCAGATTACATCAAACGCATGAAAACTTTCTCCTAGGTACCAAGATAGAAGAGAAACTTAAAAAAACTATCATTTTAGGCTTTGAGATAGTGTAAGAAAACTGGAGCTCTTTCTAAGCATTTACATCTATCACATGCATACACATTTTCATTTTTCTAAGGCATTTATCACGAAATGATATAAGTTGATACTATTATTACATAAACTGTGCCGAATACGTTAAATTTAAACATCTTGTTTTCAATACTACTTATATTGATGATTATGCATGTCTCTGCATACGTTGTATTAATGCATGCTATTGTCTCTCCTCCTGCATGCAGGGATTCGGTTTTGTGACGTTCGCGAATAGTGCTGATGCGGATCGGGCAAGAGAGAAAATGAACGGTCAAGTGGTTGAGGGCAGAAAAATAGAGGTGCATGTTTTTTTTCTTAAAAAAATATTGTTGTGAGAGTGTGTTGCATGCATGATTTGAACATATCTATCTACTTAAGTATATCTGGGCGGCAGTAGCAAAATAAACTGTGAGAGTGATCTTTTTCTCTCTTCACAGAGGCTGCCTGCCGGACTTTGTTTAAAAAAAAAAAATTTATGAGAGAGTGAGTGTGTTTGTCTTCGTTTGTGTGCAATTTTTTAACCGATCATGTGCTCAAAAATTAGGTTAACAACGCTACAGCAAGAATAATGACAAGAAAGAAAGATAGCACGGCAGCGGAGGCACTAAGAAGTAGTGTTGCAGCACTACAACGTTCTGGTAGAGTTCGTCCAACAGCTACTATTCCAATAGCTGGTCTCAGAACTCCTATTCAGATCCAATTACCAGGATTATTCCAAGATCCCTATTTGGCAAATTTAACAGCTGCATTTGGAGCAGAGAGATATCCGGTTAATATTTCTTTCCTATAGATGTCGCTACGTGTTATGCATTTATATAATGTCTTTACAGCACTTGGCCGCTACCTACGGTGCACGTTATGCTCTACCAACTGTAGCTACGGCAGCGTATACTGGTAATAGCGGGTATATATCATAGTTTTCATATTTTTTTATATTTACCTAAGTAGATACATCGAAGATTGCATGTTGCGCAAATGTTTAAAGTTAATATACATAAAATGTTGACAGAATTGGCCGCGAACTTACTGCTGATCCTTACTTGGGACACAGCATAGGGCCAGTTGCAGGATATGGGGTACGTGTCACTAACATTTCTATAATGGCTGTTTCGCAACAAGTGCATGATACTGTTTCTTTTCATTCTATCACTGCCATCTGATTTCAAAATCTTTCATTTTTTCAATATTCCTTCTGAACTATATCTCTTAGTTAGAAAGAGTTGTTTATTTGGTTTTACCAGGGGATGTTTTAAATTTTCCATTTTGTCAACAGGCCATTTACCGAGCAGCATCTGGTGGATACCAACGATTCGCTCCATATTAGAGGAAATACCTTAATGAGCTACAGACATTAGCATTACATACACTGCCACCTAATACTCAATTTATGTGGTGCTTGGGCTGTTGCAATCGTTTGAAAGACTTCACCTTTAAAAACAGACTTTTTTCACTCCTGCATCAATGAGAAAGCCGGATAAATGTAACGCCGCTAGATGGCAGTAATGAGTTCATTTCAGCTACGTATCTTCGCAGAAATAAACAATTGATGTAGCACATCAGCATCATTGTTTAAATAGTAAACAATAATGAAATATCTGGTGCTATTGTTTATTTCTGATTTTTTTTTCTGAAAAGTTACCGCCATTTACCGGCTTAGATACTTTGATCGGTTGCTCGTTTAAGGATCTACACTACGCACACACATTGTTTTCGTCTAATGTTTAAGATAATTATTGTGTGTCTGGTGGTGTATAATTTTATAGTTCTGGTGCTTCGCCCAGGTAGAAAATCTTGCCAAAGGAACCCACCGACTATCGTAATCTGGGCAGGCTATAGTCTTCCTTCGACCCAATTACTTTGCCATGTTAAATTAAGTTTAGTCATAAAAGTTATGTATTATTTTTGACTAGTCATAAATTCATGTAAACAGTCTTGTAACAGTTAAATATTTTGTTTCTATGAATTTTTCCTTTTTGGTATTTTGCTTAATTATGTAAAGTGTAATGTTGTGATTAAACAAAATAAATGTAATGTGTGATTTATTAAATAAATTATTTGAAACTTCTGGAAACGCTATGAAAACGTAAACTAATTTAATCCGGTAGATGACAGCAGTAGTCTTATTTACAAACACAACTTGAATTTATGATAAAATACAAAGTTTCTGGAATTAAATAAAGTAATTTAACGAAAGTAAAAATATAAAAAGGTTTTAAGAGATATACACAACGTAAAATAATAGGTAGAGAGAAAACGCGGGCTCTGAAAGCTTTATTGTTGACAGAGATCGGAACACGAACCAGATTTTAAGCATAAAATAGTAAGACGGTCGATGATTGGTGGGAAACGGCCAGATCGGACAAAGAGCGGCGAATTACGGGCGAATAAGGATAGTTCTTACTTATTCTATGGCGGATTCAAACAGAGCACCGAGGCAGAGCGTGTAGCGTTAGATCTCTGCCGCAAAAATCACATCAAAAGCGCTCTTTTTAAGACAGCATGCCGCACGTGAACGGCGGTGGTGGTGACGATTTAGCGTCAACAGATGAGGTTAAAGTTTATAAAGATGAAGGTGAAGATGAGACAAGAGAGAACTTGTCAGAAGATAAACTTGGCCTTGTCACCGAGACTGAAGAGGTAAGAGAGCGTTTGATGTTTGTGTGCATGACCAGAGCAATGTAAAATTGAATTTTCAGGAGAAGAATGCAGATATTGGCGGTAATTATGAAGGCAAGTCTCAGAATGCCTCATCTGATGGTAAGTAAGCGTTCGGGCGTTACACGCCCACTTTCTCTTTACGTTTCTTCTTTATCGCCCGTTGACCTGCTTTCATCCGCCGCTTCCTTTCTCCTACCTCGGTTTCTTGAAAGGAAACGAACGCTTTAAAAAAATATTGACTATTTCCCTTAATACGGCTCTGCCGCCACCGATCGATGGATGAGTTAGAAAATTGTTATGAGAAAAGCGAGTTGAGCATTCGAATTGATTACCGCTAGATCGTTCTTTGATGTTGTAGAGCGCGCCTTCCGTATGGCCGCTTCTTCAGTCTAAGAGAAGTTTGTTTGTCGGTGATTATTAAACGGCCGCGAGGTGTGACATTTTAGATTCCGCCGCAAAATAATGACTGCAAAAAAAAAGCGCTCGAGTGCAGTACTGTGAGAAAATAGGTCAGCTTTGATACTCTTCCTTTGATGTTCGTATTCTTTGATAGTCTTTCACGCGTCGACTTGTTTGTATTTCTGTTTGCTTGCAGGTTTTCTCTTATTGTTTTTCTCCTCCTGTATGCACTATGTATTCTCTTAGAAGGTAGAAACGACGCACATCGACTATCCGCCTAATTATTGCATAAATACGCTCTTGTCGGCAAAGATGAAAGGCGCGCGAAAACTTTCATTTTTGATGGCGTCTAAGAGCCCACGCTCAACAACGATGAGGCTATAGCTTTTCACTGTTGTCGCTTCCCTAATCCCCAAAGAAATTTAAAGTCGTAACTAATAAGTTCCTACTCGAGATAATATATTAACTGATACGACAGGATCAAAGAACGACGCCGCCATCAACGAACGTCTTTTTGGTATAGCTGGATTTCCGCTAGTCACTCCTTATCCGCCTGGATATCCACCCGGTTTGGTAAGTGTTTTCTTTTTTCATTTTACTCAATCGAGCGGACCGTTCAACACCGACAGCTATCTACGTATTTACCAAGACATGAATGTCTTGCGAGTACACAAACATACTTCGCAAATGTCAATATTCGCTTTAGCCTTAGATAAGAACTTAAAGAATTTACGAATATGCATGCTTTACTGTTTCGTAGACGCTAGATGCGTCTACAACATATAAACGAACGTTCGGCAACATCAAAGCGCATTGATTCGTGTCACCTGTAGACGCCATAGGCGTAGAGCCGGACACGTAGTCATTAAATATGCAATATAGACGTTCTACAACGATGCTGACCGTCGTCTGCGGTTTTTTCTCGCTTATCGACTTACTCTATATATCGATAGGCTATCGAACAACTCTGAGCTACGCTCATGGCGTTATTAAATTAACTTTATTAGCGACAACACCTGGCTTTGTCGTCTACGGCGCTGTCAACAAGGCACACGACGCCCTGCCGCAAAGCAGATGAGCTGACGGCTGCAGGAAACGTCGGCGTCACAAAGGGACTGTCCAAGGCCGATTAGCTGCACTAGTAATTACTTTGATCTCTGCTCGCTGACGCCCGTCTAGCTTCTCTAATATCGCAAGCGCGTCTCCCTACGTCGTCATGACTACGCTTTGTTGACAAATCTGCGTATTAATTCGATAAGCGCCGTAGATAAGAATATTTTATATATATAGATATATATATATATATACATATATATATACAATACTTTACATTGTAGAAGTATATTTTGTATATTTTACCGTAGATTATTTTATACTTATTTATTTACATTTCAACAAAACAACACTCGGTTGATTTTAGAATGTTTTATTGAGAATTCTTTTATACATTTTAATATGCGGTATGGATACTCTGTATGCGTAGACATCCTTGACTAGCCTGCTTCGGCTGGTGGTCATTACTTAGCAGATGGCGCCAGTGCGTCGCTATTGTACGAATGTGACGCCCCGGAAAAGGTGCGAGTGACTTGGACAATGAAGTGATGAGGGCGTCATTATACTCGCAAGATGAGCACGCACAACGGACGAATTATGAAGAGATGGTGCTGATTGGGCATCTAGAAAAATGACGCGTGTTTGGCCTGTAGTAGCCACTCAGTGTGTGCGTGACGCCCAGCAGCAGCCAGGTAACGCCGCATCGATCCGTAATCAGAACATCAAAGGCAGCGGCCGACATCAAAGGATGGAGAACAGTGGCTCCCCCGTTTGGCTGCGTGCTCAAGCTTTTCGCGCGTTTCTCCAACGATTTACCGACCTGTACTACAAATACACTGTAGCGCAGGTAAGAGGAGAGAAGGCGTATATATAACAGCTACTACGTGCGCAATCAGCTGACATCAAAGAACATCGTAGGGCTAATTACGTTTGTCCAAACTACTAATTGTCTACGTCATCAATGCAGTCGTTCGACCGTGATAATCTGTAATTGGCAGGCGTGTAGGATAATTTTCGAGGGAGCGTTTTACTGAGCGTCGCTGCTCAGAGATATTCGCAATAGAAGCAGCAACGACGGCATCTCTAATTGTTTTACCCGTTACAAACGTCTGCCTTTGATGTTGCCGTTCGACGTTGCGCAGACTGCGACGGCATCTCCTTAACATCAAAGGGACTGCGCTTTACGCCTCACTGAACGTAGTTCGTGCCAAATTACGCTCGATTGCGCATGCGCATGGCCGCCGTAAAGCGTCTAATTGTAGATGTTTAACGATAAAGGAAGAATGTTTTTCAGGGCGGAAGAGTTGGCAGCTTTTCAGCTCACTCATCAAACCCGTTCGGCGTCTACGGCTATGACCATTTAGCGTCTCCTCCTCCGGCCCATATGGGCATACCGCCCGTCCATATCGATCCAAAAACTGGTAAGTACAAGTAGTTAGTATTTTAGAATAGGGTAGCCGCTTGCCACCCTGAGGCTATTCCTAAACTTCAAAGGAATTCTGCATTTTTTCCCCCTTTCCAGTCATCACCGTTAGCTGTCGTTTCATTTTTGGGTAACGATTAGTTTAATCTAGTTATACCGTTAGTAGAGACGCGTAAGCGTACGTGGAGGGCGGTTCCTTCTGACGCCAAAGGCGGAGCCAACTGCAACGTCGGATGAAAGTATCGCGTCGCTTTGATGCAAACGCCATCTTACGCAGTTTGGCATGCGTTAGGTACAATGTTCAAAAAGTACAAACCTTTTGATGATGTAGACTTCTAACGTGGCTTGCCTCTGCTAGATAATAGGGCGCTGTGTGGCGTCGGCTTTCAAAAGCTCGACGCCTCGTACTTGCGCGTGTGTGCGTCACTTTGACTCGCGCTTGCCGTCGGAATGAGAAAAAAATTATAAAATGAACGAGCAGCAACAAAATGAATGGGACTCTTGTTGGAATGCAGCTGCCAGTGACTGTGTGTGGCAGCAGCAAGGTCCTAGCGCTATTAAAAAAAGTTTGCTTACTTAGACTAGTTTTTAAAAAAAAGTCTTTGCAACAGGTTTACCAAGACCACCAATGTATGGTCTGCCTCCTCCACCCACCGGACATTTGAGTGCCCTCTACCCAGAACTTTCCAGTTGGTGAGTTTCATACTGAGTTTCTTTAGTTCAGTTTTTAAAGAGTTTTTTTGCTGATTTTGCTGTTTTCTTTGCAGGCACTCCCCTCCCGGTTCACCGTTCAGTGCATCGTCATTACGTAATCCCTACCATACAACCCTAGCCAATAGTCCTCTGGCACGCTTTTCGCCTCCAGGCTTACTACCCCCACCAGGAATACACCCAAGTGTACATTCATCGCACCAAGGTCTGCTGAAATGCGAGAATGATGGAAGCAGGTATGTCGTAATATATTTTAAACGAAATGATAGAGACAAACCGAGGAGGCGCTTTACGCTTTGCCGCGCAAGTAGGTCAGGACGTTGAAGATGAAAGCGTCGAATCGCTTTGATGTTGGCCGGCAGGCACTAATCGCGTTGTACGAGTTACGATGCAATATACTTAACACAAGGAGAGAAGAGATGACGACGATTTCTAATAGTAGTCCTAAAGAACGTACCGATGTTGAGAGTATAAATTAAAACGTAACAATATAGTAGCTCTTACTGCCTCCTCCAGAATCGACGATAACGCGTCTAATATGAATTCTTGCCGGAAAAATCACATAAAGAAGCCGTTAAACGCGTTTATGTTGTTTATGAAAGAGATGAGACCAAAAGTGGTAGAGGAGTGCGCCTTAAGGGAATCAGCGTTAATCAACCAAATTTTGGGACGAAGGGTGAGAATTTTTTGTTTCTTTTACAGGTTAAACGGTGACGCTGGTTCGTCAGGCACGTCAACCGCGAGCGAGGATCAAAAACCTAGGCGTCCATATGTAAAAAAGCCGCTAAATGCGTTCATGTTGTTTATGAAAGAAATGAGACAGAAAGTAGTAGAAGAATGCACCCTGAAAGAATCTGCAGCGATAAATCAAATACTCGGCCGTAAGGTAAAGCCATTGCGCGGACGATGTAATCTTGCTGGCTGAGTTTTTCTCGTCTATGTTGGTGCGAACGTAGACATCATCGCCTTATCAAATTTTTTATATAAAATATGTAGTTAGCATCAGCAGACCCTTGCTCATTCTACTGTATTTTTGACGGTTTTACTGATATAATCGTTTGACCTTTTTCCTCATTCAAATAACAGTGGCACGCATTAGATCGAGCTGAACAGGCTAAATATTATGACATGGCAAGAAAAGAAAAAGAACTTCACATGCAGCTTTATCCAGGATGGTCAGCTAGAGACAATTATGCTACTCATACAAAGAAGAAGAAGCGTAAACGAGCCTCAGAGGGTCAATCAGCAGGCAATCAGAGTATCAACAGCGATTGTGAGTTTTTTTCTACTGAAAACTGTATCTTAAACGCGTTGAATCACTCTTCAGACGGCAACAGTCAAGCGAAGAAATGCAGAGCCCGTTTTGGCGTTGAACAACAGAGTCAGTGGTGCAAGCCGTGCAGGTATAGTTCTTTCACGATATTGAAGCTTCTTAATTGTGTATCAATTTGAACGCACTTTTTAAACAATCTTTATAATTATCAATTAAACTCTGATATTAATAACTGTGGACGCTTATTTCATGGAAGTGACTGGAACAGGTCAGATGCTGCTTCACCCGTGTGTGCTGGTTCATTATTACAGAATAGTTGTGGTGGTCTTGAACAACCCATCACCTCTTTACATCCTTCGAACGCTGCTCAGGTTGCCGATGCGTGACGCTGCAGGTGACGCCGATAAAGCATGCGTCGTTTTTTGTTGTGACGCCACAGCTGTCCTCGTTGTGTACCGGTGGGTTCACCACCGTTCAAGTGAAGGATAGTGTATCGTCACGAATTGGAGCATGAGACAGCACTGAAATGCATTTTTTCTTGTTGTTAATTTTGTTAGTTAATTGACGCTGCTTGTTAGATGCAGCAGCACTGCGGTTGGGTGTTACTAAACTGAATATTTGGTATTTCATACCGCAGTGCTGTCTCAAAAATATTAAGGCTAATTGTAATTGTGATAAATTTAGGAGATAAGTTTTTCGCTTTTTGCCGAGGAAAGCATGAAGCCGTCTGCATGATCAATTACTGACTTTTATATCGAGTTTTAACCGTCTGTTCTTTATTATACAGGAGGAAGAAGAAATGCATTAGATTCTTAACGGGCGATGAAGAAGTAGGTGGAAGTGATCTGGATAGTGACGCCTGTGATGAGTTAAGCGTCGCTTCACCTTCATCAAGTGAGGCTCCAGCCAGTCCTCGACCTTCAGTAGACGGGGAACATCCTCTGGCATTAACATCGAAAACTCCAGGCCCATCACTCACTCCTACTCGTCAACCGCTTCTAGCCACATGAACATAGTGCCATGGCATTATATATACATATTTATGTGTACATCTGAAATATGCGTTCGTAAATTCTGAGAGTAGGATTCAACTAGCCTCAGCCAATATGCTATATCTTAATTTGAATACATCTTGAAAGAGATCTAATGCGTTTTTGTCTCTCAGAATTTGCAGTGCATACGTCAACGCTACAAACACTGTTGGTCGTCAATATTGTACATTTTTTCTATGTTATTTATTTTTAATTTAGTACAAAAAATCAGAAATAATTGTCACCATCATAACTTATGTTATTTTACCTGTATATATCACATAAATACCATCTTACATCAAAAATTACTATATTTATTCGTATATTCCAATTCTTGTTCTTTTTAAAATTTGGTTTATGGACGTGTCGCAAAAAAAACAAAGCAATTTCATTTTTTAAGCAATATACATGTTACTAAAGAATCGTTACTAGTCAGTTTGTCAATGATAAAAATCATGTAAAAGGATAAATACAACCGTTTGTTTCATGTATACAATATTTGTTATAAATTGGCACGTCAATTTGCTCAAGGAATGTGCCCAATTGTGCTTCATTCCATTTTGGAGCAAATTTAAGTGGTATTGTTCCAAAATGTCGTATATTTTAACCCTAGGCCAAATTGTAATGTTTTTATTGATACTGTATGTAAATTACCATTCAAAAAAAATAAAATAAAAAAGTGAATAATTTTTTAGATCATGATAAACCACATCCTACTTATTAGGCCATGTGCATCAAAGACACTCATTGCGCGGACATTTAACATCCAGCGTTAAGTATATGCCTGTCTTGAAAGTCTGCGACGTAGACGAAGTAAAAATTTGAAGTACTTAGTCCGTTCGACCGATTCTCAATAATTAGCGATTGATTACTATTATTGACTTGGTCTCTTTTCTGATAACTTGAACATATTTAGTGATAGCTTGGCATGTTTTGCAAGGTATAAGGTTTGATAATTATTCAAAATATTTTTCCGCTCCAACAAATTATACTTCATGTATGAAGTATATAAAGATAAATATTTCGAGTATGCTTTATATCATTTCTAGTAGATCATATAAGTATATGTATATATCAAATATATATAGATATATACTAATATATATATATATATATATATATCACATATTGTATACATATACGAGACGCTTTGCAGGAAACAGCAAACATCAATGTTGTATCCGAACATCTATTTTAAATACCTTTCATCAGCTTGCTTTATACGACCCTACATAAACGTTTGATCTGTCTTGCACCATTATAGTTTTGTGCAGTCTACAATTTATAAGATTACTAAAATCCTAATAATAATATGGCCTAAATAAATATTATTTTCAGATTCAATATCAAAAATATATTATTTTCGAAAATGAAAATTAATAGCTGAAAAGTTAATTTAAAGATTTTAAAGAAAGAAAATGTCAGTTATTTTTATTCTCAGACTTCCAAGTGACAAATATTGTATACAAATTGTATTGCTTGCAAAGGAGAAAAATGAAAAGTTTCCTTTCGATATATTTAAAAGTTATCTTTTCGATAGATCACGATTCAATGAGAGACGGTTTGTAATTAAGCTGCTGCTCATTAGTGAGTGACAGATTATTTGCAAGGTTGCCTTCAGCATCATAATAACGAAAAGAGCACGTGCAGCATTAGCTGATATACATATGAAAATGAAGGTAATATCGTCTGAATCGTTGATATTTTTTTGAGATAAGCTAGCAGTTCCTGTTCATGATACAATTTTTTTGTAATGAAAAGTTTTGTTTCGTGATTAAAATCATATTCAGTGACTAAATGCAGTAGACGTCTATATTCGGAAAACTTCCTAGAGAAGTTTTTTTTATAAATTTCCATCATATTATTTCACATTCATTCAATGAAAGCAGCCAAGTTCTCTATAACTTTATACCTGCTCCTCGTAAGTATATGTGTCTACGCATATTTTGTTTGTTTTCATCAATATAATAGAAAAAACTAAAAGCTTTGTCCTATTCGTTTCTCACGCAGACGACGCGATATTTCCGGTTGTGTCTTTTTTCGCACCATGGGCGTCTAACGGTCGTAGCTTGTTATAGGAGCATGCAACCTTTGTTAAACGCAAGAAAGACTTCATTTGCTAAGGTGAACTTATTCATACAGTATATTATACCTGCAATGCATTACTCAAATTGAGCATATTTCTTTTTAAAACTATATTCACTTTCTCTATGCGACATATATGGGGATCTTTATCCTAATATAGGCTATTCTGTATCCAAAATGTCATAATTATTATCTTTTATATAGACTATTAATAAACTTTCACACATCGCATTTAAGAGCAATCTAAAAAAGTGGCAATAGTAATGATAATCAAAAGCTGATAGTAGACCTTGACTCCTAAAATATCAACGCCTAATGTTAAAATAAAAAGAGAAATAATGTAAATTCCTCTTCCTGATACCCTTTTAACTTACAGTCAAATTTTTAAGCATACTTAAACTCACATCAATGGAATTGTACATGTTTTTTTTATATATATTAGGTTAAACACATTTCATTGAGTGTTTATTTTTTTACTCCATCTTGGATATTTTTACTTAGCCTTTTTTATTTTTGAATTATTTTAAGATAGTAAAACAATTAGATTTTAATTACAGTTTCTCGTCGAAGGTGAGTAGTAATAATTTGGAAAGAGATTTAACCTTTTTCTTATTCAAGAGAAGGAGGAAACGATAGAGACTTGTGATTGATTGAAGAAAACTCATTTTCATAAAATTTTAAAATAAATATCACCCACCAGATGGCAACACATTATTCGCATTTTTTAATTTTGTTATAAATTATTCCATACTGTAACCGCAATTATTGTGGGAATGAAAATTATTATATAGTACTGATCTTTAGATCGATATTATTGATGTGTATAAATACATAAATACATACACATATATATATATATATACATATAGATATATATATATATAAATTTATATATACTGTATATATATAAATACAGTATATATATATGACATATCATTAAAAATATATATTTATGTTTTGGCACGACATTCGAATCAGATGCTTAAACTCTTTGAAAATACAAACTAGATAATTTTAATGAAACATGAGAAATCACTATTAAATAATGTCTTAATCACATATATTGTTATTTTTTATTAATAAGGGTAGCGGATTTCTGACATGCGCTCTTTCGACTTCCGTTTCTCGCGAAATTGAAAAACAGGCGCCATATTAAAATGGCGACGGTTAGTGAATCTGATAAATAAAAATGATTGGATTTATCGGATATTTGTTATAGTTGAACGAAGTATAAAATTGCTAATAGTAGAGGTTAACCTTCATTAAAGAGAATCGATTTCCTCTTTGAATCGCCGCTTCGATTGAGGTTAGTATGATATCGTATTTGCGTGCATGTTGCGGTTTTGACGACTTTAATGGGGATATTTGGCACGGATAGCACGCAAAAGAGATAAGCTTTTTTGATAATTTGGGCGACTGTTTACTTAATATTTTACTTTAAGAAATATTTGAAATAAAAAACACATTTTATCAACTTGATATTAGTGAGTGAGTGTTTTTAACTTCTCGCTTTCCATTGACGATTACCTGCGCCATCTTGTAAAATTGTGTTAAACGGTTGCGTATCGATTTCGTCCTTAGAATTGATACATATGTATATCTGATCGTCGTAGTAAATGAATAATCATTCTCTTGTTTTATATTTCATGTTTAGTCATATTCGTTTAGTAATGGTTCCCAAAATTAATCATAACAGGTGATTGCTCAATGATTCGTCGATATTGGATAAAGTTTGTTCGTCATGGTGAAGGATATTATGCCTGAGGTGAAAGCAAATCCGTCCCAGATTCTCCTGGATGCTGTTAGGAAGATTCGGGGTCAGAAACAACGACCGAACTTTGATCGCCTTTCTCATGCTGTTCGATTACAAAAGTGGTCAACAGAGGTTCTAACAGAGTATATTAACAAAGCTGTTGAAGATGGAATTATCCTGAGAATGTATGATAACAAGGGTCTTATGACGTATAAAGATCCTCAAACCGTTTCTAAACTCAAAACCAGGGATTTGCATGTAGGAGCCGCTTCGGATTTAACTAAAGTTTTAATCAGAACTTTGAAAGAATTGGGCGATCCTGCAGACATAGATCAGGTTGAAAAACATATTAGAACTGGCTATCATTTGACTATGGCGTTCAAAGCTGATTTGCGTCAGTCAATTGAAAGCGCCTTGGATAAAGGTGTAAAATCGTCTAAGTTTCTGTATAAAGATGGAAAATACTCTCCAATAGATGATCACGATAAAGCAGTTGCAGATATGGCATCTTTCAATCAGACGGTGAGTCATGACTTTCTTATTGCAAACTTATAATAATTTTATTAAATCAGGGAGCGGCACCAGCTAAAACTACTTGCACTACCTGTTTAACCGGTTCAGGAAAAGAACAAGCTCTGTTATCATGCTTTGATTGTGGTGAAAGCTGGCATCCCAGTTGCTTGCGAATTGGTGCTGATTTGGCTAAAAAAATCAAAACAATGAGATGGCAGTGTCGACAATGTAAAACATGTTCAGCTTGTGGAAAACGTTGTGATAGTAACTTAAAAGTTTCGGAGAACACTGAAAACCCCAAAATTGTACTCTGTCTACAGTGCGATCGGGGATTTCATGCTGAATGTTCGAAGAAAAGTAAGGATGAGAATTGGATTTGTCCTTTATGTTTATCGGCACCAAAACTTAAAGCAAGAAAACGTAAAAGATCAAATAGTGAGAAAAGGACAAGAACCAGTTCTGGAGATTTTAACGGACAGGCCTCGAAACGCTCATTAAAAGATAAATACCCAACTTTACATTCTTATACCACAAAAACTGATAAATCTCCAGGAACTCTTCAAAATTTTCCGTCTTCAGTCTTGAGTAGCAGTGAATCAAAAGCTACCGGCGACAATCATACAAAAAATTTATTCGATGGTTTATCAAATTTTTTTACGCCTAGTGGAAGCAGACGGATGTCTAATAGTTGTCCTCGAGCACCAGTTGAAGGGAATAATACCCGTAATAATAATGAAAATGAGACAGTTGTGAAGGAACCAACTGATCGTTACAAAAAGTTAAAAAGTGTAAGAAAGATGAATAGTCACACAGAATTTAGAAATAGTGTATTGAAAAAGTTTAAGAGGAAATCTGAAAATCGTCAGAGTTTAAAAAACAGAACTAACAAATTACTAGAAAGAGTAAAGCAGGCAGAGGCGAAACTAACTCCTAGCACGTCTGGGTCAGATACAGACACGGATGTACTATCTATTAGAAGTAGTAGTCCCTTGATTATTGCCCAAAATGTCACACCCCATGTTAGTGCCCAAGATGTGGAACTTTTTCAACAAGCTCGTGAGAAGGCTCTGGAGAGTTTAGCAACTTGCATTGAAAACCCATTAACAGCTGATCGATTTCCTGCTGCTATAGCTTTTGGCCGCTACCACATTGACACATGGTATTCATCTCCTTATCCCGAAGAGTATGCAAAGTTGGCTCGGTTGTACATTTGTGAATTTTGTCTGAAGTATATGAAAAGTGAGAAAATGATTGAAAGGCATAGAAGCAAATGCTGTCTTTGGTCTCCACCAGCCAATCAAATCTGGCGTTCGGCTGATTTGTCGATGTGGGAGGTAGACGGCAGTAAACAGCGTATCTACTGTCAAAATTTATGTCTGTTAGCTAAATTGTTTCTAGATCACAAAACCTTATATTTTGATGTTGAACCATTTGTATTTTACGTTTTGACGAAAAGAGATCTTCATGGTGACCATTTGGTTGGCTATTTCAGTAAAGAAAAACATTCTTCGCAAAAATATAATTTATCATGCATTATGGTTATGCCTCAGCACCAACGCAAAGGATTTGGCAGGTTTTTAATTGAATTCTCATATTTACTATCTCGAAAGGAAGGAAGAACTGGAACACCTGAAAAGCCTCTGTCTGATCTTGGAAGAGTATCTTATGAAGCGTATTGGAAAAACGTGATACTATTGTTTTTACACGAGCGCCGAAAGCAACGATTAATCCAAACAATCTCAATAGAGGATATTAGTAGGTACACAGGAATGTGTCCACATGATATTGTACACACTCTTAACCGAATTGGTTTTTTGAAAATCTCGGATCGTCGCGTTTCTCTTTCTGTTGATTGGTCGATTGTAAGTGATCAAGTAGAGAAGGATAAGTCGAACTTAACGAGGATTTCATTGGATGAAGAAAAATTAAAATGGAGTCCTCCAACGTCAAGCCCCGGTGAAGATAAAGATCTGACAGAAATTCAGGTATTAAATCTTCTAGTTAGCAATATAGGTCCTTTTTATTGTTGTATTTTATTTAATTTTCCTTGCACAATTTTCTATTTTCACTTTTCGTAATATGGTTTTGAGTGTTTCGTTGAACCCTTCTACAGTTTGACGATGACAGTGAAGCTAGAGGCAGTCCTGAATTAAAGAAACAAAATTATAAAGGAAAAAACCACGTTGGAAAGAATCGCAAATGTTCTAACATTTTATCGGAAAATCCACCTTTAACACCACCTAGCGAACATGAAAATGTTTGTCCAAAAAATAATCAGGTATTAAAATATCATATTTTTATTTTATTTATTTCTCAGTTTGTAGTTTTCCCAACCTTTTGATGTCTTAAAATTTTTTCTTAATAAATCGATTTAAATTGTGTGTATTATTATACAGAAGCCTAAATCAAAGCTCAGAATGGAAAATCATAAATTGCGAAAGACCAGTACCTCCAATGAAGTTAACGGTAACAATCTTTTTAAAGTCATAATTATAACTGATTAACTGGTACATTAATTACTTCAGATATCTCAATGGTGAAGGAAATGGGCAGAGGTCGGGGTAGACCAAGAAAAATTCAGCAAGTGTTAAATAAATATTTTTCACCAATACCTGACGAAGCTCCAGTCACCGAATCTCCTACTGAATCTATAACACACAATTCTCCGCATCAATCTCCATTAGCTGATCATTCTCCAGTTTCTAATAATTCAATGATGAGAAAAATTAATAGAATAGGAAGAACAAAAAAGAAAGTTTCCCCAGTGAGCAAAAGTCATGATGAAGTAAGAAACGAAACAAACGAAAAGCGAGATTCACCTCCTCCCCCTCCTGTTTTAACACCCGAGGAAAGTGATGAAATTAGTCCAACTTCTCCGGCGCCCAACTCAACTTCATCAACAGGTAGTGATGCAGATGATGAATGTGACATATCATCAAGCAGCTCATCAACCACTAGTACCGAAAATAATTCAGGATCTGACTCATCTGGAGAATGTGAGATTGATAACGATGGAACTTCAAGTCATATTGCTGGAATTGTCGCTGGTGAAAAGAATGACGGATTTTTGGTTGAGGAAAATTTAAATGGGAATATTGAGGAGAACAAGGATTTAGAAGCAGTCTCTCTCAATGACATAGCAACTCAAATTACATCGCCAAAGTCTGTATCATCTTCATCGTCTGATTCTTCATCTTCATCATCTACCTCCTCTTCAAGTAGCAGTTCTGCTGATTCTTCAACTGAAAATTCATGTATAGAAGCGGAGAACGAATCTATTCTTTTCGAAAGACCAAATCATGATCCAGACCTTGAAGATGAAGTCAAAATTGACAAAGTTACCATGGATTTAACAAAAGACAATCAAATGCATGAACATCACGAAATCAGTGAGAACCCTGTGAATCTCCCCATTGAACAGAATATAACTCAAATTCAAAATCATTCTGAAGCAGTAAGACTAGAACAAGAGAATGAAAGTATGATGTTCGATTTAATTGATACACCGATGACTCAACCAGAGGAGCAACCGTCTATGAGACAGCCTTTTAGTGATTGTGCTCAAACATCATATATGGCATCTCCAGCTAGCAACTACATTCCCTCATCACCGGGAAGCACTCATTCTGCAGCTTACAACACACCAAATAATTATATTCATTCACCTAGCTACATGCCAAATCCAAGCCCTAATTCAACAGGCCAGTACAGTCAGTCGGGAGCTGCAGCTGGAGCTGCAAGAAATGGATCTAATACTTCCCCACCAGAACAAATGTATAATATGGCTTCTCCTTCACCAACTACGTTACCTCAGGCCTCTCCGAATGCAACCTACATGCTACCCCCACAAATGTTAAACAACAGCATGATGAGAGTTGATCAAACTACTGTTTCAGTTCTATCCCAGAAGTATAACGCTCCTGTGCAATCGCAGCCATACCTAGGTCGAGGAGATTATTCGCTAGCAAAACTTCATGAGCTTGCGAATGGAACTCCTCCAGTTATGCATAATGGGTTAACTGGCCATGAACATGGACTATCCCCAGGAAAACATCCTCTGTATCACCCAGGAGGAGCTCAAATGTATTCTGCTACAAACAATAGCTGCTCTTCACGAGTATTTGGGGGAAACCCTAATGTTTCCTTACAGCCACCAGGAGGCACTAATATGATTGCCGGTTATTTCAACGCACCTCCACAAATGAATGGGGTTCGAGCCCATATGCAGCAAATGCCCCCGCCAATGCACCATGGAGGGTGGATGCCATCATCACATAACACTGCATATGGAATGATGGGTATGATGCAGCAGAGCACAAATGCGTCTCAACAATGGAATCAGCAATCGTATATGACTCAATTTAATATGACTGCAAGAAGGTAGCAGTGCTTTAATGTGATGTTTGCATATCTGCATAACCACGTCAAAACTGTCGACTAATGGTCACCTTTCATTAAATCCCATGCATAAATGTGCTGTAATTTTGGAATAGCGACTGTCACTTCGTTTTTACTCATTTCTTTAGATATATTCGTTATCAGCAGTTTATACATATTCTGATACAAAGAATAAATAAAGTACACACCAATACGCGCATACGCTATGTATATTTATATGACGTATGTGAGAGACAGTGTGTATATCTAATATCAATATTCATTTATTAAATTAAAACTAGGGTGAGGAAAGATATTATAATTTGAATTTTCTCTCAGAGATGGCAGCACCTAACTCGTCTGTTGTTGTGAACATTAAACAGAGAAATGAAAGTTACTGTAATTATAAACAAGGAAGCTCTTTTAAGCTATTGAAGAACTTTGAGGAAGCCAATTTCGTTATCCTTTAAGCATTAATAGTTCGTTAATTTTATCGAAGCGTTGCGGTTAATAGTATCGATTCTTATTCAACAGAATTTCTTCAACCAATTTCCATATGTTGAATGATGAATTGTGAGACAAGCCAAAAATTAAAATGCAAATGGTTAATTAAGGCAGATGATTGAAGAGACGTTGCTGTAATTGACCATCAAAGAGGACTTAACCGGGATTGCGAGATCGTATTGCATATACGTCTGACCTTCAGAGCGTTCTAAAGCATCATTCATATATGCTAATAAGCCGAATGTATAAATGTATTGAGTGTTGGTATTTGGAGGGTATAAGAATGTCGCCTCGAGCTTATATTACTTCCTGATGTTTTTTGGGTTCAGTATCTAAACCAGAATTATCATAATTAGTTAAAGTAAATTATATGGTATGCTTGATGACAAATTTACCTTATGAGTTGCGTCGATCTTTTCACACTTAATTAGACAGAAGGTGATGAAGCATCAAATTGATCATGGTGTACACGGTAGTATGGGAGGAGCGATGGGCGGGGCATAAATGAATGACAGCTGTGGACGGTTTTGTTACAATCAGTCGGCTCGCAACTATCGGTCTGCATATATTCGCAATGGACGCTCTACATGCGCCTCTATGTAGTTTAGATGATTTAAGTTCCCCTCTCGCCTCTTCTATTACAACTTTAACTAGTTCGCGAATCGACGATCACAGTGGAGGATATTTACCTTCAGCCTCTTCCCTATCCTCTCCTGTTACCAACAGAAATGTTAAAATCGAACTACCTCAGCCGGGTAAGACGCATATACAAATTTTATCTTTGTTCCAATTCTTTTATAAAATTAATATCAATTCTAACACTTGAAAATTCTTTCCAAAGATCGCACTTATCCGGTACGATCCCCGTCTAGTACAAAGAGCGCTAACTCTACAAACGCTGATACAGCAGATGAATCTGGCAAAGAAGAAAGCACCACTCCGGGACAGATTTGCAAAAAATCCAGTACTAATACAACAGCAACAAGAAGACAGAGACGTCAACGAACTCATTTTACATCACAGCAGTTGCAACAGTTAGAAGCAGCGTTCAGTCGAAATAGGTAAGAAAAGCAATGTTTGGTCAATTGAAATTAATATTCTAAAGTGTACTTGTATTTATTAGTAATGTGCATATGTCGTGCGTTCCTTTGCAGGTATCCCGATGTGGCTACTAGAGAAGAGATAGCGGCTTGGACTACTTTAACAGAAGCTCGCGTCAGAGTAAGTGTAATTCTGTTCAGAAAATTATAATTGTATGAATATAGTGGACGTTTCAAAAGTGTCCAGATGTTGAGGAACTGATCCTTCTATCGTTGTATTTGACAATTTCAAGTGTTTCTAAAGCGTAAAGAATGAGAAATTAGCGATTGATACAGAAACTTTGCCTTTCTCTTGTTGACTATTGAAGGCATTATGCAAATCGTTCGCTTGACTTCCCATCTGTGCGGGTAGCCAGTTGAAAAGGCGTTTCGTTTATGTATATGGGTGGAACTGTAAACGCCCGATACTTGTTTTGACATTCAGTTTTGCGATTTCAATTCTTACATGATGCTGCAGTATAACTTACAGAAAGTGTAAGTGTCCCATGCTACTCACGTCTTAGTTATAATCTAAGGGCTTTAGAGTGTCAGCGATGCGATGACACATTTAATCTCATTCGTCATTGCACGCACTATACTGAAATATATACAAATTGACTTTACCATGAAATTTAATTCAGGTATGGTTCAAAAATCGTCGAGCTAAATGGCGGAAAAAAGAGAGAGGCTTAGATGCTTTCAAAGGTCTTGCTACTGGCCAGTACGGAACTTTTATGCAGCCGTTTGACGACCCCCTCTACTCACCTGGATATTCTCCTACAGCAGCATATAACAACTGGGCTGCGGCTGCGACTTGTAAAATGACATCAATGGCATCTAAGCCTTCGTCCTTTGCCTGGCCTCCTTCTGTTGTTTCCTCTCAGTCAGCTCCCCCGTCCGCGCCGACTGCTCCTTGTCCTTATGCCGCTCCCCCGCCACCATATCTACCGGCCTATGCAGCAGGAAGGGATCAGTGTACTGCTGATAGTCTGACGACATTACGCTTAAAAGCTAAGGAACCTTTTCCTTACCCGCCCAGTGGCCCTCCAGGTCGTCAACTTCCATCTAATTGTCAGTACACTCCAGTTGGGATGCCCGGGGCTCAGGGATAAGCTATGATTATATATATATATATATGTATATTATATTATATATACTAATATATATATATATATATATATGTATTTATATTTATTAATTTATTTACGTAATTATGAGGTTATATATATATAAAGTGCATGTTTTCAAATTGCTCACAGCAAGAGTCAAGCGCGAGACGTTCAAATGAAATTTTTCTTTTGCTTAAAAGTATATATTGTATTGTATAAAGCAAGCACATAATGTCTCTATCTCTAGCAAAACTATAAGCATTATATATATATTATATATATGTCAACATTGTTATTAAATGTATAAAGAAGTTTATTTATTGAATAATATAGTCTGTAAATATATACATACTTAAATATCGCGCCAATGGTGCTAAAAGCAACTGAAATCAACGCGTTGAAGCGGAACGAACTCATTAAACGGTCGAGCGGTGATAATGAAAGCGCCGAAGTTTGCGACGTCGTGATGATGCTAATCGTTCACAAAGCTAAGTGAATGTATGGTGCGTGCATTCACATTATTCTAATACATATAAAGGAGAGTTTAAGGCTTACTGAGGGAAAATGAGATTTTAGCTAAACAAAAATGTCTCTGGCATATCATTCATGTTACTGTAAATTTTATTACGATTTTTCACTCGATGCATCTCATTTGTACAACGACGTCCTCTAACTGTCTTCTTCCATTTACTAATCCATCAATGTTCCCATGACGTCAATCAATCTGAAATCTGGCTGCGCTAAATCCCGTACAGCACCTGTCTGCGTATATAAGTCTGTTTGGCGGCTTCTTTTAACTTACAGAGAAACTGTTTAAATCTGTTTTACATCAATGATTTAATCACTTAAAGACGTTTCCGATTATAATTAAAAGCTTCTATAGTTCAAAATTTTCGCCACACGTTTCCAATCAAACAGTAGTTAGTGATATTAGACATATGCACAGCCGGAAATAAGGCGTGAACGCCTCGCCAAATGTTTCTTTCGAAACATAACGCCTTTGATTACCTTTACAATCATTCGAAATACTAAAGATTATCTCATTTTCACAATTTTTCTTTATGTTAAGGTTTGCATTCATTTAACAGTTATACATTATATAGTGGTGTCATACGTCGTTATAAATAAAATTGTTATCAGTAGGACACCCCTAGTCTTTGATGATAACGTGTGAATTCTGCTTGAATCATGCTGATAGCAGTTTTACGCGCATAAAGCATTAAACACTCTCAGTCTATGTAGGTCACACTTAACGTATAAATGTAAATCTTAAACAGGCGATTATTACTTAGGCGACAGGTGCGCAAACGCAGTTTATATTTTATATATTAATGATAACGGAATAATACGAAAGAAAAAGTCTTTATTCTAAAATTTTACCCAACATTTTTAATTAATAATCCGTCTACACAAGTTCGATTTTAGTATAGAACGAAAAGGAGCACTTGTACAGCTATTAATTATATACGGTAATTTTCTCAAGACTCTTCCAGTAACGAACATTTAAAAAACGCCAAAACAATTTCAAAATTACCTACGTATATCCTTAATACTGAAGATTTATACATCAATAGAGCAAGTCAGCCATATTCAAACAACGCTGACCTACTAAAAATTTAATTCGTGAAACATTTCAGGAATTATTGGCAAGAAGTCATGCTAGATCGAGGCTTTTCTGGAGAAAAGTGAATTTTGTGACAAAGAAACAACTCCGTCGTATTGAAAATTGCATGTTATATACATGTGTCTAGACGTCTCGATTGCATTTAATCTGTATATGTCTGGCTAGGTCGCCATGTTGTTTTCTTGTGAAACTGTGTTATTCGTTTGAACGCTGTTTTTTTGCTGAATTTATAGGATATTCTAAACATTTAGGATTAAGGATGCAATGAAAAAAAATACCAACCTCTGTACGATAATATTTTGGTTTATATTTCGGAAGGTAACAAATATTCTAATGTTTTATTAATTAAAATGCAGGTATTGAGAGAATATGAACTTTTAAATGAACATTAAATTTTTAAAGAGACAGAATTTAGATTTATAGAGTGCTTTATTTTTCTTAAATAGTACAATACAGAATAAGAATTAAAAACAGGAAAATGTAGGTCATTATTTGCATAGTAAAACAAGGCCTACGATTCAATCTATGACACCAAATCGTTACATGTTGACGAAGACATACAGTTGTTTAATAAAAATAATCAAAGTTAACGGAATTCATATTAATTTGAGTAATTTTATTAAGTAATTAATCATTAGCATTCCATTACAAAGTGACGACATTGATTATTGCGCCAATGACGTCATCGTTGATTGTACACAGGTGTAAGGCTTTGATGTTAAAAAATGGCGGCTTGTTGCTGGGGGTCTTTAAGCTGCTAAATGCGAATTTGGTCACAGCTGATGATGTAATAGTCGGATAGCGTACGCGTGATATATAGGTCAATCAATAGTTTTATTCAAGAAAAAAATTTTACTTTTTCAAACAAAAGAGGAATGTACATACTGACATGAGGGAGAAGGTACGAAAGGATTAATGGGCAACGAACTAGTACCTTGATATCTAACACGAGTTTGAGCTCTGACTAACGGGGATGCGGCAAAACTATCTTCATCTAATGAATATGGAAAATATTGCGTTGCAGTAGCTGTCGATCCTGTATCAGCAGCATTAAAGGTCCATGGAGTAAGAGACTTATGAGAAAATGACGACCAATTATTATATGATCCATAATTAGTCGCGTAGAATGGCTCACTAATAGATTGAACAACAGAACCATAATGATCTGGTGGTCGAAAGGATTTCATCGCTTCTAGACCTCTCTCCTTCTTACGCCATTTAGCTCTTCTGTTCTTGAACCAAACCTATTCAGTAATGCAATCTAATTAGTAACTCAGTGTGCGGACCGTTCAATTGCATAGAGTAATAGAAAAGAATTTTTTATGATCTTTCGCAATTTTTAATAGAGATATGACATTTGTCCTCACGAAGGCGGACAATATGACAGAATATGCCAGAGAATTAATGGTACCTCTCTGATAAGACCTATTCTTATCTACAATTATAGCGTACATGTATCTCAGAATAGGGAAAAGGCTGTAATCTGAGAGTTATAACTTTCTGATGTTCTATAATCTAGATTTCACTTGGATATATAATACGGTGTTTAAAGTATTATTACTCGGTTCCTAATTTCCGATACAAGAGTGTCAAACAGCACTATAAAAAATTTCAAGTGTTTATAATAGAACCGAAAATATCGTCGACAGCACTGTTCGCGGATTAGTTGAATCGTTAATGTGATCGAATTCGATAAGATATCATGTTGAAAAAAAAATCTTACCCTTATTCTTGGCTCTGATAATTGAGTCCATGTAGCTATTTCTTCTCTTGTTGCCATATCCGGATATCTATTCCTGGAAAAAGTTGCTTCCAGCTCATGTAACTGTTGAGAAGTGAAATGAGTCCTTTGTCTGCGTTTTTTGTCACATTCTCCTCCAGCTTCCTCTTTATTCTCGGTCGTTTCATCTTCAACTTTACCTAGTTTACAAATCAGCATAATAAATTGCCTTGAACGTTAAAGGATATTCATATAGAGAAGAAAGTGGCGTCAACTAAAGTAAATATAACCATATTGAAGTTTTCTTTCAGTAAGAAAAGTTGTGACAGCCAATGTACTTAAAGAAAATATAAAGTGAGTTGGGCTGAATTATAAGCCCTAAATAAATTAGTTCTATCCCTATATGATTGTAAATACAACAAAAGCATTTTCTCTTGGTTTCAAAAAAATCGATTTCAACTGACAAAATTTCTTTAAAGTATTCAAAGCAAACTCTGCATAAATCAATTTTGTTTGATGAAATTGCTTTCGAAACGTTGCATTTAACTGTCCAACATTGCAGATTTATCCTTAAAAAATATTTATTACCTGTACTAGAAGTATTAATAGCGGACATCTTTTCTGGAGTCTCCCACCTCCTCACTTAACTCGTTCACTTTTCAATATCGAGGAAGTTATCAGGCCCCGTTCAATTCCGGAGCTGATTGGTCAAATGTAGTGACGTCAGTAAGAGAGTTAACGATTGGTTGATATTTGATCTAAAACCGGCTTCTTAAGCATAAGCTTGTCTAAACACTTGCAAATCTCATTAATCTCTTCTTGCCTTATACAGAGAAGTGTATCGGTATGAGGGTAGAGTACAAAGCTATAAATCTGCAATAAGTAAGAGTAAACTATTGCAATATTTACTCATAAGTATATGTTGTTTGTGTATTATAGTTAGGAGGATGTGTTTCGTTGCATTGTAAACAACAAAATAACAATAATAATGTAAAAATCGAGTTTGGAGTATATATCTAGCACGCATACGTCAATAAGATTCATTAGTTAAACCAACTAAGTATCGCTCCTATAACCTCGCCTACACAAATAGATCTCAACTTGTCTGTTATTGTTGCGAAGGAGAGCATTCAGAGAAACACGTGTCTTTTTTGTATGTTTACAATCACGTTTCATCCAGCGAACAACATCCTCCTCTTTCCGCCTCGATCGATTCTAATCTCATGAAATAACATTGAACTGGGCAATACAAACATCAATGGTCGGACAAAAAAGGGGCGGTTAGGCGATAGAAAGTTAGCGCTCACATAGACACTTTCATGCCATTAATCAAGCTAAAAACTAGCAGAAGACACATTCGAGTGTAATTTGCATACGGCTTCATTGTTGCACGTGGCATTTGCATTGTTAGTCAAGTTGCGTAATCATTCACATGAAAATACGGGGCATCTGTTAATAGGAAACGTTGACTTTAGTTACCCAGATTTCATTCTTATTGTTCGCTAGTAAAAATTTTAAAAGGACATATTTTATAGTTGTTTTATTATTCACTTATCACTGAAGTATGGACACTTAAAGAATTTTCGTAACATATATAATTTTTTTCTTCGTTAAGCGAAACTGGCAGAGTGGCAAACGCCAGAATGGTGCGGGGATCAACTCGGGAAATGGAAGGATTGTGGCAAATCCCCGCCAGTCTAGATAGCGTTGCGCGCATCGAACAAGACAGGCACGTTGTTTCATCTCCGCTCAGGATTTGTCTATATGATGTTTCACTATATACTGTATATATATATATTGTATATATGCATAAAATATATAGATATATAGATATATAGATATGTATATGTATATATATATGTATGTGTATTTAAATAGCATCATATAAAATATGTATGTAGATTTTTACGCTCTACAAATATATAAATATATATTGAATATACTTGGAAAAAGACTTTCATCCAATGCCAAAGAATTAGTATTGACTATTACAAAATATTGTGTACAAATTTTTAACTGTAGAATTCCTTTACAAACATTAACGAAGTGATAATTGTTTAATTCGATGGATAATGTCCTTAAACGTTGAGGAAAGGAATGTCTTATCAACATTTTAGATACATAACTATATATATTTATATATAAAAGAAACAAATTAACCAGAATTCCTTGTTTGTACCATACATCGTAAAAGTTTCTTTCGCCAACAAGAAAATTTACTATACTTAAACATATACATTTACGAAACGTAAATCGAAATCCTTGTTAAGTGGTGCCTATTCGTACTAAAGCCATTGGCGGATCACGTTAGTGTGAAGTCGGCTTTGCTAAGATATGCTCATGATCTGCACTTCTTTATGCTCATAACACGCACTTTAGAAGTGACACTAAAGTACCTAAATTGATACAGTTTGTTTTTTTGCTTACGGAAGAAGAATATTTATTATTTTCTTTGTGATAATGAATTTTTTTTTTTTTAAAAAAAAACATTTTCCTAAATTAAAATTTACGTCAAAAAATATTGGGAAATTTATGCTAGGGAAAATGACAGGTGCAGGAGATAAACGTCGGCTTTGTTATATCTATTTATTGCACGTGTGGGCAATATGACTTCAATTATAGGGCTGATGTATAAAATCGAACAGATCGAATACATGCAAAAATATTCATTGTCGGGGTGAATATATAGAAAGAGAAGAGTGTTCTTAATGCAAACTCACGTTCGATGACTACTCTCAAACTGACATCACACCAATATTCTATATAAAGTAGCGTTTGAGCAACAAACAACATTCTATTGACAATCAACACACAATTTGGATATACTGTCTGTTCTTTTCATGCCGTCGGCGCCAGTATTTTTTGCTAACCCCGAAAATTCCGCAAATAAAAAAAATACTATAAGCATTTCATATATCTGTCATCTAACTAAGGCAAAGTGTTAATTTTCTAAATAGCCCTATGATGTAATATAAGAAATACTTTTATAACTAATTATAAAGTTAATTCAAAGTAAATTTTTCGATGAATATAATAAAATGGAACGTTTTATCTTAAATTAGCTTTCTACATGCTACTTTTTAAACTATTATAACTTAATTTCAAAATATACAGATCAATTAACGATGTACGACACTCAAGAGTCTGATTAATGCTCTAGCACGTTTGTCGACGCGATCTTTCTGAATTGTTTGTCGATTTTATATGTGGCGAATAAATAATACAATAAATCGAATATCCATGCCCTTTCGGGTCGTTTTATGTCATATTAGCATATAGGAAACTATTGGCGCGCGCTAATACGACGCTGACGACAAGGGCATCGCCTTGTACACATCACTACACGCCTTCAGAGACACCGCTTTCGCATATCACTAGTAATTGTTTGGCAGAGAGGTCAAACTGTGACCAAGGTCAACTGATAAAGTGACGTCACTCTGCTTTCTATAATTAGGCGTCTCAGATATGCTTGACGACCGTCTCATGGGGCATCTATGAGTTTGTGATTTACAGTGACGCCTCCCTCACGTCACAAAGAAAGCCCGCGATAAATTCTCTCGGTCGCTCCATATCTTTGACGTCATCTCTCCTCCAATTACTAAACGCTTTGTATGAATATGAGAATAATATGACATCTAACATTGATGTTAGTGAAATATTCATATATGTTTATATTTGCGATACCTTATTTATTCTATTATATCAATTATAGGAGGGAAGTTTAAAACACAATTATCTTAGTATCGCGCACAAGTATTAATAAGATTTTAAATATCAAAGTAAGTATTAAGAAAGACAAACGAATGTTTATTTGAAAGGGTATACAAACCGCTAGAAAAATTGACCGATGCTAAATGAAGAAATGCAGGCATTCGATTGACTTGGGCGTCGCGACTGAGCGAACATTCTTAATCAACATTAATACGTAACTAGGCACGGCAAAGATATAGGCTGTCCCAATTGACCAGCATATGAGTAAAGGAGAACGCAGTCGGTGTGTATTGATTAATGTGGCTAATTTGCATAATTTATGAAGAATATATCCCCCTTATATATATCCGCCAATCTTAGCGCGTCTCACGCTTCAATAATTCTTGTGAGATTTCGTACTATTTTCTATGTTGAAGTGACTGTCAATAAGCAAAGCATATTCCTGTATTGCAGAAGATAAAGTAAATAAGTTTACAGAGATAGATTTATTTTCACTCTAAACCTATTTTTGCTAATAAAGACAAGCATAAATTGAATAATTTTTTTCATTAGGTTTTATTTCATTTTCAAGAATAATTTACCATATAGCACGCCCATCATCAATTAATCATATAATATAAAATATAAAGCCACAAAATCCAATCTCGTTTCTCATCTTTCAGGCGCGTCCTGAACGAAACAAGAATCCAATTAACTAACAACATTTTCAACTCGAGCTATAATCCGTAGCGTCTACCGAAAAAAAGCGTCGTTTATCGAGACCACCCAGAGCGTAGACGGTCACAATAGCTTTTTGATATCATCTGTAAACGACGACGTATCTGGATCTTGGGGGGAGTCAACCGTTGCGTATTCGTAATGACTTTTTAACATAAGAATATCTAGTTATTTAGTTATTAAAGGCAGACCAACTAGTTAACGAATTTCTTTTAAGCTATCCTTGAAAGTTTTTCGAAGGTGTCTTAATCCTTTCTAAAGTAAGAGTATTATTGAAAGTATTTCACTGACAAGAAGAAAAAGCGCTTTCAAACTGGAGTTTTAGATCAGTTTTGGAAGCGTCTAACGAAGACGCAAACGTTTATCGTGTACACGGTAAGCGGGCGTCATCAAAACGTTTGAAGTTTCCAGCACAAAGTCGGTTCGTGTAAAAGCACGTTGGAATTTGTTCATCGTAGCGTGGTAGTTGTAAAGAAGGACAAATCCGGTGAAAATCCAGATGATATTCTAAGAGGAGAGGAATTTGCTGGGCAAGCTCGACAAATCTGTATCGCAATTTCTCGATACATGAGTTTATTGGATTTATGTAAAAAGTGGCGAACGGCAGGTGTTAAATTGTATATATGACGCGAGCTAGTGAAGAGTATATTGAGTTGAGTCATAAAGAAGAAAAGTAGCCGGAAGAATGAGATTTAGCGAGTCAACTGTTATTGGCGATCCCGCTCTGAATACTCTCCATCCGCCATGGGAGTCCTTCGCATCGAAAATATCCACCATTCTTTTTGTTTTTTTTTGCTTCAGATATTTCATCAATCTCGAATTAGTGAGTACTTAATTTTTTGACGGGTTTCTTTTTGAAAAGTGTGAAGCATTTTACCAACAGGTGGCGTACCGATAGATAGATGCAACAGCTAAAATTTTTCGCCCCCTTTCGGATATACGATATGCCAATCAAGCTTCTTTTTTTAAAAAATGTGCTTTTGTTAATATTTACATACAGTCTTTGAAAATTATGTTAAATATGACATACTTCTCTTCTATAGCTTTGCTTAGCCAACAAAATTTGTAAGAAATTCTCTGCATACTTTTTTATCTCTTCTTTTAAATGAAACAAGAAGATCTTACATTTGACAATTTCAATTAGAATACTTAAAATTTTCTAAAGTTAAAAAGTGACGATTATACAACAATTGCGCCATCTCTCGGCTAACACGTTTATAAAAACAAAAAGACTATTAAAAAGTCTATATTGAAATTTAGACGTGTCTCTAGTTTAATATAATAAATTTCGAATTGGTCGAAGTACAGAAGGATTAATGTTTTAAATTAAATATCACCAAATAAAGGAATACGGTAGAATAAAGAGGAAAAAGTAATTCCTAGACATACATACATACGTTACTATACAGACATTGCACCGCTGTTTAGTTGACGCTATGAAACGAGATTTTCACTTTTCCTAACGCTATAAACTTTCAACGAAAGGTGACATCTTAATTATAACTTCGGTGGCCTCATTTTGAACTTTGAAAAAATAATTTAATAAATAATATCTATATTAAATTTTTAATATCCCATATAAAATGTTGATAACACAAGAAGAGTATCGCCGCACTTTTAGTATCTTTATAGCTAATATAGCAACAAAAAAATGTTATATACGATTGACATTGCGATAAAGCTTTACAGATCGGATTGATTGGTATATACCTTACATATCTATAGTGACTATGTAACAATTTTACGGATTGTTTGTATAGTTTCCTATTAAGATTATGCTTTGGATAAGGATCACTATTGAATTCAAATGAGACGGTTTGATCAAACAATAGTCCTAGTTTTTTTTTTTAAAAACAAATAAAATTAGCTTTTAAAGTTACAATTTAATAATTACATGCAACATGAAACTTTAGCCTCGCGTATAGTTATACATGTTTAACTGAAAACAATTCGACTTGTTTCGTTCACTTGATGAACAGCAGATGGCATTTCAATTTTAAGGGTTCACGAAGCGACATCTAGCGCTCTGTTCTGAAAAATATTGTTTAGGGTCATGGATAAACTATTAGGGCGGAAATGTAAAATATATTGCATTTATATTATAATTAAGGATTGTTAATGAACATCTAAGGCCATGCCGCCTAAAGCTAGTGACTGAGAGAGCTGCAATTTATAGCCGTCTCGCACCACTTCGTTTCGGAAGTGGTTTACTATATCGGCTCTTTGATGTGTTTAATCGTTGAAAAGAATTTGCGCACCGTCACCCCCACCTAGCTAATAAAGTTTTACCAAACACGTTAATCTGACAAAGACCCTTCCGGTCAGCTCGTTCGATTCGCATCGAATCACCAGGGGTTCGGACAAGAGCAATCATTTTGTATATAGATAGGGTGATTAACTTTGCAAAATTGTATATATATATACATTTGATCAGATATGTATATCAATTTTGTATTAATCGCAGTTTGTTACATAGTTGATTGAATGAAGAATGAAAACATTAAAATTTTCCGAATATCTTGCATATATTGAAACATAAATGAAATTCCAGTCAACGTGTCAAACTTATGACGTTCGTTGTCTTTTCGAGTGGTTTATTCTCAACAAGCCCACATACCAGCCACGCCTAAGGCCATAACTGCATTGATATTCGACAATTTATCGCTTCGGTGAACTGATGATTTTCTTCATACATATGCAACACCTCTCTCCTTCTTTGTGTACATTATTCGTAAGCCAAATGCATATATTAATATAATATATAGACTTGTAATTTTCCACTTTGAATATTACTGTTGTAATTTGAATAATTTAGTTTATGTTTATGATTCCATGGATTTTTTTTTACTTCTTTTTTTTGGAGCTAAATTTATTTTATCCTCTCTTTTTTTATCCCCAACACAGTATAAATAAGAGAAATCAGTTTACACGAAATCTCAATGGCTTGCCTCGATTTTGGAGTGTTCTGATTTATCAGCAGATAAGTACAAGGTGATACAGGTACAACGCCCGGCGCCGCTAAAGCTTCAAAGTGAAAAGGAGTAAAGTTGAAGTTGACAGGCGTCTAGCTCGCTTTTTAAACTGTTTACCTACGTTTTGTAATCACTCGGTATTGTTTGCAGTGCGTATACGAAGGTACGTGATTCCTCTTCTTTTCTTATCACCATATGCATTTTACAATAGAAGACTTAAACTGTTGAAGAGTCACTCATTTATGTATAAATTTTAGACGTTTTGTTTGCATAATAACGAATGGAATTTGCTAGGCCTCAGAATTATCTTTGGGCCTTTTAAGCAAATGATTGAAGAGTATTACGTCATTTTCCCAGTCAATTCCCACAACTTTTCATCTATTCGAAATCAGAGCAAAATATTCGTTGAACGAGTGCGAAACGTGCCGATTACTTCCTGTCTTAGTTGAGCACGTGTTTGAAGCATATTTCTGACAAACCCATATTAAATAGTTGTACTATGTGGAATTTCATCAATCTTCTCAATCTTGCATCAATTAGCTTGAAATACGACACTATTGATCATGGATCATTCAGACTCCGAAATACAATGTCGCATTCTCGAGTCTCTTGCATAACCGCTCCTTTCGTAGCCATTCGCAAAATGCTCGTTTGACGAATCTATAAAAAGCATTCGGTTAATCCTTATATACCTGCGTTGACCCCTGCTTGACCAGTATTTTATTTACGCCCTCCTCTATATACCATACATTTCCTAAGTGGCACCATTCAATTAACATTTTCATAAAACACACCTGTGCATAACGTATCATATTATGTAACAACATTTGGGACATTGACTGATTAGGTGTTTACCAGACGCGTGCCCATGAGTAAGAAACAACTATGCTATCCTTAGTAAACGAGTGGATGCATAAGTACAGTATGTAAATTTGGAAGGTTCAAAGTTCAAGCGTCAGTTAAATTAGTTCTACGTACCAGCGATCGTTTCCTATTTCGCGATCTGATTTTACGGTACAGGTGTCGATTTATCAATTGTGCAGATAACGGGCTAAACACATTAAACATTTACTACACAAAATACTAGGATTAATGTCCGTTTTAAGAACAGTAAACGATAAAGTTTATTTTTATTTTCATAAATTATCTATCAGCAATATAATGAATCTTTTGTTAAAAGATTTTTATATTTTCCAGCGTAGCCTTTTGTTTACTATATATATTTTTGAGATTACCACCATCATCATTGGGTTATCATCCTATTAACAATAGATGATAAGATAATCTCTGTCGATAACTTTCAAGATCCTATTGCTCTTACTAGCTTTAGTGCCTGGGATAGCGTGAATAAAATATATTAGTCTTTTTTTGCTGATTCTTAACAAACAACTTTGATCTGGTTTCATTAGAATTTTAATTCTTAATGAAATTTTTATATATATAATGATACCAACGGAGTTTAAAGTATCATAAAGAACATATTTAAGAGCGCAGGTGCGTTCCAACATATACTATCTAACAAGATTTAAGTGTTTTTCTGAGACTGGTCAAAGCCTGTTGTTGTGATATTCGAGTGCTAAATATGTTCTGATTGTTTGCTGTACGGCACCGACGCGATCGGGCGTCAATTAGAAGTTATAAGAGAGCATCGGAATGTGAGGCGGAGTCTGATCGCTGATTGGATAGAGTAAAATTATAAATAGGCGTACGGAACTTTTCGCGTAAATCTTTAGCGTTTGACACGCGCTCACTACGGGCATTGGAATGTGTACGAATTTAACGAAATCTGATACATTTCCCACAGGATGCGAAAGGAGCTTTTCTCTTCATCGGACAGCTACAGATCCTGGCGTTTACTCTTATCAAATTCCTGATAGGTTGGTTTTGGTTCCGTCGGCTGTAGAGAAACAATCGTCTGGCTTAATAAGAGACGTTTTCTATGAATGTAAAAAATTAGCATCTTACGCTCTTCCACTCTCCTTCTCCTTCAACTGTCTTGTCTTCAAAAGTAAACCTTTAATCAATAGACAAAATGAATATGGTATAGTTGTTGTTTTGTGCCCATCAAGCCATGGAGTAGAGGATCAAAGGTGGAGGAACTATGGCGAAGCAGAGCTTATTGGGGCATGCTTTGCTCCTAAATTTATTAAACCAGGTTTGTTTTATATTTCAAAAGTTACAGCTAAGTTTTTCTTAAGTCAGTAGTTAATCAAATCAAAACTAGCTTCATAGAATGAATGGTTGACTGTGGCGGCGAGATCAAACGAAGTATTTCTATACCAACAAAAGTCCGTATTCGACTAGGTTAAACGTTTATCGTCAGACAGTTTTGATGAATGCATAAGTTAGACATAATCTTTCTCTGTTAAGAAAATATAGAATTTCAAAAAGTTTTTATCCTCTTATCTAATTGAAGAAGCTTTATACTTAAAATGGTGCTGATTTTATATTCAACTATATGGTACGCTCATATGGTTTTCCAGCACGAAGCTTTTAGGCTATTCAATATTGATTTAAGCGATTGCTGACAGCCTACAGCAGTATTCTTTCTATAGGATTTAAAGCACAAGTAGGCCTAAACAGGCGCGGCGTCGAAGTTTTGAATCTATAGACGTGTATTGACACTGGTTTTTACGCCTAACGGAACGACTGTGGAATTCGAGGATTGTTCGGTATTTGAGTATTGCTTTAAGATTTATCGAAGGGTTTTTTCTTTAAATCTTTACTTTAGGCCCAAAGTATTTAGTCTTTTGGCGTTATCGTCTAAAGTTATGCGCCGGAAATGTATTATTTCGTGGCACTTTATCTACTATATCGCATTTCGTTTAATTTGCGTTTCAAATTTTCCAGGTAAACTTCGAATACGACTGGTATCAAACTACATTAAACCGGATATTGTGCAGGACGAAGCAGGATTTTTTAAAGAGGAGAATCATTTTAGAGGTGGACAAGTGGAAAAACAATTCGCATGCTTGAATAAGGTTCGTGGGAATGAAATAATGATAATATAAAAACACGCTATCACTACAATGGTTGTCATAACATTCGTTTCCGTTACGCTAATTACTTTAGCAGTGGTTGACACTGCGGCTTCAAAGTATTTTTGATAAACATTTGTCCTTTGTTAACAGGGAAATGGTGATTTATGCACGGGTAAAGTAGTGGTTGAGAGCGTTAGAGGGGAAACAAGCGAAACAATCTTTGAAATCAACTTATACTGGAAGAATAAAATAACACCTGATATAAATGATACTGATGAACAATGGGCTCTTTTAGCGATCAAGGAATTAGCTTGTAAGTATTTCAGATCACTGCAAATGTGTATATAATAATGTAAATATAGGCCCTAAATACCTAAATAAACGTGACCTTTGACCGAAACCTCAAATGGTCAGTTTCGCATATGTATATATAGCGCACGTCGTACGCGTGTCTGTTTGTTCAAAACCGCGTGGCAGGTAGGGGCCTTGTAATCGAATTTACTTTTCCCATCATTCAATATTTCTTACACGTTTAGGTATGCTTCGAATAAATGACGAAGAAAACTGGCGTATTTTAGCTCATGAATTGCACGTTAGCGAAGCTGAAATCTCGTACACCTTAACACCCTCCCCAGATCCGATTGCAAGATTATTTTTATTATACAAACGACGCGGTGGAACACCTCAGCGATTCGTGCAATCATTGTATGCTGCCAGTAGGCTTGTTAGTGTCTCATCTTCCCTACCAACTCGAACGGTAGAAACAAATGTTTCCGACTTGAATAGTGACGAAGTAAAAAAGAGAATTCGAGAAGCTCTACGTAATATAGATGACAAAGATAAGACAGAAGACGACGAGGATGCAACCATCATATGTGAGTTTTTCAAATGAGATAGTATCAATTTTTTTCTAACTCGATTTAAATTCTAGTATCTCAAGCCGATTGGAATAAAGAGATGTACGCACCTCTGACCCCTCCAATATCACCAATGAAACGCAAATCTAGTGAAGAAGACAGGGTGAATTTTAAGAAGCGTTGTGCCCAATGAAAAAATTTTTACACTAATCTGCTCCTTTTTTTACTTTGGATCTCGTTTCCTGTTAACTGGCATTTAATATATTGTATGCATTTAACCGTGATCGTGTTCCCAGCCAACTAGCCTTAATTTATTTTTATAAGTTTGATCATGTTCAAGATTTGATACTGAATAGAGGATGTATTATAGTATTGTAGATATTTTTGTATCCCTCAAGTGTTCTTTTGAAGTTTGCTTAATGCTATGCGTTGACTTATAACCCGTATACTTTTACTTATCATGTCCGTCCATCTTGTATTAATATACGCGTTGGTTTAAGTAGTAAAATAGTATCTAGTTTCGATTTTAAGCACAAAGTTTTTAGAAACGAGAAATAGCAAAATATCATAACTGTTAGATATCACTTTTCACGAATAAATGTTAATATAAATACAGTATTATGCCCTATCATATAAAGGTGTGTATATAATTTGTAAGATACGAAAAATATGAAAACCAATGCTAACAATTTTCTCAGCAGTAGCGACATGTAGGGAAATAGTATCGAAATGAAAGAAAAGCAGTAACAACATGGTAATATAAATGTGTAATTTTTTTTAGCACTTGCAATGATTGCTGGAATTTTGCGTCTAGAAATCTGTTATCAAGTCTATTTAGAAAGGCTAAATCATAAGTTACGAATGAGATAATAGCTATAAAAGATAAATGTCAAGCAGAATTAAGCCGTTGAATCATCTGGAGTTGACCGCGTTATTTTCATAGAATCGCTAGTTCCATCTGAACTAGCCACAGAATGATCAATATCGCCATCATCACTATCGTCCAGAGCAGCTATGCCTCGCGAGGTTAATATGCTGTGACGTCCCATTCGTCTGAAGAATTACATATTAATTAAATACATTGGAAATAGTCTGAATCGAGTTCATGCGGCAAATATGTTAGAAAGAATATAATTAATATTAGAGCTGTCTGTAAATCATTAAGATAAGACATACATCTTTCTAAGCAATTGAATAGTATAGATGATAAAAATAGGTCATGCTAGACAAATATATAATGCAGTTTTACCGTTAACTGCTTCAGTTTTCACCCCCGCTTTTGATAAGATTGGAGATTATACACTAAATAAAATCGGAAGAAACTATTCTACACTTACCCCGAGAGACCTTGATTAGCATTTCTTAATTTGGCTTTTAAAGTTTCGTTTTCTATTTGTAGATTATGAATAGTTTCATTTGCCTCGTCCAATTCTCGGTGGATTTTCCTTTTTTGTTGATTTACTCTACTAGTTTCCTCTTCACCTTCAGCCAATTGCCTTTTAACAAGTTTAACTTTATTATTAGCTTGTTCCATTTGTTCTTTCATTTGCTCTGCGATTCTACGTTCGTCGTCAATAGCCATTTGCATATCTTTCAATTTCTTGTCAGCTTTTCGAGTCTGTCTACTTAACAGCGTCTTTTCACGAAGTTCCTGAAATTGGAAAATTTAAGTAGAATAAAAATAATTTTTAAATATTTCAAGTTTATACTTTATCCAATTGTCCTTCCAGAGTCACAATTTTTCCTTCTAGCTGTTGTCGATTCGTGCGATTTATGGTCTGCACTTGGTCTTCAAGTTCAGCTATCTTGGACTTCAAGTCTCTATTCTGTCGTCCTAATTTTTCGCATTCAACTTCCATTTTTTGCGCATTGCCTCGTTCTGACTGAAGTTCGCTGGTTATCTGCTCAACCTGTTGCTGTAATTTTCGTAACCTGTAAGGGAAATATAAGACTTAATGATGTACTTGATTAAACAATGTTAACTATAAATCTTACTTTTCTTCCAGGGCTTCTGAATGGCTTTGCTCATCATCTAATTCTTCTTCTAGTTCCGTTAAACGACCATCTAATTTTTTCTTTTCTTCTATTGCTGAATTCTTTAGAGATTCCACGGTGGCTAAGTCATTCAGTGCCTCATCTCTCTCGGCTTCAGCCATTTTCTTTACTCTTTCCATATTTTGGAAAATGTCATTGGTTTGTTGTAATTCTCCTTCGAGTTGCTTAACTCGTCTCTCAAGTTGCCTCAATTTGTTGATAGCTTCATCCTTTTGTTGAAAAGCCTCCTGAGCCTCCTTCTGATACTGCTGAGCAGTTACTGAAGCTCGTTTCAAAGCTTTATTAGTTTCATCCCTTCCTCTAATTGCATTTTCCAAAGCTTCGTCTTTGCTATTTAGTTGGAATTCTAATTTCTTTTTTTCAGAAAGAATTGTATTTTTTTGTTTTCTTTCTTCATCTAAGTGATTTTCCAAATCTCTTAATTGTCTAAGTAGAGCTCGTCTAGCGTCTTCTTCACTTTCCTCCTTCGCAGCTCTCTCTCTTTCCATTTGTTGTTTGAGAGCATTGTACGTGACTTCAATTCTAGATTTAGCATCTTCCGCCAGAAGCACCTCGTCTTCTCGTTCTATCAAAAGCTGCTCCAACTCTTGAATTTTATCATTCAATAATCTGTTATTTCGTTCTAATTCAGCAGCGTTTTGACCTTTAGCGTCTTTACTGGAGATAATCTCATCTAATTCTAATTTTTGTCTTTTATTTATTCTGTCCAGTTCATTCATCCTGACAGCAACATCTTCTACTTCTCTTTGGAGGGTTAGAATTTTAGTCTCTTTATCTCTGCATTCGCTTGCGATTTGATCGCGTTCAGCGACGACTTTATCTCGAGCTACTCTCTCTTCAGCCATTCCTTGGTCGAACTTTCTAGCTTTACGGTCCAAAGTTGCAAGCTGATTGCGTGACTGAGCAACTTCATTTAGAGCGTCTTCCAATTCAGTTTGGTACTTATTTCTGGATTTTAGCGCTTTGTCAAGATCTAGTTGCATAGCAGAAAGGCGATCTTCCAATTCAATGATGTCTCTGGAAAGTTTTGATTTGGATTCTTCTGCTGTTTTAGCGGCTAATGATTCAGCCTCTAGATTTCTCTTTAGATCAGCTTCTTTTCTCTCTCTTTCATTCAGTTTTGCTTCGTATTTTCCTTTCAGCTCTTCTAACTCTACAATTTGATCATTAAGATTGTCGTTTTCTCTCTCCAGAGTTCTGAGTTGATTTTGAAACGAGAGTTTTCCCCTAGTTTCGTCTTCAAGATTGGCTTGATTGTCATGCAATTGGCCTTCAAGAAATTCCACCTGCTTCTTGGATTGGGCAAGCAAAGATTCAGCTGCTGCTAGTTGTTGGCTGTAACTATCAATTTCTAACAGTAATTTACTGGATCTTTCTTGTAAATCATTTCTTTCGCCTTCGGCTTCATTTAGACGCAGCTGATAATCAGCATTACTAGATTCAGCAATTTTTCGTTTCCTATCTGCTTCTGATTTGGCACTCTGTAGTAGTTTATTTTCATTCATTAAATCGCTATTTTCGGCCTCTAAAGTAACTCGAGTCTTCTCCAAAGTTCCCTTTTGTTTTCTCACTTGGTCTAACTGCTCATTTAGTTGTTCTACTTGTTGAAGGTTTTTTTGTTTTAGAGCAGCAATTGTTCTATCTGCCGATTTTTTTTCGTCTTCTATAGCATGTATAGTTTTCTTCAATTCGTCATCCCGTTTTCTCTGCAGGTCGTGAACTGCCTGATTATGATCTTGGGTCTCCTCCAATTCATTTTTCATTTTTTCAAAATCATTTTCCAATTCTTTTCGTTGATGATCGACACGCTTTCTCTTTTCACGCTCTTCTTTTAAATCTTCATGGGCTTCAGTAATTTGAGCTTCGAGATCTCTTATTTGCCTTTGCATGGATGTTCTCCCTGTTACTTCTTCTTCAATTTGGGTTAAAGCATTTTGTAACTCATTTTCTCTTTTGCTTAATTGAGTTTGTAATTCTGTGAGCTGCTCCATTTTTTCGTTTAGTTGGTCTTTTACTTCTACTAATTCCTGTTCTAGTCGTCTTTTAGCTTTTTCTAAATTAACTCTCAACTCTTGCTCCTTCCTAAGCCTATCTTCCAAATCTTTAATAGTATTCTCATATTTTGTCTTTAGCCGTCCCAACCCTTTTCCTTTTTCTTCCTCCTCCCCAAGTGACTGAGTTAAATCGTTTACTCTCTCCTCCAAAGTCTTTTTCTCTTTTGCAGTTCTCTGTAAAGTGTCTTCAAGCATAGCCGAAGTTTCTTCAAATTTTTTCAATTTAGTTTCCATTTGCATTTTTTCCATTTGTATTTTTTGCCTCATTTGTTCTTCATCCTCTAATTGATCTTCCAAGTCTTTTAATAAACCTTGAAGCTTGTTTTTCTCTCTTGAAACTTCCTCTATTCTTTGGACTTCTTCTTCACATCTAGTTCCCATATCAGTTAACATATCTTCCAGCTCTTTTTTTCGTTCTTGCAAACGAAGACGTTCTTCATCTGCTTCTTGTGCTGTCTCAGCTTCTTGACGAAGTTTTTCACTAAGGATGTTCTTTTCCTCTGCTAACTGAGCAACCTGGTCTCGCATTACGGTTACATCTCGTTCTGCATTTTCCAACATTCGAGATGCGTCTTTATACTTTGTTTCCATGTTTTGTAGTACCTCTTCATGTTTAGTAGCTTGTAAAATAGGCTTAACTTTCGTAAAGAGTCGCCACCATTGCCAGTTTCTCAGTTTCAAATATGCTGCACAATTTCTTTGAATTACCTTGAGTGCATTTAATTGTTGTTGCCTCTTATTCAACTGTCGACGAGCAAGACATCCTCGGCAGTACGCTTGAAACTGTATTATCAAATCTGTCAAACGCAAATCTCTTTCCTCTTCAAGATGAGCTAAAACACCCGCTCTGAAGAAGATTTTAGATTGCCCAATACGGAATAAATTAGTATCAAGTTCCAAAGATTGTAACATTCGTCTGCAAGCTTCTTTCCCATCCATAAATCCACGAGGAATAACGTTAGGAGTAAGCAATTCATATCGTTGTCTAAATTCCTGAAAGAGTATTCGATTTGGAAACCCTTGTCGACAAATTCTTATTCCCTCCAACACACCATTACATCTTAATTGATCCAAGACCAAATGAGCATCTATTTTTCCAGCCTTCTTCTCGTGATTTGGAATGATACAACGAACAAAATTTGGATTGGTATTGTTTAATGTGGACATTAACCTCGAAAGCTGCTCCTTATACAATCCACCAACAGTTCTAAACATTCCCTTACGCGTTCTTGCACCAAACTGAGATTCTGCTGATGCCATATTACTCATTCCTATAATTTCTGCGTCTTTCCAAATATTTTTAATGAAAGTATCATTTGATTCTTGAAGTAGCTGTACAACATTTTCATTCAAGGGGTCCATATTTTTCAAAAGCCATTGATCGCACGAATAATCTACATCACCAGCGTAATGTCTAAGAGTAAAGGAAATATTATTTTTCCTCAAAGCTTCTGGTTTTTTGAATTTTGGATGATTAGAATGTTGTTGAATTAATTTATTTATCAAAGTTTTATCGTTTGCCTTTGGAAACCAGCACTCTTCATCTATGAGAGACAAAATACCAACAGGTTTTTCAAGGAGGTCAATGGTTGGTTGAAGATCTAATCCAAAATCAATGAATGTCCATTCGATGCCTTCGCGTTTGTATTCTTCTTGCTCCATAATGAACATAGTGTGGTTAAACAGCTGTTGCAACTTCTCATTGGTATAGTTGATGCAAAGTTGTTCAAAGGAATTCAACTGAAAAAAAATAATAAATTAAAAAATTGTTAATTAGTTTTCATAATACGAGGAAACAAAAAAATTTCTTTATATCTTCTATCCAATCAATTATCTATCATCGAACGTTTCAGCTAAAGTATTAATAATCTATAATTCTAATTATCGAAACAACACGACAAACGTAAAATCCCAGAAAATCTAAAATAAAAATAATAATAACAACAACAATTCGCCGGAAGTCAGCTTACCTTATCAACACCCTGGAAGATTTACACACAAGGATAAATGATTATTTCAGAAAAACTTCCGCAAATTAAAAATATCTATTATTCACCGTATCATAATGATTGACTCACGAAAATGCATAAATGTTACTCACATGAAAAATTTCAAATCCGGCTATGTCTAAAATACCAATGAATGATGCTCCTTGTCGTTTGGTCCTATCAAGAGATTTGTTAATTCTTTGAACCAACCACTTAAACATTCTTTCATATATGGCCTTGCTGATAGCTTCTACTGCAAATTCGACTTGTTCCTTTGTTTGCGCTTTATTAACGTACTCTCTTCCCACGCGTATTCTTGGTCTGAGGAATGCTCTAGTCATTTCCGTTACGGGAACTCCTAGAAGATGGCAAGCTTTTTGTGCAACAGTATTATCTGGAAGAGTTGCTTGTTCCTGGCGTGCATCCGCCTTTATTTTAATGTTTCCTAATTGCAATACTGCGGAAATTGTTTTCAAAACTGCTAGTATTTCTTCTTCCACAAATCCCATGATATTCATAGCATCTAAGAGCTGTTTATACATATCAATATCATCAGTTCCTGGAACGGGTACTTGACCATAAGTTAAATATCTATATTCTTTTATGTCTTGTAATAGTAGCTGGCTTCTCTGCTCCGGATCTTTACAGCCGGCAAGTAACTGGTAAAATATGTGGAAGCTTCTCTCATCAGGAGCTTGACGAACAGCTCGTGATTTTTCCAGTAAATAGGTCTCAATGTTAGCTCCAGATATGAAGCCAGAGGTATCAAAATTGATGCGTATAAATTTACCAAAACGAGAGGAGTTGTCATTTTTAACTGTTTTGGCATTTCCGAAGGCTTCAAGAATTGGATTAGCCTCCAGCAGTTGATTTTCTAGTTCTCCCTTTAAAAAGATTTATCATGTTTACTGTCAAATTACTTTTTAATAAATTGAAATTGCATGCAAGGACAACAAATGTTTGAACTTAAAATATATCTAAATTCTCAAGAGGTAGCCAAATATGTTAGACTGCCTCTACTTATTTATGCCACACGCTATTTTATTACTAAAAAAAGATTTTTCAATTGGCGCAGGTCCAAAGAATAGTATAAAACCAATTCGTTATTAATAATACGCAACTGTTGTATTATACTAGGCTTGTTAAATGCATAGCGCGCATACTTCCTTCTAAAGTGCAATTTATAATAAAGTCAGGATAACGTGGCGGCGACAATATCCGTATATATATATACTAAAAAATTGGTATAAGCTTATTCTGTTATCGGATTTCTTGATAAGGTTTTATATGAAAAGCCCTCTAATTTATTCTATTATATATATATTAAATATATTATTTATAATGTTAAATGATGGAAAGGGATTGTTTACTAGATATAATTGTGGAGTTATAATTAAATAGTAAAACGATAAATTAATATATGTTAGCCTATATAGCTATTCAACAAATGAACAATAAAGATAAGCTACTAAACAAATAGTTTGTTTGGTTACTTTAAACCACCACAGCAAACCATAAGCGATAGAGAATTAATTGCGTTTAGGATGGGTTTTAACATCAAGGAAATAGACACTTCAAAGCCACACCAGAAACCAATACTTACCAAATTAATATCCTTATACTGTCAATCGTAACAAAATGCATTAAGAATAATATAGGGATAGAATTAACATGCAGCTTTATATCAGTATAATTATAACAATAAGTCATATGCGGAGGTAGCAAAATTTAGCTTGATTCATAGTTTTATTTGTTTACCTTTTCAAAAATGTTTCCCTCACTCTGAAGATATCTCGTACTCATGAGCTTAACTTTTACTAAGTATTAGACAAATGTGACTTACCTTCATTTGATCTATAATATTAGAGGCTGTTTGCTTCTGAGATTTCAAGGAGGCAGCAACATGAGCCAAATATTGAATAACCTTTTTGGTGTTTTCAGTTTTACCAGCTCCAGATTCTCCAGTGCAGAGGATACTCTGGTCCTCTCTATCCTGTAACATGGAGCGATAAGCAGCATCGGTAATGGCGAAGATGTGAGGAGGAACTTCATGGCGTTTTCTTCCTTTGTACAGCTCCACAACTTTACCCGAATAAATCGGATAGCTTTTGTACGGATTGATAACAACGCAGAACAAGCCCGAGTAGGTCTACAAGAACATAATTAGGCATTAACTGGTGATAAATGCTATTAATAGAAGACAGCGAAACTTATGGCTGTCAAGTATAATTTATCATTTCAGCATACGATCAGCTGGCTGCTTTAAAATTTTAAAACGGACATGTTTTGCATGCAAAAAAAGTAATATATCAATATACTGAATTAGGCTTACATAGATAAGACCAGAATAATATCGTTCCTTAAGATTGTGGAGAACGGAAGCTTCATTTAAACAAGTTAACTCAGCCATATCTTCTACTTTGTCAAATTTTGGTGGATTCATCCTTTGGGTGTCATCCTTGTTTACCTTCACTCTTTGACCATTTTCCTGTATTACTACAATCACTTTTTCTGGATCACTGTCGTCATCTACCGAAGCCTGCACAAATCCTTGCGTCTTGTGTGGTACCCATAATAACTTTTTCGCTGCCCAAGAAGCTTGGATGGTTGGATTATTCACCACTCCCCTATTGTCGACAGCCAAGAATTGTAATTCCTGTCCAGACAGTCCAGTTTCGGTCAAGTCAGCAGTGTCCTGTTTTAAATTTGCCATACTCTTAGAATTAAGAGGTTTTCTAGAAATCCTTCCTCTAAATTAGTAAGCAGGAAGGCGTATTAGTTTTCTTCAGGTGTCGCCGCGGCGCTCGTAGACAAATGTGAAAATGAAGGGTGTCACGTGATAAAGTTTTCGAATAAAACTTGCCTTTTATAATAATGTAGAAGTAAAAAAAAAGATTTTTTTTAATTTTTTGTAAGAAGTTAACTATATTTGAGAAGTCAATTATGAAATTCCAACTTTTTAGACGAGAAAAAAATTTGCGCGGTTAGAATAGCGTTTTGCGATATTTACAAATATTTCTTCAGAATATTATCTCTAACTTTATTCAAAAAAAACAGTGAGGGCTGGTCTAATATTTTTAAATATGTCACAAGTTTCAGATGATCGAGATATATTTTTTGTGAGTATTTCGTGTTAAATTTAACATTTCCTGAGCGATAATAAACATATATAATATTTCTGAAGGAAGAAGATGATTTAAAATATGAAGAAGAGATTCTTCGGAATCCATATTCTGTCAAATCGTGGCTAAGATATGCAGAATATAAAAAGGAAGGGCGAAAAGAAGTATTAAACCTAATTTTCGAGAGAGCATTAAAAGAATTGCCTGGCAGCTACAAACTATGGTATAACTATTTGCTAATAAGAAGAAAGCAGGTTGAACATCTTTTAGCCACTGATCCTGCATTAGATCAAGTTGATAATGTGTTTGAGAGATCCCTAGTTTTCATGCATAAAATGCCCAGAATTTGGTTGGAATATTGTAAATTTCTAATGGATCGCGGTCAGATAACAAAAACTCGAAGGACTTTTGACAGAGCCCTCCGTTCTCTTCCTGTAACGCAGCATGATCGTATTTGGTCCCTCTACTTAGCATTCGTTCAATCCAATGACGTTCCTGAACTAGCTTGTAGAATATTTCGTCGCTGTTTGAAATTAATGCCCGAAAAATCAGAAGATTATATAGATTATTTAATATCTGTCGACCGTCTTGATGAAGCTGGACAACTATTAGCAAATATTATCAACGATGAAGACCATGCCTCAGCCAATGGTAAATCCAAACATCAGTTGTGGAATGACCTTTGCGAGTTAATCTCAAAAAACCCAGGTAAAATTCACTCTCTTAAAGTAGAGCCCATCATCAGACAAGGAATTAAAAGGTTTGATTACATTTGCTATTTTTTCAAGTATTAAATGTAGTCTGATAATTTTAGGTATACAGATCAAGTAGGTGTTTTATGGAATTCTTTAGCGGATTATTATATAAGGAACGGTCATTTTGAGAAGGTAAAAACTGATAAAAGTTTAAAGTAGTTTTAGTACTATTGATTGAAACTTCAGGCTCGGGACGTATATGAAGAGGCTATCAAGACTGTTAAGACAGTAAGGGATTTCACGCAAGTTTTTGATGTGTATGCTCAGTTTGAGGAAAATATGGCAACTTCATCGATGGAGGCTGACGCCGCTGTTGATGATGCTGAAATTGATTTGCGTTTGGCTAGACTTGAATGGCTAATGGAGAGACGTCCTCTATTGCTAAATAGTGTACTTTTACGTCAGAATCCGCATAATGTTCTTGAGTGGCATAAAAGAATAGAACTTTACGAGGGGAAATCAGTAGAAGTTTGTATATACGTTAGATTGAAATGTAAAATGACATTTTTGTTTTGCCAATTAGATAGTAAAAACTTTTACGGAGGCTGTTCAGACAGTAGATCCCAAGTTAGCAACTGGTAAACTATACACATTATGGGTTGAATTCGCAAAATTCTACGAAAAAGCCGATCAAATATCAGATGTACAGTATTTCCATTCTTATCATTGATATTTAATATCATAGCAATTTTATTTCTACAGGCTCGTAATATCTTCGAAAAATCCATAACTGTAAATTTTAAATATGTTGATGATTTAGCATCGATTTGGTGTGCTTGGGCCGAAATGGAGTTACGTCATCAGTAAGACTTAAATTGATTAATAATATTAATACGCAATAACATATCTTTCTTATGAAGCAATCCAAACGAAGCTTTAAAATTACTTCAAAGAGCAACTACGCCACCGAAGAAACGTGTAAATTATCATGATGAGGTAAATTTTTTATTTATATCGAATATTTTTATGCATTAAATATGTTTCATATCATCAGACAGAAACAGTGCAAAATCGCCTTCATAAATCCTTAAAACTGTGGAGTTTATATGCTGATTTAGAAGAAAGTTTTGGGACATTTAAGAGATGTAAAGCAGTTTATGATCGAATCATAGATCTACGAATTGCAACTCCCCAAATCATCATTAACTATGGGCTATATTTAGAAGAAAATAACTATTATGAGTATGCATTTAAAGCTTATGAGAAAGGGCTAGCACTATTCAAATGGCCTAACGTTTTTGATATATGGAACACCTACCTCACGAAATTCATTAATAGATATGTAAGTCAGTTAATTTTAACCCTTTTATAATAATTATAAGCATAATATTCTCAGGGAGGAAAGAAATTAGAAAGGGCTAGAGATTTATTTGAACAATGTTTAGAATATTGCCCACCAAAATTTGCTAAATGCTTCTATTTACTCTACTCCAAACTGGAAGAAAATCACGGCTTGGCTAGACATGCCATGGCAATTTATGATAGGGCGTGCACTGCAGTTCTTCCTGAAGAGCAACCTGAAGTAAACAAACAATTAGCTTTTAATTATATACATAAATAACTTTCTTTTCCTAGATGTTCAATATATACATCCGGCGGGCGGCTGAAATATATGGAGTTTCTCATACGAGAAGCATATACGAAAAAGCGATTGATGTCTTAACCGATAAGGACGCACGGGAGTTTAGCCTCAAATTTGCTGATTTAGAACGAAAACTTGGGGAAATAGATAGAGCTAGAGCAATTTATGCACATGCATCGCAAATGTGTGATCCAAGGGTACTTAAACATTTATATAAGAATATGTTTATATCTAATGGCGTATTACTACTCTTTTCAGATTACTCTTAAATTTTGGAAAACTTGGAAGGAATTTGAAATCAAGCATGGAAACGAAGATACGGTTCGTGAAATGCTTCGAGTTAAAAGAAGTGTACAAGCTACTTATAACACTCAAGTGAATTTTATGTCATCTCAAATTTCCTCCGTCAACCAAAACGAAGATGATGACGAAGAAGATGAAATGAGAAAATTAGAGAAAAGAGCAAGGGAATTGGCAGAGGAAGAGGTGAAGTCTCAGACAAAAGAAAAAAATATCAACTTTATTTCAAGTGAGGAAAACCCGAAAAAAGTTGAAGAGAAAAATCCCGAAGAATTAGATATTGATTGGTCAGATGACGACGACGAAGCAACTGAAAGCTCAAAGGTAACAGTGGAAAAGCAATTTATTCCGGATGAAGTATATGGTGGCTTGAAAAAAGACATTGACGAAACGATAGTTTAAAGCGCGAACCTAAGCACTTTTAGAGAAAACCTAAAAGTTGGCAAAAATCAGTTTTGTTTACCTGATCAAATATATATTTTTTTGTTTAATATTTTAATCGAATGTTGTTTTATATGAAATTTCAATTACTCTTTTTGTTTTGATAATCAGTACAATTGTACGAGGTATCGAGTTCTTAAAATTTTTGCAAACTTTTTATGAAAAAGTATTTTATTTCACAAACTACTTCTTTTTTCAGTCAAAAAGTTAGTAGGAAAATCTTCAAGTATTGCAGTTCAGGAAAATTGGCTCAAGTTAGTTCCTAAAATAAGACCGTTAACAGCAAAGTGCATTAAGATAAAACTTGGTAGACAAATTTAATAGTTAGATAAAACGAACATGGTTTCAAAAACTCTTTTCTAGCAGCTAGACGGTAAGTTTTGGTTTCATCTCAACCCAATCGAAATTATAGGTTGTTGGTAAACCGAAATGAGCCTCTTTTTCAAATATTCCAGTCCAGGAAAAGGGTTTCAAGTTGGTTCCTAAAGTTGGACCACTAATAGCAATGGAACGTCGACTGAGTGCGGAGGAATAGTCCGTAATTTTCGTATCATAGCATCCTTTTGATTCAGGTTTTTTTGCATTCAAATCTCCTCGACAACAGATAGTATTGCAGGGGTTTCCATCAGAGTATTCATCTACTTTGTAATTATTATAACGCATTATTCTCTTCATATCATCAAAAGTTTTGACAGATCCTTGATCACGACGGAAAATTTTTGCTCTTGGTGCTAATTGATAAGAAAAATTAATTCCAAATTTTTTAACAGCCAGTGAGTATCCACTTTTCTCATAAATATCTTCATAAAACGGTACGTTATACGAAGGCCAATAGCCAGCTCTAAGGATATCAGTTTGATCAGCGTATTTAACAATTCCTGGTAATTGTTCTATAACATATAGGGCACCATCTTCAACACCAGTTTTTAACTTTATACGATTCAAATCAATGACCATATATTGATTGTTATATGTCCCAGAATTATATTTTGCATACATTTTTGACCATTCAAGTCCATTATGGGCCAACATATTAGCCAATCGAACTCTGTGCCATGCCAAAAGACTTTTCTCGCTTACTTTATCATAAATAGTGGTATTAAACACCATATTTGTTGTCTGTAGCATAACTAATCCATTCTGCATTATGTAAAAATCGTCAAGTGATTCCAAATATCCTGGATAACTTGAAAAAGAAAGACTTTTAGAAGCAACGTTTTTGCCCGATAAATTAAAATCGTAATGCTTATAAATTCTGTAACTGTTGGAATAGGTAAACCAGCTTGAATGAGACATGAATATATTTTCAAAACCAGGTAGTAATTTAATCAAAGCAGAGCACATTCCTCTTCCATTTACATATTCCATAAATTCTTCATATTTCATCTTGTTAATATCTATACGCGTTTTTGGTGCAACAGCGTGCGAAATATCTATAAGATCGCCAGCTGCATTCAACATTTGGACGACAAAGTAGTCATTTGGCAATGATTTATCAGTTTCAGCAACTTTCTGATATCCTGCCTGAAGACCGTCATATTGTGCAAATATATTTTGGACATGACGCCAATATTCATCAAATCCGGAAGCAACAGAAATTTGTTTTCTAATCCATTTTTCTTGTTTATTTAAAAACTCTTTAGTTTTTTTCTCCACTTCCGGAAAACCTTTGAAAAAATATGGCCAAACATTCCTGTACGCATCAGCCATACTCCTGAAAAATTGAATATTTAGCAAAGTTATAGATGGATTCCAAAGGTTTTTACTTTGCTGTCAAAATTCCTTCCAGGTATCCGGCTGCAAACATTAATTGTTTATCCGAGCATGGCTCTTTAGAATAACCAGCTTTAATTTCCAAGGTACCCCACCCATTTGTTAAAATAGTATTGTTATAAGAGCCAAAAGCACAGGAATCAGATTTTCTAATACTATCGGAAAATATTTTATTGTCCCGAAAACTGACGCTACCCTCCAGATATGTTGACCCAACCTCAAGGAAATTTAATGAAAACCACAAAAAAATGTATAGGAGTTTCATTGTCTTTACTGAAATCCAAAATGGCTTCCGATGTAAACAAAATTTTTCTCCGGAGATATTCTGATAAGAATGATATAATTGAATTGATAATTTAAGTAAACTCCTATATCCTTAGGTTTCTTATCATTCTATAAAGAAATTTTGTACGAACATGAACTTGATTATGATTTTCGTACCGGCAACGTACGGAAGTAAATGTTATATTTCATTCATCTTTACAATGCTATTACCCTTTCAAGCTTGTGGAAGGGCTTTACAGTCATTCTTTTCAATTTTTTAGTAAAAATATTCAGCGTAATTTTACCAAATGGAAAATGAATTAGCTATGTTACAAGTAACAAATTTAATGCTCAATTAATTAGGTCAATAAGAAGAAATCTTTTGGGCAAAGCATAAAATTCACTAACTAGCATAATGACCCGTAATGAACATTAATGATATAAATATATGGAAAATTAACTGACAAATTCACAAGTGATGTTGAAATAGATATCTCCACTTGATAGACCAATCAGAGTTTTAATGACAAGACAGAAATTCGACAGAAATATAATATAGCTGATATTTAAAGCAGACAGAAAAACGCTCGTTTTAAGATCTGAAACGACATCTTCAGAATCAAAGTATTGCATAAATTTCCTTCAATACGATGAAAATTGTATTGCATTTAGAGAGACTAAGTTGAAACTCTTTCCATTCATAAGTTCATTTAGAAGACACAATATATTTCCATAATTATTTCAATTTTAAAAGAATAAATTGGTTAAAAAGTATCTAATACATTTTACAAACATATTTATATTATTTATATATAGATAGGCGGCGTTACCCGCTCTAGAAGTCTTTACAGCGTTCACTTTAGTTTATATTATAAGAATGCCAACTCAAATCTTTGTCTGCTTTGTAATTGTAATATTCACAGGTACAAATTAGGAAATAGCTTGTTATATTATTTAACTAAAATTAGTAACCATTGCTTATTAGCATCCGTAAATACGGAACCTTCGACGCATGTAAGTATTAACGAATTCTCTACAAACTATAGGATGATAGCAAGAAACTGGATATACTTTTTTTAGTTTACCACACAATGTCTAATTGTGTTTCTGCATAATGGTTTCTTGCTGAATTTTTAACGACAGATAAATATTAAACAGACTAAACAGTTCAACGAGCGTTATCGACGGGCAGCCATCTCGAATAAAGACAAATTATGGCCTAATGCTACTATACCCTATCTATTTTCGAATAATATTTCAGCTAAAACCAAACAAAATGTTTTGTCGGCTATGAGCCACTGGGAATCAGCAACATGTATAAGATTCAAGCGAAGGGTTAATGAAAAAGATTTCGTTCTAATTGTCGGTGAGGGAAATTGCGGTTGCTGCTCGCTTGTCGGTAGAATCGGAGATGTTCAATTAATAACGATGAGCGATTATTGCGCTGTATTTGGAGTGGCAGTACATGAATTAGGACATACAATTGGCTTTTGGCATGAACATTCTAGGTTTAGATGTAATTTGGATAAAAAAAGAATATTATTAATGAATTTGTTCTATAAACAGACCAGACAGAGACAATTACATAAAAGTTTTAAAGCAAAATATCATCTCGTCTAAAATAGACAATTTTAAAAAAAAGTCAAGATTAAACATTAATTCCTTGGGTGAAAAATATGACTACAATTCAATTATGCATTATCGACTTTCCACATTCTCAAAGAATGGAAAAAATACTCTTCGTCAACTATTTAAAAATGTTTCAGCCGACGATATAGGACAACGGGAACGGTTAAGCGAAGGAGATATAAGGCAAACAATGTTGCTATATAATTGTAGTAAGCTATTTGTTTATTCTTTAGATGTTTAACGAAGTCTTGTATATTTAAAAAGAGAGTCATTGTCATAGGGAGTTCAATAGTTTGACTAGTCCGTATGGTAATTTTTCGTCATACGGTTATCCGGGAAAATATCCAACAAATTATAATTGCACGTGGCATTTTATTGTATCTTCAGAAGGTTTGTAATAAAAGTAACTTTGTTTTTGACTAGAATCTCAGTTTATTTTGTTTTTAATTGCCACCATAGAGATATTGTCTATTGATTTAAATTCCTTTGAAACTGAGTATACATCTAATTGTTCTTTTGATTATCTCGAAATTCGTAAAGGTAGTTAGCTTTTATTCTCCAATTTTTAAACTATTTATTAATTCAATTAGAGAGTGAACATAGCAAGAAAGTGTTTTTGAAATTATGTGGTAAAGGCAGCGTTGGATCAATAAGAGCAAAAAATTCTCTTTTCATAAAATTCGTAAGTGATAAAACTAATGCGTTTAAAGGTTTTTATGCTAAATTTCAGTATTATGGTAAGGATTAAGTTTTTTAAGTTTAGCAAACAATACTACCGCTTTTCATTTACAGATATGAAAACTCAGTCGAATGACCAACAATTAGTATCTTTTCAACAAAACTTTACCTACTCAGCAGGTTGTCGTCATCGTTTACAATATACTAAAGGTAAAATTCGAACACCACTTATTCCTTATATACCAAAGAGACGATACACCTGTTCTTGGCTAATAATTGGTGGTATGTAGTCAAAATTGATGCCATTGAATAGTTAAATTATCCCCCCTTCATCTATACTTAGACAAATATAGCACACATATAGTACTGCATGGTACAATAACAAATTATAAAGGTAAAAATTGCTTGGGAAAAATTTATACCTTTATGCCAAAAAAACGAAAATATAAAAGAATATCTTACGATTGTGTTGAAAATCTAATTCTCCAGTTTAATTCATCACGTTTATTGATAAAATGGGATAATAATAAACATCAGCAATATTCAATACGTTATTTTATCGGTAACCTAACAAAATGATTATATATTCAAACTAAAATTTCTACCTTTGCCAGATGAAAATGAATGTAAGAATGGGAAACACAATTGCAGTCACAACTGCCATAATACATTGAAGGGCTTCAGGTGTTCTTGTAGATTAGGACATCTATTGCAGGCAGATAAAACGTCCTGTATTGAGAAGCGAAGAGAAGTCGTTTCAAAATGTCAGTCTGTTTTGGAAGGGGAAAGAGGAGCTATCAATATTCATAAAACTGGCAAATGTTCAATTCATATTATTACAGGACGATATTTAAATAAGATAATAATGAAACTTGCTGTCCGAGGATATCTTGTTCCAAATAAGACAAGCTGCTCCTTTCAAAATATTCTTTTAGTTCATTCGGCTTATGAATCACAGAAAAAAGTGAGTAGCATTGGATATGATTTCAATATCACAAAATTTACATTTCAAGTCTCACACGAAAATCGTATGCCTATCTCGTAAAAAACTTAATTTTATAACTATATCAACATCGACTGGATATATGAGATTACTATATGCTGGGAACTTGACGATCCAACTAAATGTTACCTATCTCGCATATAAAGATACCGGTAAGCTGATAAAATAAATACTGAGCAAATACACCTCTCTCTTTACAGGAAGAAAATGCTTCCATCGCTTGAAAGTTACATCCAAGAAACATATTTTACGCAGCCCTAACTATCCCTCCTATTATCAACCTTTCACAAGATGTATATGGAGACTATCAGCTAAAAGGAATGAACAAATTCGTTTTCGATTTCGAAAAATTCATATTGAACCGACAATCGATTGTAATTTCGACTTTGTTAGTTTAACACATGCTAAGTTGACGAAAGGCGACCGTGCATTAGCAAAAGTGTGCGGATATAAACCACCAATAAAGTTGTTTGCCAGTAAAGGTATGCGCTAATTTACTTTTTAATGATTTAGTTATTGTAGATCTTTTTAGGCCGAAAACTATGGCTGATATTGCAAACTGATAGTACAGGAAATGGAAGAGGCTTTGCGGCTGAATATTGGGCAGTCCCTGAAAAAACACTAAGACTCAAATGAGATGAAAACCAACCAAATTCTATTAATTTTTAAATAGTTTGGTTATTTCCTTGATTCGTTTGTGATAGATAGAAATACAAAAAATTAAATGCGGGATTACTACCCAAAAATCAGGCAACAATTAGCTATATTCATCAAAAACTTTACAAATATTATTTAATTTTTGCGGAAGGTACTGTAAAGTCTTCAGATAACTTAAATTTTTCTACAGAAGGGGGACAAGTAACATAACTATTCTTCACAAATCGCCAATTAGACGATCTTGATGTTCTTTGACTTTCAAAAGTATCGATATAATGTTGGAGATTAATTTGCAGGTCCTCAACTGACATATCAAGGGTTCCTATAGGTACAGTGACTTTTCCATTGGCTTCGTTTAGCTTGTTACTTTCATAGGTGTATCCATACTTATAGAGCAGCAGCATGCCTTCCAAATCAGAGCCTAAGGTGTTAGCCTTTTGGGTCGGATAATGTTCCTTTAAAAATTTCCTTATAGGAGAAATGTCAGTCAGCGTATCTGCTGCACAAACTATATGGTCAAAATCTTCATAACGAATCTCCCCTTTTTCGATTCCTGCTATTACATTAGTAGATCCAAAAAAAGTAGCTCCATATTTTAAAGCAATTTCCTTGTCTTCTGCAGACTAAAAACAGATTTCGCACAACTAGTATAAAGTAATAACTATAGCATACCTTACAAAAAGCAATAATTCGCTTTTTAATCCCTGTGTCAAATCTTTTTGGTAAAAGAATTGTGCCTTTTACTCCAGATAAAAATCTCGTCTGTAGTAAATGTCATTTTAATTAATTTTTTTTTTAAAAAAAGTTTCACCTTCTTTTTTGTTCGCAAGTCCAAGTCTGCTTCGAGGTAAACGAAAGCCTTTGGCATATCAAACATGGAAAGCTGCATCATTTGGCGATGATTGTCAATTGACTCCGACAAAGAATAGATTGGTGTAGCATAAAATTTATGTAACCATACATTGTCCGTAGGAAGCCGGGAGCTAAATTCGGTTGTATTACTAATTTCTGAACTATTAACAGTTTGCCTATATAAAACAAAAATTTATAACCAAGCTTCGACTATATTATTAGCTATGTACTTTGTTCTACTTCGGCCTGAAGACCATTCTGAGGTTTTTTTACTTTCTGAAGGTTGCTTGTACCTCCGAACTCCTCTATTTTTCTCTCTCAAAGTAAATTTTAGAGGTCGAATATTCCTTGCAAAATCAGCGACACTAACTCGTGCTATGTAGTTTAAAGTTTTAGATTATTACATGCATACATTTTTTGAAATTGAATGTTATGCATTATATTTCGATCGTCACGTGAGTTTCATCTCATTTATCGCTCATTAGTTTATAAAAGATACTACCTGATCGCATAAACAACAAGAGTCATTATATGCTTTCGAATACGTATAAGACAAAAGTATCATTAATTTCAGAAACAAAACTTACAATAAATGTTTGACAAAGTCCTTAATGATATCATTGCTAAGGTCTTCGTACAATGTTATTCCAAAAAATAGGGTGTCCTGCATTCTAAAATCCATCCGCGTAAAGGAAAGTTCTAGTATAGAAAATTATTGGAAAATTTGATACTATTAGTCATATTCGCAAGATTAATCTAACTATTACATTTATTTTTGATTGTTTTTATATAAGCATTTGCAAAGTTTATGCAAAAATGTTATTATATTTTATAAATTTTCATTCGAAAGTTACTTTATAGTAATCATAAAATGTAAGCATAATGGCGACTTCTTACCGACTGATGTGATCGAGGACACAAAAGTTTGTCGATCAAACACTTCATGGTCATTTCAATCTAAAATTTATATGCTATTAAAATCAAACACGTCAATAGGTAAATTGCGTATTAACTCAGTTTGTAGATATATAAACCGGCTATCTCTTAGAATTATATACCTGTAAAGGTATTTTCATAAAATTTCCTTTCTGCAGTTGTACATGCCGACTGAATATTTTTATGAATGTCCCTCGCGTGCACAGAGGAATCCTATTCTTCTCACGCAAGAGGATATTGCTGTTGGAAAATGTAAAAAATGGACTGAATTTGAGATCTATGGTATGAATTTTAGATATTGTCGTGAATTTTCTAATATTTCATTATTATTTCAAGGGGGTGTTCGACATATTTCACCGGCTGTCTGGAACATGAAGTTTTTAACTCATTTGCACTGCGCAAATAATAGCATCCAAAAAATACCCCCAGAAATAGTTCAATTGGAGTGTTTAACTTGTCTTGATTTATCTAACAATAAACTGAGACTCATTCCTGCTGAAATTGGTGACATGACATCTTTACGAGATTTAAACCTGGCCCACAACAACATAAGACAACTACCCTACGAGCTTGGACGACTATTTTTATTGAACAACTTGTGTTAGTTTTTTATCTTTAAAATTTATAAAAAGGAATGAAAATTTGTATTTTATTTATATAAGATTTGAAGGGAAATCCGTTGTCTCAAGACATTTTAACGATTCTTAGTGAGGTACCGAATGGAGCAAATCCCACACAAAAGCTCATCACCTCCTTTCTGGATAATTTACCAGGTAGGATTTTTAAATTAAGTGTTAAAAATAGACACTTTGGTTGATTTGAGAGTATGACCAATATAAACGTTTATTGTTGAGCTAACAGTCAACAGTTAGGTTTTTATGTAAGTCATGTCAGAGTCCTATCTTGACACCAGTGAGTTGTGTTTGTCGCCATTGGCGAAAATTGAAAAATGGTGAAGCCGGTTGATAAGCGCGCCGTGTCGATTTCTATCTGTCATTTAAAGACAGAAGATAAGTCGAAGACGGGCAGCGTGAAACCTAACCGTCAAAATTCTTCAAAGCTCACTAAAATAGTGGATTTAGTTCTGAGCAAAGAAAATAAACATCGTTCAATATCGCCATCTAAATCGAGGCAACTCGTGAGACCTCATAAACATTTTAATGAAGACATATCGAGGGAACTTAGCAAAGAAGAGTTGGAAAGATTATCACACCTAACTACAGGAGTGGCTCTTCAAAAAGTATCATCTTCCCACGTACCTTTAATTACAACTCCCGTTCACTCAGTTAGTGTTCGGGTTGAAGAAAATGTGCAACTAACGATTAATCGACATTGGTGTCGGAGAGAGAATAGAATTAAAAGGAAAAAGAACTGGATTTATGAAAGACGATGGCCAGGGGGACTACCCCCACTTTTTCCAATCATTCCCTCACCAATTGTTGTGCCTCGACAATCTCGAACAGCCGACTTTCTAAGTAGAACAGAAAGATTAGCTCATACTCCTGCCTATGAAATTGATAAATGTTGACCTTTTCTTCAATTTATTTTTTATTATATTCTTCGTAATAAGAAATTTAATATTTTTTCTTACAGTAACAACGACAAGCCCACCTCAACGACCGTGGATAACCTTATCAAGTGGACCACGGGAATTACCATGCGCATCATTTACCGTTATGTGTTACAATATTTTGTGCGATAAATATGCGACCCGGCAACACTATGGCTATTGTCCCCAATGGGCATTACAATGGGAATACCGAAAGCGTGGCATAATGGAAGAAATCAAACACTATTCTGCGGACATAATTGCTTTACAAGAAGTCGAGACTGATCAGTTTTATAACTTGTTTTTGCCAGAACTGCGCAAGAATGGATATAACGGTATATTCTCACCTAAATCACGCGCTAGGACAATGACCGAAGCGGAAAGAAAGCATGTTGATGGTTGTGCTATTTTTTATAATTCTCGAAAATTTCGTTTAGTGAAGGAGAATTTAATAGAGTTTAATCAATTGGCAATGGCTAATGCCGAAGGAGAAGGAGGAAAGCAGATGCTAAATAGAGTTATGCCAAAAGATAATATAGGATTAGCAGCTATACTTGAAACAACAGATGCTGTTTGGGTAGATTCTAAAGTAGGTGAAACTGGAAATCAGCAACTGCTTGTATGTACCTGTCATGTTCATTGGGATCCTGAATTTTCTGATGTTAAGCTAGTGCAAACTATGATGCTTATTCACGAATTACGTAATATTATTGAAGAGAGTTGCATTTCTCTTCGACCTGGATGTCCAGGTCCTGATACAAATTCTATTCCTCTTGTTTTGTGTGGAGATTTAAACTCGCTGCCTGATTCTGGGGTAGTTGAATACTTGGTCAAAGGAAGAGTCAGTACATCACATTCAGATTTTAAAGACTTTGAGTACAAGGATTGTGTTTCAAAATTGGCTGCTTGTGGTCTAGAAGGAGAATCCTTCATACATCCATTCAAACTTGAGCAAGCTCATAGTTCTGCTTTAATGCCCTATACCAACTATACATATGACTTCAAGGGTATCATTGACTATATTTTATATTCTAGAAACTCTATGAGGCCTGTCGGAGTTCTAGGCGCTCTTGATCAAACGTGGCTAAATGAGCAGAAGGTGCTCGGTTGCCCACATCCTCATGTTCCATCTGATCATCTCCCTCTTGTTGTCGAATTGGAACTGTCGCAATCGCGGCGAAGCTGATCTCAAGCTAATTTTAGCGATCAAGTATATAAAAACAGGAACAAACCGCAGGTTTTAAGGTTAAATTTTAGTGTGTTATTTTTTTAGATATTCTCCTGTATAAAGTTCAGAGGTTATCTTAAAAAAAGAAAGGTAAAAATACACGCTTTTCTGTCAAATAAAAAATTAAAAGATACGATATGCTGATCTGACATCGTTAACAGCGTAAATACGTTTTTTTTTTATGTAAACATATTTCGGTATTAGCCTAATAAAACATTTAAAGTGTTTCGCTTGATAACGGCCAATCAACTGGCGCGGCAAATGTGTATTAGCATAGAACCACACCCAAAAATTATTATTTTAGATGTAATCAAAAGAAGTCAAGTAAAATCGAAAGTTTTCTAATACTAATAGCCTGTATTAATCAGAACTTCTTCCGTCTTGAAAGTGAGTAATGTAACTGATGATTAAGACATAATACTGCAACAGAATAAACGAAATGCGGACAAAGCGTACTATATTTTTGAACGAAAAACCATTTCAATGAAAATAAACATTCAAGCATTGCGGGACAGCTTATGAAATATTTTGAACCAAACTGACAAAAATAAACTTAACTGCAGTTATATATAGATAAATCTTTCATTGAACTAAACCAAAACGCGAGTTTCCTACTGTTTACTTAATAGAAATAGCTGAACGATGCGTTAAGTATAATGTAAAATATGCTTTTTAAATAGTAATAAAAGTATTTAAAACCCTAACTGGCACGTACACGTTTACCTTCCGTTTGAAGTCGGAGCAATTATCTTAAGCACATTCACGCCAGACCGGTAAGGTATACTTGAAAAGTCTTATCTGTAAAGTAATTTTCGTGTATTACACAAGCACAAAAGCATTTTTCGTACGAACTAAAAATTTAGTGACTTCATATACTCGGAAATCTTCGCGACTCCGAGATTGACTTGTTCATGGGTCTTTCCTTCGGCGTAATGCCCAATAACGACGGCTTTGGTAGTTTTCGCCATAGATAATCCTCCATGCTCCTTTTTCTTGAAAATGTATAGCCCGACGGTTTCTCTCAAAAAATTATACTTAACGCCTTCAACTTTGCATCCATTTGCCTAAAAATTGTTGATGATATAAGCTCGCAGAAAATTTTGTTAAAATTCCTTACTTGGAAAGCAGATACGTCACCACTTTGGATAACCCTTGCAATTGTTTGGGCTTCTTCTCCTGAAAGTTCAAGGATATTTTGTTGTCCAGAGTGTGGCGTCCAAATTCCCCCATCCAATCCTATAATAGCACCTTTATCGGCATTCTGAATCGAATGGGCAATCATATTGTCCACGTAGCTTTCCCACGACATGATGTAATATGTTCGAGAATCTGTCTGAGAAAAAACTATTTTACTATTTTTGCGGGCGTGGCTTATCAGCATCAAATAGTTCGTGTTTTATTAACCCGGAAATCCTTTTAATGAATACGGCGAGGTGTCTCCTTATGACCTCTACTGAAATTTTTGTCTATTTATCTTAAGATTGTTTTTCAAATCTTAATACAATATAGAGAAATTAGTCATTCTTCACAAATATATTATTACTGAAACTTTTTTTTGTTCAGCCGGTGCGGTGACTGGACATGCGAGTCAACTATAAAGGGAGATTAATTTTTCTCCTAATTAACTTAGATTTTCAACACCCCAAACATATATATAATATTAATTTCTTTAATTTTAAGTATTAAACATATTACTAAGTCAAATGCAGAATGAATAATACCTTGGGAATGAATCTTCTCTCAGTTAACTCCAGTAATGGCGGAATCGACTATCGGTTCTCTACGATCACGTGATTTTTCGTGTCGTGTGACCAGTGGCGGAATAACTAAAAAATGATGGGGGCACGTTTATAGTTTGGTTAAAAAATATTATTTTTAAATAAAGTCTTCACAATTAACATTTGATATTTGAAAAAATACATTGAAAGATAGACTTTGACAAATTTCTAATAATTTTAAGTTTTTGAACTTATTTATATCATTGCATATATTCCATTTAACACCTCAATTTTTTAAAATTAGCTAAAAAGCAATTAAAATTATTGAAATACACAAAAAATTTTATTCAAAAATATGATTTATGGCATAAAATAAGAAGGTTTCAGACCATATGCTTCAGGTACCAAAGTGGATTCCCACGTCTGATTACGCCTCTGAACTGATTACAGTATTATAAGTTTTTAGAAATTATTCAACTTATTATATTTTTTTGAAATAAAATACAAGATCATTCTATCCATAACATTTGAAAAGAAAAAAATTAGAGATAATATACGAATATTTTTATTCCACTTCCGGTTGATCAACGGAAGTTCCGGTAAAGTTGTCAATCTGTGTGTTGGAACAGAATTCGTGTCGTTTTGGTTCCATTCTGATAGTATATAAACGGTAAGCCTATTGAAAATACTTGCAAATACTGTACCAAATCTAATACTCAATTGCTAATAGCTAACATTTGATGACAATAAACAGAACCTATTAATCGATATTTTTCTTCGTGATCGTCACGATGCCAAGACCAGAAAATGGAATATATATTATACAAGGAGAAGTTAATTTGGTTGTTTCAGCCATGCGAAGAAGTGTTCGATGGACATCTCATCATCAGCAAAATCGACTGGTAGTACTTCTTTTACTTAATGGTTTACTTCAACATTACTTTTTTACTTATTTTTAATAACTAAAGGAACAAGAAGAAGATCCACTTATAAATGAATTTTGCATTTTAAAGGATACACTAAGCAATGTTTCTGGTAATATAAATGTTAACATTTATACTTTTATTTTATAAATATATACTAATTTACAGATTTTGATGATCTGGCTCCTAATGAATACTTGGGTCCATTCTTGAACGTTATTCGTTCTGAAGATACTACTGGTCCAATTACTGGTTTAGCTTTAACTTCAGTCAATAAATTTTTATCATATCAACTCCTCGGTGAGAAAGATTTTATGTTATTAAGTAATTATTTTATTCATTGCTATTTGCTTTTTGTAGATGAAAATCATGAATCAACCAATGTAGCTGTTGAAAATATGGCAGATGCCGTTACACATGCAAGATTTGTTGGTACTGACGCAGGATCTGATGAAGTAGTTTTAATGAAAATTTTGATGGTTTTGCGAACTTTGTTACTGTCATCTGTTGGAAAACTCTTAACAAATGAATCGGTGTGTGAAATAATGCAGAGTTGTTTTCGAATATGCTTTGAAATGCGTCTTAGCGGTATGAAGTTAATCTAATAGAGTTCACGTTCAAGTAATTTCCTGTTTTTGCAGAATTATTAAGAAAGTCAGCTGAACATACGCTAATTGATATGGTTCAGTTACTCTTTACAAGACTGCCTGAATTTAAAGAGGATGCTAAGTGGAAATCCCTTAAAAAAGTAAGAGCAATGTTTTTAATTTCTTTATAGTCATGACCAAATTTTTCAGCTGAAAATGCGAGCAGGTGGTATGGGAAGTGGCAATGCTGGAAATCGTAAAATAACTAAGAAGCAGTCTCGCAGTAGAGAAAAGCCAATATCTATAAAGACTTATCCTCAAAACATAAATAATGACGATGTCAAAAAAGAAAATGTAAAGTTAAATCTTATTTATGATTAAAAACTCATATTTAAATTTTAAAAAAAGGCCTCCGATATTGGTGGAAATCCTCCAGAAACAATGTCTGCTCAAACAAAGTCTTTCTCTGACGAAAAAACTGAAGAAACTGCAATTGCTTCAATTACTGACGATGCAAAAGATAAAACTGATGAATCGAAACAAGACGAAAATGAATCAATTGGTAAAACTCAAATGCCTGATTTTTCTTCTTATGATGAAAATTTTTCACAAGGTGACCTATCTGAGGCTGGTATCACCAACATAGAACAGTCTGAAGTGGACATGATACCTGCTGTTGTAGCCATGCCTGGAATGTCTGATGATATAGATGTTGTATCATGTATATCAGGTCATGCTACTGAAGAAGAGGAAACTGACGATAGGGTAATCTCGATCTTATTAAATTTTTTAAATACTTTTGATTTGATCATAGGGAGAAGCAGAAGAAAATCCGAAATCTGAAAAATCTGAGTACATTAATACTCAGGGTGTACGATTTACACAAAACGATGATGAAAGAAAGGGTAGAAATGAACCTAGTCTTATACCACATGGACTTCCTTGCTTGAAAGAATTATTTAGATTTTTGATAAGCCTAACATCTCCGATTGATCGACATAATACAGATGTTATGGTTCATATGGGGCTGAATCTACTAACAGTCGCATTAGAGAGTGGTGCGGATTACATGCCTAGAAATTCTTCGTTAATGAATCTGATAAAAGACGATATGCTGCGAAATGCCTTACTTGTAAGTATAAGCAACAAGATGTGATCATTTGAATAATGATATTTTTTAGCTTTTATCCAGTGAACGAACTCGCCTGTTTGCGATGTCCCTCCGCGTTTGTTTTCTTCTTTTCGAATCTATGAGAGGCCACTTAAAATTTCAATTAGAGGTAATAAACCCACAAATATGTATATATAAATATTTATTCAATTTAGGAAAGAATATCTATTTCAGATGTACGTCGAAAAACTAATGAGCATAATTACTTCTGAGTCACCAAAAATTTCGGACGAGCAACGAGAATTGGCTTTGGAGGCATTGGTTCAACTATGCCGCGTTCCTGGACTAGTAACAGAACTTTATTTAAATTATGACTGCCATTTGTACTGCTCAAACTTATTTGAAGATTTGATGAAAGTTTTGTCAAAGGTAGTTTAAAGCTACAGCAAATTCAGAAAAATAACTTTATAACTTATTTCAGAATGCATTTCCTGTAGCTGGTTTATTCACAACTCACTTATTATCTTTAGACTGCTTATTGGCCGTTATTGATAATATAGAACAGCATTGCCATCATAGGAGTTTGCACGCTTCATCACCTTCTAACGAGGACAAAGACTCTAATCTAAGTGAATCACGTATGTTTTTAATTTCAAATTATCCATAAAAGCTTATGATAGATATTTTCAGAAGAACATGTAGAGAATTCAGGTAAAACAAAGGCTACTATAAAACCAAATAGGATGATTTGTCGATTGACAAGTAATACCCTGCCTAGTGAAGATGATTTGAATGCAATCAAACATAAAAAGAAAATTTATATAACTGGAAGCGAATCATTCAACAACCGTCCTTCAAAAGGTGTAGCTTATCTACAGGATCAAGGATTTTTCAAAACACCACTTGATCCAGAGGAAGTTGTGAGGTTTTTAAAAGAAAATCCAAGATTAGATAAAAAAATGATAGGTGAATACATAAGTAACAAGAAAAATAATTCAATATTGGAAGCTTTTCAAAAAAGTTTCAACTTCTCAAATGTTCGAATCGATGAAGCTCTTCGTGAATACTTGGAAGCATTTAGACTACCAGGTGAAGCACCTGTTATTCAATATTTGTTAGAACATTTTGCTCAACATTGGCATACAGCTAACAATGAACCATTCGCTGATACTGATGCAGCTTTTACATTATCGTATGCAGTCATTATGTTGAATACTGACCAGCACAATCATAATGTAAGGAAACAAAACATCCCAATGACTGTCGAACAATTCAAAAGAAATGTTGCGGGCGTAAATGGCAAAGGAGACTTTGAAAGTTCTATGTTAGAAGAAATTTATGAGAATATTCGTAATGAAGAGATTATTATGCCATCTGAACAAACGGGTATAGTTAGGGAAAATTATCTATGGAATGTAATGTTAAGAAGAGGTTGCACAGGCGATGGAGAGTTTTTACACGCTCCCACTGGAGCCTATGATAGAGACTTATTCGCAATTGTTTGGGGTCCTACTGTAGCAGCTTTATCTTTTGTCTTTGATAAAAGCATCCATGATACAGTCATTCAAAAGTCTATAGCTGGATTTAGAAAGTGTGCCATGATATCTGCTCATTATGGTCTATCTGATGTTTTCGATAATTTAGTCATTTCTCTTTGCAAATTCACTGGTTTATTAAGTAGTGCTGAAAGTGGTCAGCAAATTGCCATTACTTTGGGAAACAATAAGAAAGCTCAATTGGCCCTAAAAACCGTGCTAGCCTTAGCCAAGAGACATGCTGATATGTTAAGAGATGGATGGAGGAATTTGCTAGATGCTATTCTACAGTTATATCATACAGATCTTTTACCTGAAGTGTTAACAACTGTTGAAGATTTTGTAGAATCAAACGGAAGAATTTCATTAATTGAAAAAAGGCGCAGAGACAGGAATGGAACTACTAATACAAAAACGGATGCAAATGTGTTTTCAAGCTTCTTCCTAAACTTTGGTTTATCAGAATCTCAAAATTCTAGGAACCAAGCCCCAGAAGATCAGGCGGCTATAAGACAGGCCAAAGCAGTTTTAGAAGAGTGCCATATTGAACAGATAATTACTGATTCAAAATTCCTTAGGGCTGACTCTCTCTTTGAATTGGTAAAAGCTTTGGCTCTGGCAGCTCGCCCCGATTTGCCATCAACCCATAAGCATGATGATGACACTGATGTATTCGTTTTAGAATTGCTGATTCGTGTAGTTTTGAATAATCGAGATCGTGTGGCCCCACTGTGGGGACTTGTGAGAGATTTAATGTACGCTATCCTTGTTGACAGTTGTCAGGCAACTTGGCTTGTTCAAAGGGCTGTTGTTGGTTTGATAAGGCTAGCTCTCCGGTTGTTGCGTCGGGATGATGTAGCTAGTCATGTTTTAGCAACTTTGAAACTTTTGCTACTTATGCGATCGACTGTTTTACATCAAGTTGCCCAACACGTTGCCTTTGGCTTATTTGAATTGCTTAGAACTAACGCAGCCCATATTCATGATTTTGGAGATTGGAAAACTCTCTTTACTCTGCTAGAAGTTGTGGGTGCCGGAGCTTCAGCTCCTCCAGTGCTTCATGTCCAGCCAGGGGTTGACATAGTCCAATCTGTAAATGAGGCTGGTGGTGCTCAGAGTGATTCAGAAATCTCACCTCATTCCATAGCAGAATCAGCTGATAGAGGGTATACCAGTGATAGTGAATTACAAAACAACACAACAGTAAATCAATATAGCGTTTGTTTAGATGTTGAACTAAGGGGACCAATTGATCAAATATGTTTGCATAAAGTGTGTGAAAGCCTTGCTTTTCTAGTTCGCGATGCTGTTCATATAACACCAGCAAATTTCGAGAGTTGTTTACACGCGATAAGAACATTAATTGAAGCTAGTGTCTCAGGAGGAAAGAAATCTTGTGAAAAAAGACCTCAACCTTCAAAGCGTCAGTCGAAGAGAGATAGACAACGAAATAAACACGTGGAACAGGCAGATGATGAACAAAGGACAATCGCTGATCAAGCTGGACAGCAAGTGGCAATGCAATTACTTGATTTATTAGACACCATGCATACCAGAGCTGATTCAATTTTTACCTCTTGGGCTGATGAAAATGGGGATAAATTGGATATTAATGCGCTATGGAATAATTGCTGGTGTCCGATTCTTCAAGGAATGGCCAGACTGTGTTGTGATTCTAGAAGAATAGTCCGACAACAAGCGCTAACTTATTTACAACGAGCCCTTGTAATGCCTGATCTACAGTCACTTACAGCCCACGAATGGGAGAGTGGGTTTAATAAAGTCCTTTTTCCTCTATTGACGGCACTCCTTGATACACCTTCAGAAATTGATCCCGCTGGTATTGATGAAACGCGAGTAAGAGCTTCTGCCCTCCTCAGTAAAGTCTTCCTTCAACATTTAACCCCACTTCGAGCATTACCAACTTTTACTGCTCTCTGGCTGACAATATTAGATTTTATGCATCGCTTTATGCATGCTGATAACTCTGAATTGTTAAGTGATGCTGTACCTGAAAGCTTAAAGAATATGCTTTTGGTAATGAATACTGCAGGAATGTTAACTGAAGAGAGTGAAGAAGGTGCACAATTATGGCGATTAACTTGGCATAGAATTGATCCCTTTCTGCCTAATTTGAAGGGCGATCTGTTCAAGCCCCAAGCCCCCAGCGTTCATACACCGGCATCACCTAGATCTCAGAGTCCAATAACAGCTAATACCCAAACGTCACCTAGTGCTAATGTGATCTTACAACCTCCTCTTCCCAGTATTCGCAGCGAGGAGCAGATAACTGGTCTTCCTGTGGTTCTTCATCCACCTCAGGTAATTATTGATTAAATTTTAGATACAAAGTCAACGATTATATATTTTATTCGAAAAACAGGACGTATCAACTTCCACAGGACATTTGGAAAAACCTGATGATTAGCCATTTTTCATAAAAAAAAAACTGCGTACTTATTTTACAAAATGTCAAATCCTCGTTGTATGAGTAAAATATTCTATTAATATTTTTTCTTCTTGATACAAACCTCAGGCACCCCTACATCCTTCTCATCAAAACCCCTCTTTTGTTTTTCCATAATAGCCTTGCATTTAAGTTCTTTAATAGCTTGCTCATCATCAGCTTCTGCATTAGTAAAGAGCATACACTTAGTGCATTTCAGACATCTTTTAATATTTGGATCCCTCGGATGGTTACAAAAGTGATCGTAGCTTTTCTGCAACATTATAATTACTCAGCTGAGGACAGAAAGTAAGTTTAAAATTTACAATTTTGGATCGACAAACGTAGCAAAATTTTGCTCCACACCGGCAAGTCATTTTGTTGCAGCCTTCAGATTTGATTAAGCTTGTTCCACATTGATAACATTTACGTACTTTAGCTTGTGTCATTTCTTCTTCGCTGAAAGAGTAAATTATGTAAACAACTAGTCAATTAGTCTTGAAGTATTTACAATTTTTTTCTAAGCGAAGCCTCATCAGACTTTTCAATTTCATGACAGGGCTTTCCAAAGTGATCATCCCACTCTTCTCGACAATAGATACACGATCCCTTTAAGGAGATACAATATTAGTAGGTGATAAGATAACTGGATAAACTAACTCTTTCACATCTCTCACATTCAAGAACCTTATTATTTTCGGGCACAATTACTTTGTAGTTGCAGAATGGACAAGAGTGAAGGTTAGAAATTTTGGCTTTAGTAATATTTTCTAAAAATTGTCGCTCGTCCATTTTTTCCAAAGTTTTTTGGTCGAGAGTTGTTTGAAGGAGTTGATGGGGAAACTGGCAATCACATTCTGCATTCATACATTGTAAAATACTTTGACCACCGCCTCCAAAAATTGCTTCTTTGGCATAGTTTCTTAAGCAATCTTTACAAAACAAATGTCCATCAGCACATTGAATCATATCCCTAAAAGCTATATCACTAAAGCAGCATCCACATTCAACTGGTTCACTGTCATCTTCTAAAAAGTCATGGTTATCATCTAATTGATTTTTTTCACTTTCAGCTTTCGCGGTTTCGGCCTTAAATACATCTGTATCACTTTGTAATATTTTTTCAAAATGATGTGGTAGATTCATATAATGTTCTCGACTAAATCTTCGAGAGCGTTTCAAAAAATGTATTCTGCTGATTTTCCCGTTGGGTAGAGGTATAGTTATAACTGGTAGCGTTGAGGTACCTTCAATTAGCACAGAAAAGAAAGGTTTGCCTTCGACTTCAAAGGTTTTCTTTCTATACATGAGGTTTACTTCCTTCAGCTCTTTTGTCAGACAAGCTCGGGCTAAAGCGTAGTCATTGTTAAATGCTAGTAGTATCTCTTTTAGCGGTCCAGACCTTAACTTAAAATATACAATAATATATTAAAGCGATCAAAATTAAGTAATCAATTTTTTAAGAAATTATTAACTTGGGGAAATTCAAAAGTAAAACTCCTAAAGATCACGTCGCTATCAACAGTTTCAACGGGAGTTTCATTTTCTTGACCGTATGATCCGTGTTTCTTCTTTGGTTTTTTCGGGTAAGTGTTTGACAGTAGATAGTCACAAATATCATTAACCGTATTTTCATTAAGACTTTGTTCGTTATAATTATTAATCGTTTTCATAAGATATTCCGGGTCCACTTCAATGAAAATATTTGACTGAGAAGAAAAAAATATTTCCAAAAATATTATGCAGAAAGTTTATTATACTTACGAGTTCATTATATACTTCTTCTGCCGTTAAAATTTGACTATCGTGACCAGGAATCTTAATATTAATTGAAATTTATAAATCTCGATTGTCTAAATGAAATTTTAAAAAAATATTTAAATTGTATGCTTTTAAACTTACAAGTTGATTTGAAGCATCTGGTTTGTTATGGCTTGTACTTGGAATCTCTAATAAAAATGTAATTTAGAATGTTTTTAGGATTAATTATCAACTTACCCAAGATATCTCCTCCTGTAAATTCTGAGCATACTCGATGCTTTATTACATAGTCCATTCTTTCCGCCTTCAAATCAAACGAGTCCAATTCATTTCCCGTTCGAAAGTTCAAAATGTCGTCAACGCAATGTGTTAATAGATCATTTCCAGTAAATTCAAAGTGATCGGGATGTTTAATTGAATGAATAATATACCGAGGTAATCTGTCTGGAAATATGGATTTTATCTGGTTAAGTATAAGTTTTTCTTCCTTATTAAGCAAGTCTTCAACACTAGAATAAAAATTGCGAAATGATCTTTGGAGTTATATTTAATATTTATATTACTTATTGAAGTACTTAGAATCCCAAGGAAAAGGCTTCATTGTCGTCATTATTTTCAGTAATTTGAGGCCTTTTTAGGATACCTGTACCAGTTATTATGATATAAATCATTTGACATGTAGTTCCAACAGTGATATCAAGTTTACTAAAAGAGGGCGCTTTTGAAAATAAATATTCGGGTTCCTGTCGACGTTCCGTTTTACTACCAGTTTCTCTTTAAAAATATTCTGATATCATCTTTTTTCATACTCTGAAAAAATGATCGTATTTGTGAATGATCCACAAGTACAATACATTAAAGTATATATATATGCGTTTCAATGAATATTACTTCATCTGCTTCACCAAGCAACCAGTTTATAATGGAGAGAAAACGACTACATCAATTAGTCGATTTTCGGAGATTGTTTGATTATCTTCATGATTTCTTTACAATTGAGGAGCGGAATACTATTTCCCGTAGTTCAAGACCAATGGATAGACTTATAGACATACTGCAGGAAAAAGATTCGACTGGATCAGAACTACTAATTGATGCTTTAGAAAAGTTATACCCTCAACATCACTTTGGTATCTCACCTTTATCGTCAACTCATTCTGTAACAACCACCGATAAAGTCGATCGTGAGATTAAATCCAAGCAATCAGTCATAAGTAATAAACGTGATTATGATCGACTTCAAAAAGAGTGTGAAGAGGCAGTCTCAGAGCTAAATGTTTTGAAAACTATGCTTGCTGAAGCCGCTACTAAAAGAGAGCAGGCTTTATTGGAAAGAAATCATTTCTCGAAACTTTATGAACAAAGTAGACTAACTCAATCAGAGCTTGAGAAACAGGTTTATAACCCCTTTTAAAGTGTATTTAACAAAATTATACTAATACCTTCGTATTTCAGCTTCAAATATTACGGAATCATAATAAACAAGTTACGGAACAAAAAGAAAAATTACTCTCTGATTACGAACACGAAATTGACCTCAAAGTAGCCAACGAAAAGGAGATAGACGAACTTCGGGAGGTTGTTCGAGAAATGAAGAGTGAGACAACAAGTATATCTTCGAATGGATCTGACGCCTTGATGAAAACATATACCACCTTGTGCACGAAATACGATGCTCTGCGAGCAGAAAATGAAATGTTGAAACGACAATTACAAGACACAATTAGTGATCACAAAAGTTCTTCAAAAGAAATATGCCGATTAGAGGATGAGAAAAAACGATTATGGCTAAAATATGAATCCGCTGTAGAAACACGAGATAACTTGACTGTAGAAAAGTCTGAATTGACTAATCGATTGGAAAGTCTCTCGGCAGAGAGAAATCAACTTTCTGCACTATTTAGTAAACAGGCCAATGCTACGAGTGACGCAAATCGTCAGCGAGATGCTGCAGTACATGAATATCAAAATGTTATGAGGGAACGAGGTATAGTTCTTCAAGAATCTGAAGAAATGCAATCAAAGCTGCAGGAAGCAGAAACGAAAATTATTCAATTAAGTAACGATATTAAAAAGTATGAATCATTAGCGAATCATCTTCAACGCGAATTGGAAACAAGAAAGCAAGAAAATTATGTAACAAAGTGCCAGGTAAAAACTTATAAATTTAATTCTATTAATAATTCCCAATATTTTGTTAAAGTCTTGCGAGGAGATGATCAGAATGGCTGAAAACTTAAAAAATGAACTTCACATAGCTGTAACGGAGAAAAAGGAACTTGTAGATCAAATGAACCAAATAATGCATCATGCACAAAAAGATGATTTAATAGAGCAGCTAAAGGGTCGCATAAAAGCTTTAGAAGCCGAAATGAGAGACCAGGAACGACAGGCCGATCGTGCTAAGCAGCGACGAGATTGGGCTTTTTCTGAAAGAGATAAAATTGTTTTAGAGAGAGATAGCATGCGAACTCTCTGCGATCAATTAAGACGGGATAGAGATAGAGCTGTAAGCGATTTAGCCAATGCCATGGGAGAAGTTGACCAACTAAATAAGCATAAATCGTCTACTGCTCGAGAACTAAAGAGCTATAAGTTCGTATTTTTTTTTAAAACATTTTTCTTTTTTAAAGGCTAGTGTTTAATTTTCCAGGGAAAAATTTCAATCAATGTTAAGAGGAAATAGCGTCGAAGTAATGAAATCAATGAATGCAATACACAGCACGGACCTAACATTGCCCACTTCGTTTTCTGAAACAGATATGGAAATAATGAACTTGACTATAGTAGGCTATTAAATATTAATATGATAATTAATGCTAATAACTAGCTTTCTCTTCAGCCAATCACCTCATCAGATGATTTCTCATTTGACTTAAGTAAAACTGAAACAAGCAAGCCTTTTAGCATTAGATTGTACGATACTAAATTACCTAATCAATATATCCTATTAAGGTGCTCATTTTGTGCACTATTAAGATGTTGAATAGTAATAGAATTTTCTTTTCAACAGGATTAATGATGGGACACTTAATGTAAATAATATAAATATTTCTAATACTACTCGACGAAGTGCTGAGGAAACTCTTAAAAAAGCAATAAATAGTGGGAATGTAAATTTTGTTCTAAAGCGAAATTTAAATCCGTCAAGCATTAAAGATGTTAGGCTCCAGGCAACAAATAACCAAGGTAAACAGCCACCTATGCTTTTATGAATACTTTTTAACTTCCCTTGTAGATTTTGGCCTAAATTTCGAAACTGGAATATTTTTATCAAAAATTTCGCCATCATCACCAGCTGGCAACTCTGCAGATCTTCGTAGCGGAGATAGACTATTGAGCGTAAGTTAACGCGAATGAACCGCACTGTATATGAGGGTTGTTAAGCATATTATCCGTTTTTAGATTAATGGTGTATCTGTGAATGATCTGAGTATAGAGAAAGTAGAAACTATTCTTGAAACCAATCAGGAAATTGAAATAACAGTTCAAAAGTATTCCGAGTGTATTTCCTCGTCTCACTCTATTACATCAACATCAGGTGTGACAGATATGTCTCCTGATTCTCCTGCTATCTCTCCAATAGCTAATGAGTCATGGAAAAAAAATCAGCTTTCGTCGTGTGCTCAAACTGAAACTGCTATATTTCTGAGTTCAGAAAGCGATCTGGATTATGGGCAACAGCATTTTAAACGCAAAAAAAAGGATTCAAAAAGTAAAGGTAGAGTGGAAGCGCGACGTATATCTGCAGAAGAACAGCAAGCCTTAGAAGATTTTCAATCAGTTATTGAGAGCTTAGATAATGAAGGACAATCTAGAGGTACTTGGCCTCGTTATATGGTCGAACAGAGAATGAGACCCACTCTTGAAAGTCTCAACTATGCAACAGGTTCGACCAGCCAAAGGAAAGATTCTTTTCAAAGAGCTCCTATAAATACTATGGATTACACTTTAAATCAACCCTCAGACCTATCTGCCACTTTGAAAAAAAGTTCTGAACTCAGCGATCATTATCGAAAAAATAGATTATTCAACAGTCTGGCTACTAGTCCTTCATCATCAGTTCCATGTCCTGGTTTGAACTCAGATCAAGGTGCAACTAACATTGCCGTTGTTTCACCTCAAAAGAAACCGATAGATACAGAATTAATGCAGAATACATCATCCTTACTTTTCAATAAAGCACATCGAAATAAGACAAAAAAATCTGTCAATAGATTAAACATTCCATCTAAAATGTCCATTTGTTCTACAACTGGAGAATGCTTAGATAAAGGTTTTGTTTTTGTTTTGTGCACAATTTAAGATGCTAATTTGTTTTATTATTCAAGGATTATCGTCTTCGAATACCTCTTCAAGCAGTCTGAACACACCAAGTATTAACAAGCAAAAGTAAATGATCGTTAAACGGCATTTCTCTTTATTTAATATTTCTTTTTTAAAAGCTTTAGAGTTGGAACTTTGAGACAAATTAATATTGAGAAGAAATGTGCTAATGAACAATTGGGGATTAATATTAAGAAGGGCAGTAGCGGGATAATCGTATCCTCAGTATCACAAAACTCCTTAGCATCACACGCAGGAATACAGTGCGGAGACCAGCTGATTGAAGTATATTTTTTAAAATATGTCTTAAACTGCATCAATAATAATTTCTTTGTTAAAGGTTTGTGGTATTAACTTAAGGAATGCTACATACGAAAATGCAAAACAGGTTTTAGTCAACTGCGGCAACGATGTAACTATAGTTGTTCAAAGTTCTGCAGAAAGTCTGTACACTTTCGTTTTCCAATTTATAAATTGTCTGATATTGAGATTTGATTTTCTAGGAATACTATCGACAGATGGGAGCAGTCGTGATACTATATCAAGTGAAAGTGAATCTTCCGTCGAAACCAGCCACGTTAAACAGTGCAGCCTTGTTAGTAATACAAGCACTGTTGTTGCTGAGGATTATCAAAAGTATAGTCCAGTTCTTTGGTAGTACAGATAGTCTCTATACTTAGAAAAGTTTCCAAATGCTAATTTCTTTAAACAGCAATCAACCATCTATACCACCTACTCACGCTGTTAATGAATCCAGAATAGTTTCATGGTCCAAACTTGCCACTGATCCTCTAGGTTTAACTGTAAGTGGAGGAAACAATAGTGGAATATTTGTAAAAGAAGTTTCAACATATTGTCCTGCTTTCAAGAAGGATGCTTTGAGAGTAGGAGACCGTATTTTAGAAGTTTGTATTTATTTATTTTATGAAAATAGAAATTTATATTATTCGTATCTTTTTAGTTCAATGGCATGGATATGACAGCTATCACAAGAGCCAAAGCTCACGAACACATTTGCAAACAAAGTGATAAAATTATCATATGCGCTCAATACGACATCATAAGTAAATTGTTATATTATAGACTTCATGTGTATTAATCGTATATTATATTTTTAGAATTTCGGGAATTGGAAAGTGCCAAAATCTTGGCTGATTGCCTTTACTTTAAAATGAATTTTGATAGAATAGCAGAAGATGAAGGAGAAATGTCTTTGAAACGTGGCAACATTTTATTAGTTGATAATACCATGTACAATGGCAATGTGAATATTTGGACGGCTTGGAAACTAGACTCATCTGGAAATCGAATTCAAAGGGGAATAATCCCAGCAGTCAGCCGTCTGGAAGCGGAGTATACAGCGATTCGACGAGGCATTGGAGATGATTCCGAAGAATTGAAAGGGTCCAGAAGGAGTCTGAGTTCAGCAAGGCGATCATTTTTCCGAAAGAAACGACGTCAACGGAATAATTCACAAGATTCAAGAGAAATTGTTAGTTACTCAGAAGGCTCGTTGATTTCAGAATCTCTCAGTAAACTAGATGGTTTGTATTTATTTGTTGAGAAATTTCAAATTTTTATTGAACAAAAACTTTAGCAGAAAGTGGATATTTACCTGCATTGATACCACTAAAAGAAATTCGTATTCTTCAAAAGAGGCCTGTTGTTTTAATGGGACCTCTAGCTGATATTTTAACAAGGAAGTTGTCCTCAGAAAATCCAGATCGATATTTTCGGGCTGAAGTCGGTTAGTAAAGCATATTTTTTACAATTACATAGACTTTAATAATAACATTTGATTCAACAACAGTTGAGGAAGGTCAAATAAATGGATCTTTGATTTATCATTCAATGAAACACCCGCCTTACGAAATTATAACACTAAAATCCATTCAGGACGCCATAGAGAGGGTATGTTTTAAATGTTTCAATTATTTGTTGACGATAATATATAATTATTCTTCAGAATCGGCATCCTATATTACATAATAAAAGATCAGCTATTTACAACTTATACACTCTACAAATATATCCCATTGTCTTATTACTGCGATTCCGTTCCACCAAACAAATTCAGTAAATTATAATTAAAGACCATTTATTTGTTAAGTAATTAAATGATTTTTTCAGAAAAGCCAAGGATAGATTTATTGAATCTAAAATTGATAAACAACAAGCGAAAAGATGGATGGATAAAGCTCAAAAATTTGAATTAGATTTAAAACAATACATATCAGGTATGTTATTAAATAGTGTATTTTTTTTTAATTCTAATTAATTTATTTCTATATTAGATATTATTGAAGGGGAGAGTGACCTCAATTCTATGGCTATTAAATGTAAAAGTGCAATTGATATAAATCAAGAAAAGCCCTTGTACCTTCTTCTTGACTGAATTATATCTGTAGTCTAACTTGTTGCAGTGTAAAACTTTTTTTTTTAGGAAATATTACAATAAATAATGTTAATACGCGCATATAAGAAATAATGCGAAAAGGACTAAATTTATATTGTCTTTATTATCATGATAGTGATGTCAATATCATATTCAACAATTGATGTACGAAAGTCTATTATTTTTGCTATTTATACGATTTAATTAAAAAATTCGAGCAACACAGACTAACAACAAAGGAAATGAACAGCTTTCATCATATAAAAACTCAAATTAGTTTGTTATAAGTTATAATTCCTATTTGACTAAAGAAGATTCAACGTCTTCCAGCGCCCATTCGTGTTCGGTTACTTCTAATGCTTCCCATTCGGCTTTGAAAGCTTTACTTGGGTCGGAAGGAACACCCATTGCCTGGCCAGTCATCTGGTCTTGCATAGCTCTTGTTTGATCAGCTGCATTATCTTGGCCTAAAACAAGAGTATAAACGCTTCGTAACCCAAACACATTAAGAAAGTACCAAGATGCTGATGAAACCCAAGAAGCGTCTAGAGAACCTAATTCTATTCCCCTTTGAAGCATAGGCTTAAATCGTAGGGTAAGGGGAAACGGAGCTTTTGTTGTAAGAAATCCAGAGAAAGCCCAATTAATCCAACCTTATAATAGAAATCATTTATTTTACATTATATATAAAAAATTTCAATACCTCCTATCAATATCATTGGTAAAACGTTTGTCATATTTCCTTTCAGCATGTCAGTCATCATGCTTGGATCTGTCATTGGATTTTTGGCAGATGTTGGTTCTCTTTTTTTACCTGTTGTTAAAACCCCTTTTTCCTGATTGTTCATAAATCCTTTTCGCATGAGAAAGGCCACCTTTGGCAAATATTTTCCATTTTCTCTTAATGCTCTACTTCGTAGAAATACTTGACTGAAACACAAAATATATTAACATGCATACATCGAAGATAATGTATTCCTACCTATCGCCTATTTGTCTCAAATCAACTGATTTTTCTGATGACATCAATATAGTAACATAATGTCTAATGACACCTACAAGAAATGTTATGACAACAATGGGTAAAAATACCCAGATTCTGATTTGGGAATCCAATAGAAGCTCGGCCATTTTGAAATATATGTAAAATATTCTACGATTTACCGGTTAACTTGCAAAACATTCAATATGTTACCCCGTTTTTACGAGTATTAGTTAAAAATTTTAAACGAAGTTTTAATGAAAATTTAGAGTTAAATGTGAATTTTTTATTTATATATTTTCATAGAGTTTTAAATTCTCTATAAATCATAATCCTCGCACGTAAAAAACATTATAAGCGATATTGATATAAATCAGCAACTTTACCTATAGAGTAGCCGTAGTCTAATATTTGAACGTGCCTCGACTCGTTGATCATAGTAAATTATTAGTTATCATACAAACATTTAACGGAAAATGAGTAGTACTGATGAGCAAGATGAGTTCGATGTAGAAAAGGACGCTTTACATTCAACAGCTATAAATGACGATTTAAATTCCAACACAGAAGATGAGCATTTAAGGCCGAAGCGCTTAGATTTCGAATCAGATATGTCTGAAGAAGAGGATAAAGAGAACAAAATTCGGGAAGAGGCTTTACATATCAGTGAATCCCCTGAAAAATCCGCTCATTCTTTGAATAGGTTAACAATTTTATGATTAGTCAATCTCGTATATATAGAGTATAATTTTGAGCTTGATGTCAAGTAAATAACAGCATATCTTTATACTATCCTCTACTTTAGATCGGAAGACGCTGGAAGAAGCGCTCTAAGTGATATTCCTTTTGAAATTGTTGGCGATGCGGAAGCAGATATTAGTATTGATGAAAAAAGCCCAGACAAACAGAATAACGTCAAAATGGAACATTTTTTACATGACATAAAAGAATTAGAAGAGGAGCAACTTCAAAAATTAAAGAGGCAGACAGAGCGTCTTGTAGCCATTTCTCCACAGAAATCTGTAAGTTTGCCAAAAGAAACGCTGTCATAAAAAACTTCACAATTTTATCACAATAGGATAAAGAGGAAAGAGTTGCTAACAATATGAAATTAAAACCTCCTCAAGTAAGTGTTATCTGAGAGAAAGAAGAAAAAAAAACGCTGTCATTGTATGTCAATTGTGTTTAAATTTCAGGCGGGTAGCAGTGACAGGTTCCTCGAAAGAACCTCAGACGTGAGTAAGCTTTGTCTTGGCAACTGTTCTCTAATCAAAATTATCTCATTTTAGAAGCAGATATCCTCTGAAGAACATACAGCAATATCAGGAGACGGACAGCAAGTCAGTTATCTATATTAATCTTTACCAAATTAACTGGATGTTATCTCGTTACAATTTGCAGTCGATTGAAATCCATCAAATGGAGCAATTAAGAATTCATCTAAAATCGATGATGATTACCGGCAATGAGGACTTTGATCCAACAACAGCGGGTAGTTCGGAAAATTTCTTGGATACAAGCTCAACTAGTCACAAGTATTTCATTACTTTTACCTGTTTGCTTAAGTTAATCTACTTGAAAATTCAGTACAAGTTTAGAATCAGATGTAATAAAGTTGGCAAACGAGATATCAAATCAAAGGCATCCGGCCCCTTCGAATGCTCTGTTGGAAAATTATGAAAAAGAAAAATTCAGAAGAAAAAGGTGCGAAAAAGAAATTCAAGACCTTCATGGAAAAGTAAACTCTTCTAATTTAAATTTAATATTGGCTATTCATTCTTGTTCTTTTTTTTTTTAAAAAAAAAACAAAACAGTTAGTAGAAACTCAGCAGCAACTGTTCGTTCTTATTTCAACTGAAAATAAGAAAGATGGAATAATTGAGGAACTTGATAAAAGTTTAGCCAAAGTTGTCGATGGCTGGAAAAAGAAACAAGCCGAAAAGCAAGTAAAGATCGATATGCTGACAAGAGAGAAAAAAGATCTGATAGGAAAAATAAAAGAATTACAAGAGGTATGCATTATTAAAATTGTAACATATATCATAACTTTATCAATTTATAAATTAATTATCTCCCTCATTCTCCTTTAGATTAAAAATACGAAGGAAAATCATATTGAAAGTTTAATGAAGAACTTATCTGATGAAGAGAGGAATAGCTCGGAGAAGGAGCATAACTACGTATTAAAAATAAATGACTTAATGACCAAGAATGAAGAAATGAAAAAGAGTCTTAAGACATTTGAACAGCAATTAGAATCTCTTAGCGTAGAATTAGAAACCGCTGGAAGAGAGAAGGAAATGATGCAAAGGGAATTCATTCAAGTATGTACTAAAATGTTGAAATTATTTCTTCTTTCATGTCTTTTCCGCAGGAGAGAGAAACATTTGAGGAGAAAGAAGAAGAATACTTACAAAAAATCGAAGAAATAAGTGATAAACACGTTACTTGCATGCAGCAAGCCCAGGTTTGATTATATAAAATTCATTTAAATAAGTAAAGAGTAATATTTCACCTTATAAACTTTTGATAGCAAGATAAAGATAAGATAGAATCTTATTTAACTGAAATCAAAGAAGAATATTGCAAAGCTAAAAAAGATCTGACATACTCCACATCTAAAGCCGATGAACTGGAAAGAATTAAAGAGCAATTGTCAATTCAAATTCAAATTTTACAAACCAGAACCGAAACTGAAAAGAGAGCTCTAAAAGCTGAACTAGAAGCTGATCATGAACAAAAATTAGTCAAGGCATTAGAAGAGCAAAGGAGTAAGTTCTCTTCCGAACAACAAAACTTTAGAGAGCGACTGAGAATGCAAATAGATGATCTTAATAAAAGATATAATGAAAATATGGAAATGATGATGAAAAAGTATAATGAAGATATTGAGAAGAAAGAGGATAAAATTAAAAATATAAAAGATGAATTGGCAGAAAAGTTGAACGCTTCTCAAGAAAGAGTTGACCAGCTAGAAGTTGAGAAAAGTCAACTGGAAAAGAAAATGAACGATATGTCAAGAAGACTGCAACTCATTGTTAAAGCTAACTATGAAGAAGTAATGAAAGTGCTAAATAACGAGCAGTTAGCTATTATTTCGCCATCTTCTTCATTAAAGGAGTCACAAAATTTAAAAATTTCCTCAACTCTTCTATCAAACATGGAACCTGATGTAGAAAAATCCATTTCTGATCGTCTAAAAGTAAAAAATCCAAATTACGTTAGGGAAAACTTCTTTCAAGAATCTGGTGCAATTGCTGAAAGTAACGAACAGGATACCATAAAAAATTATTTCAATTTATTTCCATCAGTTTCGTCGAATTTAGAAGAGCACACGACAGAGTTCTCTCAGAAAAATGTTCAAGAAGATACGGTATACTCTCATGAAGAAGCTTCAGTTACAACTGAGAGTTCGTCTTTCCCAGCAAATCTTCCTAAACAAAAATCGGAAACTGAAACGGAGAAGTTGGCTGATTTAGAATTTCAAGCAACTTTTGATAGAATTAAAATTCTTACGGGAGAAAACTTGGAAAAAAAAAATGATACAAAAACTCCTATCATTAGCGAAGAAAAAACCTCTTTTACACAGAATTGTCAATTAAAACTCTCAAATATCTCAAACGATGAACAAGAAAGCGAGAATCTGCACATTTCAAAACCAGCAGTCTCTACGTCTACATCATTCTCTTCTTTCGAGGTACCCGCAGAATCTGTAGACTATCTCTTTAATTCGTCGACATTCAAACATTATCTGAAAGAGAAAGAAAAAGCTGAAAATTTTGAATTTTACCAACCTGAATTTGCTGACAGTTCGATGATTAGCCTCTCTGATAAAGAATCTAATCAACCTATCATGTCTTCCGACCAAAGACAGTTAGAATTAAAGCAATATATAGGAATGGTAAATTATTAATATGAAATAAATATATTTTTTGTATCTAATGAATCATCATTTTGTTTTTAGCTTCTTCAAAGACCTAACTTAACGAATGAGAATGTTTCACAAACCCCAGGGGCTCCACAATCGCCAAAACCTCAACAAATAAAACTTAAAAATCTTGTAGAAGAGTATGAAAATCAAGATAAGCCTGATCTGACTGATATTTTAGATAGTTGTAATGTTGGGAATGACTCTTCGAAAGAGTCTAAAAGTGGCGAAGATAACAGGTAAGATATTGTTACAAATTTGGAATTTCAATACTAATTCTTTTTTTTAAATAATCTAGTAAATCAAAAAAGAAAGAAAAAGTTCTCCAACAGAATGTTTTAAAAGCTAGAAAGCCAAATTTTTCTCAAAAATCAAAAATTAAAAATCAACCAACAGGAAACGGACGAAAGCAACAAGATCAGAACAAAAAAGTTGAAGCGCCTACCAAGAAAGGAAGCGTTTGGAAGTAGTAGATACTAATACTATGTGTTCTTATATCTTTTTTTAGGTGACGTCAATGTAAATTTTATTTTAATTTGTCATTAATAAAAGTTCACTCAACTAGTTGTGTTCATAAATTTAACTTTGTAAAAGAAGGAAAAAGATCAGTCAAAGGTTTATAGCATGAATAGAGTTTCTTTGTTGTAAAAGGTTCTTTTTTAAAAGAAGACATTGTCTGTAGTTGAAGATTGATTTCCTTAATAAATATGTATATGTTTTATAAAATTGCTTATTAAATCTTCTTGAAGAGTAAATATTAAACATGAAATAAATACTGATGAAAAATGAAATGTTTATCTTAAGGATAATACATTGTATTCCCTTCAATAGGCTTTTGACTTTTCAACAACGATCAATCGAACTCTGTGTACGTGCGGTTGCCCGACAAAATTTATTGACGTTCATATTTGAGCAATAGATATGCCGCTCGACAGTGTCTTAGTAGAATGTCCGAACAAAAACTCAGGATGTAAGGTTAAATTAAAGACAAAAGATGTTGAATATCATGAGGAAAACTGTGATTTTAGGTAGATATTACGTTTGTATGTTTTGTTTGTGTAATAACAAATAGTATTTTATATCAGCACTATTGAATGTGAGGGTTGTCACAAAGAGTTAAAAAGGAAAGACTTGCGTCAACACGAAAAGATAAAGAGGTGTGTTGAATCAAAACTAAAGAGAGAGTTGATAAAGGCAACCAAAGGGTTTAATGATGAAAATAAGCAACATATATTAAAAATTAAAATGGATAGTGCTAAGAGAACTGGTAGACAACTACGCCAATATCACAATAGATTACATGAGAAAATTGGATTCAGTCCTAGAGTTCCTAGTGCAACTCGTCGCAGTCCTCAATTCTTTTTCTCTACAATATGTAAACGTTGCAACCGTTCTTTCAACGACACTACTAATCATTCATCCGCATGTACTTGGCACGAAGGGGTAAACACTAGAATATCAGTATTAATCACTTAATTTTAAAGCTATTTTTATTCTTACGCAGCCAATAGTAAGTATTATACAACAAGTTATATTTAAAATTTTTGTAAAATCTTTAATTAACAGCTTCCGGTCTTTGGAGTAAGTTTAAATGATTTTTAAAAAAGACTCCTTTCTTTAATATATTATAGCTATATAAGGTTTTCTTTATCTTTTAAAAAACATTATTTACTACAATTGTCGTCTACATTCTTACAATGGACTAACAGGGGGTAATTAAAACCGGTCTATTTGTGTCAATGGTAAATTATTTAAACCTTCTTTCAGACTTGTCAAGCCTGTGGAAGATTAGATTATCAAATAGGTTGTATAGCCGGTGAGCACTCCTGATTTGGCAGTACTTAGAATAAATAGGGCGTTCATTTTAAACTAATTGGACAAACGTTAAGGTTGGTTAAAAAGAGAAACTATATATATATAGATATTTGTATTAAACTAATATAAAGGTAATTTTAGTTATGAAGTATCAAAATTGAATTCAACTGAAGCATAAATTCAATAAAAAGTTTTTAACAATCATTAAACTCTTGTTTTTTAGTTAAAACTTATAACTTTTCAAATTTTAACACCCAGGCATAAGGATTAGGTAGAAGGGGAAGAGGAATATTTGGCATTTCGATTGATATACCTCCTCCTAAACCTCTCTTTTGCCAATGTAAAGTTTTTTGATAACCTAACATTGTCACCTGTGTTTCTTGAATGGGTTGAATCATTCCTAATTGTAGGTTATTTGTTTTAGGCCATTTTAATAAAATACCATAAACGGTCTTTTCTTTTGCGGTAAACCAAATGTCATTTGATACTGTGTCATTTGCTCTTTTCCATGGTTGAGTATTGTAGATTGCCTCTCCGTTTACTTTTAACCAAGCACCCATCTGTCTCAGTCTTTCCTCATATATGGGTGATATTTTTCCATCTTTTCTCGGACCTATATTCATTAAAAGGTTTCCGTTACAACTGACAGTCATAGCTAAGGTTTTTATCAATTCCTCAATTGTTAAATATTGCGATAAATCAGCTTCTCTTCTATAACCAAATGAATTCTTATCGATATTTAAAGCATTTTCAAAACGATGTTTTTGAATAACCCCTATAAATGTAACACTAACATATCAATTTCAAAGAAATATAGCATTCCACACATACCTGGATTGTAACGATCTTGACAAGTAAAAACTCCCCCATGTTGGCACATTGTACCAACTCCCCACCTATCATTGGTTACAACCGAATCTCTTACAGGACTGTCATTGTATAACCAGGCTATAAATTTTTTACTTTCCCAATAGTCCGGTCCAGTTCCCCAATCCCCATCGGACCAAACTACTTCTGGCTTATAAGTATTTACCAATTCATACAGTTCGGGCATGGTCTTTGATTTTACAAAATAATTAGTTTTAAATTTATTTGCTTGATCCATAAGATATAAAGGATGAAACCATTCGTAAAGGGAATGATATAAGCCGAAGTGGATATTTGTTTTACGCCTTATCGAATCAGCCAGCATCCCCACTAGGTCTTTGTTTGGTCCAACAGCCTTAGAATTCCAATTGAAAGATACATTAGACGGCCAATTTGTATAACCTTCGTGATGCTTAGCCGTCAGAACAACATATCTAATACAGAAGGAACGTGTCTATAAAATAATAATAGCATCGAAAGAGAAAACACAAACTTGGCGCCGGAAGATTCGAATAATTCGGCCCATTCATCAGGATTATAAAATTCAGTGGTGAAATCCCTAGCAAAGTCTGCATACGTCCAACCTGGCTTATAGTTTTTTTCTACAAACTGGACATAGTTAGCTTTCTTGTCACCCTGCCAATGCTGCCAAAACCATTCTGATCCGTAGGCAGGTACTGAAAATACTCCCCAATGTATAAAAATTCCAAATTTTGCGTCATTATACCATTGAGGAAGTGGTCGTTTATCTAAGGACTCCCATTCGGGTAAGTATTTATGAACATCTACCGGTTGTAACGATATTAATAAAAAAAATATCAGAAGGCGGCTGTAAACAGCAGTCATATTTAACATCACGTGATCTCGAATCACGTGATATTGGACAATTTCAAATTATCGAGAAGCAAGAACAAGTTATGATCTTTGTATTTTAAAACCCTATCAATGAATGTGTTTTTGGCAGGATACTGCTAGTATAAAAGTAATTATATAAATATTCAAATACGATATACATATTTAAATATACACATTTACATATATATATATATATATATATATATATGTAGTATCTTCTTATTCTGCTTATAGGGCTGGATCCCGAAATCTGAGCGCTTGTTCCCTAACTTTTCTTTCGTATTCAACTTTGTTTTGACTGAAATATAAATTTCGTAATAATTATATAAAGTAGAAAAGAAACGTTATTCTTACCAGTAAGTTGTGTAAGCCTCAGCTTGAGCAGGGTCTTTGATATTGGGCTCATTCAAGAGTTCCTGTATGCCCAGAAGAATTTGTTTAATTGTTACAGATGGTCTCCAATCTTTTTCTTCATCTAGTAGAGATAAACAAACAGTTCCTGAAGGGTAGACATTCGGGTGAAAAAGAGGTGGTTCAAATTTGCATTTTGGTGGTGATGATGGATAATCATCTTTAAATAACATTCGTAATTTAAATAATCCATTCTCCCACGGTGTTGTCTTTTTACCCGGGATCGCACATTCCCAATTCATGAGATTCAAAGTCCCATCAGTATTTTTAGTTGGACGTGCTACAAAACCCTAAAAATAAGACGGTTTGACATCTTCAGTTCAGAATTGATTTAATAAAACTCACAAATGGATGGTCTTTCCTCCATGCCTTTCTTTCTTCAGCTAGACGACCAAGTGCTATACCCGACATATTTAGGATGGAATTCAACTATGTATGTTTGAAAAAATGAAGCTAAATTAGAAACCACGCTTTTAATCCGTACAGAACCGCCAAAAGTGTGTCAGAAATGGGATCCCCTATTTAACCACTCAGCCTAACTACAGCTTTAAAAATACGACATATTATATAGTTCCTTACTCAATGCGATTTTTTTTTAACCATGGTTATTGAGAACACTAGAAATTAAAAACATACCAAATGTAACTTTGTTTTGATGCAAATAATTGTCTTTAATTAAGCTTTACGGCTCTTTTAAAGATATTAATACGCTATAATTTTGACACAAGTGGCAAATATCTTCAAATTTGGCACATTTCGTCTGCTAGCCAAGAACTCAATTTCCAACTAAGCTTGCAGTCCTCTGTCAACAATCGCTATATGACATCAGGAACGATTGTAAAAATTAAGAATACTATTTAAAGAATTCACTGTCCGTTTTGGAATATTTATTTTACTACTTTGATTTATTTACGAAATTTTGTAAAACCGGAAGTAAACAGTCGCTGGACCGAAAGTATGGGGAACCTCTTCGGCAAAAAAAAAGAAAAATCTAGGATAACCGAACAAGACAGAGCTGTTCTCGTATGTACCTATTGACCAATTAACGAAACTCTAACTTATAGATATTGACAGCAATTAAAACAACAAAGAGACAGACTACACCAATACCAGAAGAAAATTGAAACTCAAATTGAAGATGATAGGAAATGTGCAAAACAACTACTTGCAGATAATAAAAAAGAGTAAGCTCCTTTTTGGTTAGTAAAATAAAAGTCTTATCTTATGTTTGATTAGGAAAGCGAAATCATTATTACGCAAGAAAAAGTTTCAAGAAAACCTTTTAACGAAAACCGATGGTCAGTTGGAAAATATCGAGCAAATGGTACAAGACATCGAGTTCGCACAGATCGAAGAAAAAGTACTGCAAGGTTTGAAGAGTGGCAATGAAGCATTAAACAAGATGCATAAATTAATGTCTTTGGAAAATGTCGAGAAAATAATGGATGATACCAGAGAAGCTGTGGAATATCAACGGGAAATTGATGACCTGCTTGCGGGAGGATTAACTTCTCAAGATGAAGAAGACGTTGAAGCTGAATTAGAAGATATTTTGAATATGGCAGAACAAAATGACCAGAGTATAAACTTGCCTGAAGTCCCCACAGATAAGTTAGTGAACCCTTCAAAGAAAGAAGTAAAAGAGAAAACAGTTTTAGTTGCGTCCTGAAACGTATATTTTTATATATATTGTATTGCTTTAAAAAATATAACAAATACAACTTTTCTTTTTAAAATAGTCTTTAGTCAGTAAATTGTAAGGAATTTAATACATGCGATCAATAAAAACTAGAGACTATTTATCACAAAAGGTGGCGCTGGAGTGACAGTTGAAGTAAATAGGAGTGGTTAGCCGCTGAGAACGTTATCCGAAACTTCTTTGTCGACTCTGAGGAGTGTAAATAATACAATTATATCGGATTTTCATCATGAATTGCAGGTAACGACATGCTGATGAAAATTATTTTGAATGACATTAGATGATTTAAAAATCGTGTTCTCTCTGTATAAAACACGGAGACGATCGATAACGACGGTTGGAGAGAAATGTATATGTTTTTGCGCAATATTTCGCGTTGGACGTCTGCCAAATTGAGCAGCGTCGAACAAAGGATTTGAAGATAGACAGCTTTGGATGTATTTAAATAATTTCAGAGTAATATGGAAGGAGGAGAACTAAACTATTTTGATCGATTTCGATTGGCGGCGGCTGCTGCAGCCGGCACTAGTCCCGTCTTGTCGGCCGATTACCTTGCGGCACTCACACAACAAGAAATTATCTACAACCAACCGAATTTGGCTGCTGCAGCTGCTCTGAGAACTCAACCTCCAATTTCTCCATTTCCACTCCTACCTTCACATTTCTCCCCTACTCCTGCCGACCCTTACAAAAGTCTTTTTGAGAATAGGACAACTCCAAGCTCTTTTTGGCCTCCTTTCGTTGGTACGTATTATACTATTGTTGGTTCTGTCTGAAATAAATCATTGCTCTTCTCAGGTTCAACAAGTTGGCATCCACTTGTTAAAGGTGATTTTTCCTCAGCTTAAAACATATATATATATAAAATTGATTTTCGGAAGCGATAAGATTTTACCTCGTGCTTTTATTATCTGGATATTCCAGATGCAGCTACCCCTTCACCTGTTCCATTTTTTCCACCCACTACCTCTGTGACATCGATATATTCCAAGGATAAAAAAGTGAAAACGACAAGCACTTTTACACCTCCTCCACCTCCTTTAGAATCATCATCTAATGATTCAAAGATACCTGTTGGAATAGCTATTGGACGCCAGCGGCGGGCAGGAAGATCGAAACAAGGTAGATACCAGAATAACTCACCTAAAACGTTATCGAGTGGCATGTTTATTGACTTAATAGCATTACTTTATTATTTGCTCTTGAATCTATAGACGAAGCGACCAACAGCAGACAAGATTTGTATAGAACCGCAGAAGAATTAGAAACGACATCAAGGTACAATTTACACCACACAATTGTTTTTTTTATTCCGTTGAATTTTAGGATGTTTACTCGATAAGATAGATATAAACGAGTAGCATATATTCGTCACATTCGTGAATTAGATAAGCTAAAAACGTCTAGCCTATTCAATTTTTTGTGTAAACCTTGTATAGAAGGAGAATAATTAAACGCGTTCATGTGAAACAGCTCGTTGTCGAAGGAAAGAGAGGATAGAAAAGTTCGTGCAAAGGGTATGTATATGCAATGTTGTAAATAATTTAGCGCTTATGTTTGAAAGCATTGCGACATGCTGTTAATTACTCATCGCCCATACCTATAACGCTTTTTAACATATTCTTTCCTATTATTCTAAATGCAAGATCTATAAGCGAGAACTCAGTGACCTCGCCCTAGTTGATTATGTACTGTACATCTGTCCGACGCTTTATTTTATCCAGTTCGGCTGCTTCTACACCAATATATCTAATATTGTCAACATAGCAGATGTTATTACCAATTCGCTTTATTTCTTAACGCAGATCGCTCGCCCACGCCGTCAGTAGTCAACAAAGACGGTAGCATTTTACCGCCTAATAATAATAGCGCTGACGCTATACCATTATTACCACCCCCTGGTTTCAAAATTTCTACTGACCCAATAAATGGCCAGTTATTCCTCGTTCCGGGTAAGTAATTCCAATGACCTTATTTTGGTTGTTTATCCGCTTATTCTGATTATCACTTGTTCATTATTCTTTCACAGAAAAGTGCACAGCTGTTCGTCAAAACATCGTCCCTGCCTCCTTTCTCTCTACACAGTCGACGTTGGTTATTTCAAGGCATGTTACTGATTCTGCAGTAAATACAGAAGCTCCAACTTACATCAGTCGATCAACATCGCCTACTGTCACTTTACGATCGCAAGATGCACAAACTCAAACAGAAGAGCTACTTTCACCTAATGAAGATCCTGATATTCTATTGGCTGCTCGTAGCCTATTTATGATGGCTCGCCCATACAAATCCCTCGATTTATTAGCGGATGTAGCTGAAAGGGCTTGTTCCCCTCATGCTCAAACGGCTGTTGATTCAAGATACAATGGGGCACCCGTTGATCTAGTTCAACAACTTCCAAGCACAGTTCCACAACCACAATCCAATAATAAAGGTTTGTTTTCTTCTTTCGTTAAAAGCTTTAATGATGAAAATAATGGGGCTTTTATTATTATTAAATACATTTTATTTCCTTATATAGAAGGATCAATGGTTGAAGCGATGGAAGTAGATTGCAAACTAAGAATGATGGAAATACAAAAGGTTTACAAGGAGAAGATGAGAGAATTAAATAAATTGACTAAATCAGAAAAATTCAAAGAGTAAGGCGATTTCTCTACTTACATTTAAAATATCTTTATTTTGATTATTTTAACAGTCGAGAACCGCGTTCATTCAATCGACCAAAGAAGCGAACCTCAACAACTATAAAGAAAACAGCCTGCAATAAACCTCCACCTGCTAAAGTGGAAGTTGTGGATAATTCAACATCACCTATTCGTAAATTTAATACATCAGCAGTGGGAAATATAACATTGTTGAATAAGAATACTACACCAAACAAAGTGAACGACATTGCCTCGCGTAAGTGACACTATCTACTTCATTCTATTTTTATTATACCTATCTACATTATATACTGTATATATTAGTTTTTAATTCACAATCTATAATAGCTGTATCGGCATTGTCAAAGAAAAGAACTCCTTCAAAAGCTGAAAAAAAAGTTAAACCTGCAGAGTTTGAGAACTTAACTCCTTCTGAACCAAATAACTTGAGCGTCGCTGCCATAACAAGCGCAGCTTTAAAATCAAAAACGTCTAAAAGAAAGCTTTGTGACGGTATATAGTCTTTATCTTTTAATCTAATCCAGATAACAAAATAAAGCTTGTTATTTTTTTTCGAAAAAAGACAATGGTGAGTTGGGGAGCGAAGGCTATGTGAAAAGAAGATTATCTGAAGAGGATAGAGATGCTGTGAAAACACCTGTGAAATCTCAATCGCAACCAAATATTAAAATACCTGACCAAATAATTAAGCCGACATCAAATACTGAGGATTTAACCAAAGAAGTTAAAAAGGAAGCAACTCCATGTTCTTCTAGCAGTTCATCCTCCGAGGATTCGTCCTCAGATACCGACAGCGACTCAAGCTCATCTTCATCCGGCACTTCAAGCTCATCTGAAGAAGACGATGAACCGCTATCGCTTCTTGTCCCACGATGCATTACACCCAGTATGAAGTGTACTATTTATATTGAAATATCTTATTATCGCATTTCTTTATTCGCAGAGCCTAGGGAAGTAACAATAAAGGCGGAAGAACTGCGGGATGGTCTCCGTGTTCTCTTTTTCACAGACGGTCTCTTTTATGAGGGAAGAATAAAAGAAATACAAGCACCTGACGTTTATGGTGTTATTGTTGATAGAGAACGAGGTGGTAAACCGCATATTATGTCTCAAGAAGAGACTTTGCATGATGCTATTTTTGATATTGAGCCCGGTTCTGTTCGTTATTTACCGATTGGGAGAAGAGTTTGTGCTTACTGGAGTCAGCAGTTTTCGTAAGGATTAATTTAAATATCATTATCATTTATTGTTTATTATAAATTTCCTATAGATGCCTCTATCCTGGAAAAATTATTAATAATGATATATCAACCAAATCGCATGTTCAGGTTGAATTCGACGATGGCGATTCTGGTAAAATACCTATAGATCATATTAGATTACTGCCTCATAACTGGCCAGAATCCAAGTCGAAGCCTAACCCTCTTCACGTTCTTCGAAACCGAACAAGGCGAAGAATGTCGTCGTCTGAAGCTTTGCAAGAGGCTATAAGAGCATCTCTATCGCCATCGTTGCAAGTTAACCAAAAAGTTAAACGAACAACGAAGACAACTGCAGAATCTGAATCTAACTTCAAATCAGATGAAGACGAAAAGTATGATGCAAACAGTCGCAATCCGAACAAAGCATTGTCTAAAACTGCTAAAAAAGAGAATATACAAACGATAAAGGAAGAGAGTAAAGATTCAAATGCTAATCATCTACCACGAGATTTGAATGACTCAGCCTTAAATCGGGATACCAATGATCAAAAGAATAGTGCTAAGGAGAGCAACGAGATTAAAACTGATATCGCTGAAGATTCAGTTAAACCTAAATCTCACTTAACGGATAATGCAAAAGATTCAAAAAAAGATAATAACTGTAATAAAACTAAGGATAACACAGAAGGTGGAAAAACTACAAAAGACACTAAAGCAACGACAGATTCCACAGAACCAATAAAAGTTGAGCGACCGCCGGCAGAAGATACTGAGTGCTCTAATAATGGTGAAGATGGCTTAATTAAACGAAAGAGGTTGCCATCTGGTGGATTTAGTTCTCGGAAACGTCAGTAATCGTTTAAGTACATTATAAAATCTGTTCACAATTTATTGTTCCTTTATAGCTAAAAGGAGACAATGGAAATGGGAGGGCAGAAGTTTGAAAAAAACCGCAGTTAAAGGTCGCGGTCGAAAAGAATTTTATAAAAGCGTGACCCGTGGTTCTGAAACCCTCTCTGTAAGTGTTATATTTAGCAAAGCGACGAGTAATAATAGCTAATGTTATAGATTGGCGATTGCGCTGTATTTTTATCACCTGGGCGCCCATTGCCTTATGTTGGTCGAATCGAATCTTTATGGGAAAACTGTTGGGGAACTGGACAAATGATGGTGAAAGTTAAATGGTTTTATCATCCAGAGGAGACCAAATATGCTAAAAAAATTGCTGTGCTCAAGGTAGGTTATCTGTGTTCTTTTTTGTAGATGATGTTTAGCCTTTTAAACAATCAATAGGGAGCTCTGTTTGAAAGTAAACATGAAGATGAAAATGATGTTCAAACAATATCTCATCGTTGTCAAGTTTTATCTCATTCTTTATTTGCCACTCAATCAGAGGGGCGAACTCGTCAGAACGAGCATGAAAATAATGTTTTCTTCTACGGTGGAACCTATGATCCAATTACCACTAACATTAGTCTTGAAAAAGACGTTATCAACGCTTATAATCTGCATATTTAGCACTAATCACGCTGGTGTGTATGCTTGAAAGTTTCCGATTTTATGCACACTGCCTTTGTATGAGTTGAACTTGAAAGTTTTGTGTCTTTCTATTTTCCTTATAGATGCGTTGTTAAACGCACATTTGAGTGTGACCATTGTAGATATTTGAATGAAAAATCTGTGTGATGCTTTCTTAAAAAGTCTAGTCGATCTTTTTTCTTTGAAATGAATTGTGCCGTGAATGAATTAATGATAAATGTAATCTGCAATTTTTGACTTGTACAGTTCTCCGAAATTGTGTTTTATGAAGAAGAGAACACTTGAAAATATAGTGTACAAACGTATGCTAAATGACAATTGAAAATATATAATATACTATAAATATACATATATTCATGTATAAATATGAAAAAAGTATATATAAATATGTGTATAGATATTAGTATATATACGGTTATAATATTCTACATGCATATATGTATATTTTAATGCTGTATATTCGTCTACGAAAGTATATACAGTATTCATATATCTATTGACTGGAGGTTAATATTTAATAGACGCACTTGAGAAATTGATTCCTTTGTGTTTTAGCAAATTTTTTTCGAATTATATTTAACGAATTTTAACATTTTATTTACGTCGGAATACTACATCTCGACTATTTTCTACAGTTTGAATTTCCATTCGAACTGGTTGTTTAAGTAGAAAACTAAGTAATTCTTCAGTATATCCTTTCAAAAAATAAATTTTATTAGGTGGCACTGCTTGTCGAACAATTCCAGCTATTATTATTAAATTGGCCCTTCGCTTTATGATAGTTTCGGAAACGAAGAGTCGATGCCATGTTCCTGCGATGAATTTCCTAATTAACACATCTTGAACAGATATTTCTCCAGTATCTTTTGATTCGCCATAAAGGCCTGTACTATTCCACGAATTCCACGTTTTTTTCACTCCGATTGTATGAGGTTTCATTGCTTCTTCATAAGTAAGTCTTTTCGATCTATCAGGAGAGCTTTTCGGTACACCTGATTTAATATTATTGAAGGAAACTGAGGAAGAAGATATAGTCCGAACATACTGAAACGATTGACGACATACACAAAAGCCGCATAGACTGGGCTTTATCCTGGAGACGAACGCCATGTTTTTCGTTCTTAAGTTCAGTAACCGGTTATTGTCGGTCACATAGGTTCCTGGTTGAAAAATATTAAATAATGATTTTAAAAATTCTTTATAACCCTTGTGTCAATAAAAGCCCCCACAATTCTGAAATAATTGTTAGATTATGCTATTGAAAGGAACCGATATTTACACTTACTGCGTTGTATCGATTATGCAAATGAAGCAGCGGATGTAGGCCGACATCTTTGAGATCTGCTCGGCGCGGCAGTAAAGAGGTTGATATTCATTCGACAACATGGCTGACAAGTCGAATTCGGAGGATCGAACAAATGGACAAACAGGGGGCGTGCAAAGAAAAGGAGCTCTACGACAGAAGAATGTTCATGAAGTGAAAAATCACAAATTTGTTGCTCGTTTCTTCAAGCAGCCGACCTTCTGTAGCCATTGTAAAGACTTTATTTGGTCAGTAACTGTACATTTTGCGTATCTCTTCTTCAATCTATCTTTATATATTCTTCTACAGGGGCTTTGGTAAACAAGGATTTCAATGTAAAGGTATAGATATGTTGCAGTTTCTCTTAGAAACCTAACCCCGCCCACCCCTTATGTAGACGTCAGTAGACGTCCTTTTAAGCCTATACAACATTAACTTCTGGATCATTTTTTCGCTTTGCGGTGTAACTGAAAATGCTTGTTGCTTGTTCTCCTATCACCTGTATCATATTGCGTTATTAGACATCTCCCAGAATCAGATAAATATATTTGATCTCGCAACATTAGCGGAAGGCGGAACGAACGCATTTAGTCTACAACACCGCCATCAATATATAATCCCGACTCTTTTTTTCGTGTATAGACTGCCTTTTCGCCGTCCATAAAAGATGTCATGAACTAGTCTATTTCCATTGCCCTGGGGCCGATAAAAACGGTCTAACAAGTCATGTAGGTTGACATTTTAATTTTTAACTGTTCGGCTAACTGTTAGCTTAAGAGCACAGCTGTATTGCTTTCATTGTCTTAAATGTTTATTTTTTTCCCTAAATTCCTATACTTACAAAACAAAATGGGATACTTTAGAGCCGTTGGCTGATTAATCACTAACTGAGAGAACGTTTTTTAAATCAGTTTGCAGCTTCGTCGTTCACAAACGTTGTCACGAATTCGTTACCTTCCAATGTCCTGGAATTGACAAAGGCCCGGATTCCGATGTGAGTGGTTTTTATATATATATACATTATATAAGTTTTGAGGAAAAAAATTGAAACTTTCAAGCTAGTGGATACTTGAGACGCTTGTGTAGAAAAAAAGCACACACGTTTCCGCCATTATCATTTAGACTATCGCATTTCACTGATTCGCACGAATGCAGGGGAAAACAAAAAGCTGATAACTATACAAAGTAAAACGTGACGTCATGTCGATACCTAGAGATCGGTTGTTCACGTACAAGTAGTTTTCAGCAAGATGCAATCTGCAATAAAGAATATAAGATGAATTAAATGCATCATTTTCATTGGCTTATATGCACTGAAAATATTTTGAGTTTACTGTTAATTCGTGCACTAATCATGCGCTTTTTGGCTTTTATTCGGATTTTATGTTTGAACATTATTGACATTTTATTAGAATTTTAAAAATTCCGACTGGGAAACTTTCTGAAGTTATCTGTAAAACTGTCATAGATTAAATCGACAGTTGTCAATTTCAAAAGCAAATTATGTACCGGCATCGTGAGTTTAGGGCGTGACAACTGCTAATCCACGCAATCTAAATATATAGCCATATCGATCGATGCTCGATTGCTTAGCGGTCTAAGTAGGAAAATTTATTTACTTTTAATTGATTTTTTTTTTGACAAGAACCATAATATTTATTAGTCGAATATGTTCTGATCACGCTCAACAGATAATTTAATAAGACGCTTCTGCTTTTGTCTCCCTAACTCAATAACGTTAACGAGACCATGTTCGCAAGTATAAACTTTGTGCTTGAAAACATCTACTTGTACAAAATATACTGTATATTTATTATATATATATATTTATATTTATATATTTATATAGCCGAAGTTTACATTGTTCTATATTTTGTAGACACTGTTGGTCTGCTGCATTCGCACGGCTTGGCATATAGTCGCGCTTAAAAAAAAATACTTATATTCGCATTAAAATCTTTCGAGTAAATTGCCGTTTATAACCTTTTTTGTTTTAGGCAACCAATGCTCATAAGTTCAAAGCTCATACATATGGTTCGCCTACTTTTTGCGACCATTGTGGATCTTTACTTTATGGACTCATTCATCAAGGACTTAAGTGCGATTGTAAGTAAAAAAAAATGCTACAAACAATGCCGATCTCACAAAGGAAAAAATAGAAGTATTTTATTACGTTTGTCCCTGTTTTTAAACAGCTTGTGACATGAATGTACATAAAAAATGTGAAAAGAACGTACCGAAACTATGCGGAGTTGATCATACTGAAAGACGAGGAAGGATTTATTTGACTATTACGTACAAGAACAATACCATCCACGTTTCCGGTATTTTATTATGATTAAATTATGTAGTAGGCTTAATTCACATGAAATTATATCCAATTACACATTTGTCTTGCTTTTCTTTTTTCTATGAATAGTTAAAGAAGCCAAAAATTTAATTCCTATGGACCCGAACGGATTAGCGGATCCTTATGTAAAACTCAAGTTAATGCCCGATTCTGGAAAGACGAAGCAGAAAACGAAAACAATCAAAGCTTGCCTTAATCCTGTCTGGAACGAGTCATTTGATTTGTATGTTTATTTATATCTATTCCATAGCTATATATTTGAATCTCATTCTAGCCCCATTGGAAATGAAGATCATGCCAAACGCTTGTCCGTAGGTAAATGTCGATCTATTGTACTTTTATTTATATCTCCTGTCCGCCTTTCTGACATATTAATTTTCTATTTTAGAAATATGGGACTGGGACAGAACCTCCAGAAACGATTTCATGGGGTCATTATCGTTCGGCGTTACAGAATTAATTAAGGTGTGATAGGATATTTTTTTTTATTATATCCTCTAAATAATCAAAGACTATCTAAACTCTGAATAGAACGAAGCGGATGGATGGTATAAATTATTAAATCAGGAAGAGGGAGAGTATTATGCAGTTCCTTGTCCTGACGAGAATGAAGAAAGTGAACAAGAAATGGAAAAGATTAAGGTATTGTTAAATATTTAAAGATAAATTTATTCGCAATCTAAACCGTTGTGCGTGGTATAGAAAATGAAGTCAATTCAAGATAAAACACCTGCACCTAATTCAATCAAAGACGTTCAAACGCGACAAGACGTTATTCGAGCCACCGACTTTAGTTTTCTTATGGTTCTCGGGAAGGGAAGCTTCGGTAAAGTGATGCTAGCCGAAAGGAAAGGGACAGACGAATTGTACGCTATAAAAATTCTCAAAAAAGATGTAATTATTCAAGATGATGATGTTGAATGTGTAATGATAGAAAAACGAGTATTGGCTATGCAGGGAAAACCACCTTTTTTGGTTCAATTGCATTCCTGTTTTCAAACTATGGTAAAATCAATTGTTAATTTTATAATAGAATTATTAAATTTAATTATTAAATGTTAAAAAATTTAAGGATCGCTTATATTTCGTAATGGAGTACGTAAATGGTGGAGATTTGATGTATAGAATACAGCAGGAGGGAAAATTTAAAGAACCTATTGCTGTATTTTACTCAGCAGAAATTGCAATTGGCTTATTTTATTTACATTCTAAAGGGGTCGTCTATCGGTATTGTCTTTGATTTTAAACCAAAAAAAGCATTTTATTCTTATTTGCTTATTATATTATTATAGTGATTTAAAGTTAGATAACGTAATGCTGGATGCTGAGGGTCATATTAAAATTGCCGATTTTGGTATGTGCAAAGAAGGTATACATGGCGACAAGACGACGAGAACGTTTTGTGGAACGCCAGATTATATTGCGCCTGAGGCGAGTGACGTGACCTTTTAGTAATTTCATAATCTACGTTTCTTATTTTTCCTTACAGATTGTTCTATATCAACCATACGGAAAATCGGTAGATTGGTGGGCCTATGGCGTTCTTTTATATGAAATGCTTGCTGGTCAACCCCCTTTCGACGGGGAAGACGAAGAAGAGCTATTTACCTCCATAACAGATCATAACGTATCCTATCCAAAGGCCCTTTCTAAGGAAGCTGTCTCTATTTGTAAAGGGGTATATGATTTCTTTATTTTGTTTGTTTAACAAATATAAACGAGTCTTATTTTCAGCTGCTAACGAAAAATCCTGCAAAGCGATTAGGTTGTTCTACTTGCGGAGAACGCGACATTAAAGATCACGCTTTCTTTAGACGGATCGATTGGGATAAGATCGAAAACAAAGAAATACAACCTCCCTATAAGCCAAAAATCGTAAGTTATGAAAAAAATTATTTATATGCTTTCTACTAATGAATAGAGTAGTCTCACTTAGGCGCTCACTCGATCTTTTTTCATTTTTTTATTGTTAATTATGTATATTTGGTATTACTTATTCCATTTCATCTGCCGTGTCTTTGCCATAATTTATCAGTTATCGCTTGCGTAATTTTTTTTATCGATGCTTTTTTTATACTTTTTTTTGTTTGTATGTTTGTTTTTAACTGGAGATTTTTGTTTTTGTCTTCTAAAATCTCTCTACCGTTTTTTTTATTTTTTTTAACATCATTCCTCTGCCTCTTCTCTAATTTTGGAAATTTTTAATTGAAGCAAGTAGAAACATTTGCTTTCTAATTTTCGCAAAAAAAATCTCCTTACAACAACTGTATCCTATTCATTCTCTTTATTTTTAATTTTGGTATATTTCAGACGGATGGGAGAAAAGCTGAAAATTTCGACCGTTTTTTTACAAAAACCACTTTGAATATGACACCAGTAGATAGTACATTGCTAATGAATTTTGGCGATGAAATTTTTGAAGGATTCTCTCTCGTTAATCATTCGTTTGTTACGACAACCTAAAAAAGATTTAACAATCTTAATAATTGAACTTCGTTTGTGATTACAGTTCTCTCTCTCTCTCTCTCTCTTTCTTTTTTTTTTAAAGAATAGATTTGTTTCTTTATTTATTTGTCTAATATTTTTTTTACTTGGAAAAAAATTGAGTTAAAAAGTCTTTATTGGCAAACATATATAATTCCATCTAATTTCTAGCGTGTGTTTGCTTCCCTATAGTAAAAAATTGTTCGGAAATTAAAGCGGTATGCACGTATGATGGGAATACAAATTTAATCTGACCTTTTTTTCTTACACTACCGTTTACCGAACGAATTCTGTATTTAATCCAACTTAGGGTGGCGAATGTTTTAACGTTTTACCCATTTGATAATTGTTCATTTTTCTTTACAGAAAAGTCGGAAAGATGTGTCGAATTTCGACCGAGAGTTCACCAGTGAAGCGGCCAAATTAACACCAACCGACAAACTATTCATAATGAATCTTGATCAAACGGAATTCTCCGGATTTTCATACGCTAATCCAGAATTCATTGTTCACGTTTAAAAATTTAGATTTCACCAGCTTTATGTTGTATACGTTCTTAGGCCTACGTCACCCCAGTTCGCTCTTCCGCTGAACAATGGGTCTTTTTTTACATTTCACGCTTTCTCTACTTTTCTTCTGCTCAAAGTACAAATTGAAACTGCAAACGTAATTGAGTGTATCTTTTTTTTTCTCTTAAATTCCGTGCCACAAGAGTTTATTGTACATATTTTCACTATAAATGGGGCTAAAGAGAACTTGCAAATTGTAGATTTAAAAATTTTGTATCATGTATCTATATTGTAGGCCGAATTAAGAGTAAGATATTTTTTTAAATATGCACTGTGCACCACTCATAACTTAGAAGTTAATTAAATTGCGTGAAGGAATATAACATGCACTATTAGCGTTAAAAAGTTTATATATCTTTCTATAACTTTCCTTTCTATTATATTAAATATCTCTATATTATTCATTAATTCGTAAAAATCTGATATGAAATAAAATTGTTGCATCGTTTCACTAATAATACTTATTTATTTTATTTACCTTCTGTGGAGGATAACGCGGTCTCCGCAGATGACGCTAGCATTTTACCCTTCTAAACTAGCTTGTAAAATCTATTAAATGGAGAAAAAACCGTGCTCAAATTTTAACTAATCATATACACTAATCGTATATGGAGGTGGAGTGAGTTACGAATAAATCGGCTGAAATGTAGAGCATAGATTATGTTGGTTTCACTATAAAAACTGCTATATTAATCTCATATAGTTTAAAACTAGATGGTAATCGTTACCTAGTTTTAAAAGATTACTTATAGTATATGAGACTTTTTTATTGATATTAAATTTCGATCACAATTATGCCTATCTACATATATAAGCACTAATCCGCAACTCACTCTGGCAGATAAATAGGAGAAAAAGCAAGTTATTAAGGAAACAAAAAAAGAAAACTAATTAATTGATTAATCGCTACAGCTACACATAGACTTGATGAAAATGGGACAAAAAAAAAACTTAACGATGACAAAAGATTTTTATTCTAGACGCCTAGACGCTGGCAAAAAGTTAAAACGAATAGTATGTTATTCGATTTAATTTTAATAAAATATATATAGTTCCCCTTCTAGGATTAAAATACCTTAGTAACAATTATTTATAACAAATGGCATCTTTTGTTTTTTATTAGACAATGGAAAGAAAGAAAATAGCCGTATAGACTATTGAATATCATATTCCTTAAATAAATCAACTATGTATGTAACATATCTACCTTAAAACTTTCAATTAATATAGCAAGCGCAGATAATTAAAAATTGTTTCCCAGACAGCAATATCATCTTTCTCATTAAAATGTCTCTTAATATACAAGCCAAAAGATGATGGTAGATGTTTCAACATATATAATATTTTCCTCGGTAATAAGTTTTCTACAGAATCGTCTATAAATATATATATATATATATATAGATATATATATATAATCTAAACAATATCCCATATAACCCCATTATGGGATTTTACAAGTAAATATTTAGTTTTTATACAAAAGCAATGTGTTACTTATTTTAATTGCCATTGAAAATTAATTAGACTATTTTCTATTATTGGTAACACAAATCCTAAATAAAATGACGCTTAACACGAAGGCTTTAATAAACGACTAATCGAGCTTTTCTTCTATTGAAAAAAAATTTCCCACATGGCTAATATTCGTTTAAAGACATTTTTTTTTATATCTATAGAAATTTCTTTATATGAGTCTTTATGTCCTATACAAATAAACTTATACAGTTGTAGGGAACTGTTACATGAATGCTACACACTTTTGCTATTCATATAAACTTAAGATATTAACAAAACGGAAACAAAATGGCATTTGATTAAGTCGAACGTGTATACAATCTTGTTTTCTTTTTCTTTTTGGTTGTTGCAAATTTTAGGCACATTCTTATGGTAATTTTAGTTTAGTTTAACTCTTATTTCGCTCCCACGCTAATGTTGACTCCCGAAGGTAAGCATTCCTGAGAGCTAGGAAAGTAATTATCACCTCTAGAAATTATTAAATTCATTGAGAAACACCTTCTTTTAGAAGAAAATGCAACTAATGCCAATTATCTGTTGGAATTTTAATCGAAACACTATTTAAAATTGTTGGGAAAGAGTTCAGAATATTGCTATTTCGATTAATTAAGTATCTTCCCGAACAATACATATATAATTAGAGTAGCTTTACCAATCTTTGATTTGGATTCTTTAGCAAGTGACGTCACACTCTTTAAATGAAGACCGTAATTCAATTTACCTTTTCGATAGGAAATTTACGTAAGTGGGTACTTGAATATTTATCTTCAAATTTCAATTACTTAGAGCAGAATGACCTAACAATCAAACTCAAATTTGTAGAATGTTTTTATAAATCAAGAGGGAGAAAAATTTTAAGAAGGATTATCCGAAGAGATAAATACGTTTTTTTTTCTTTCCCCGTCGATGGATTCTAATATCTAGATAATTTAATCCTGTCTTTATTCAATCTCGTAAACATATTACTTATGGAAGACAACACTAGTAGACAGGCAACGATACTCTTTGCCTTGGACCAATATAAGGTTAAGTTAAAAGGATCTAATAATAAATTGAGCTGAAAAATACTTTAAATTTCAAATTATTATTAAACTAATATTATAAATATATCTATCTAAAATAGGCAACAAACAGCTAAGAATTCTTATACGCTCTTCTTTGAATATATAAAGCAGTCCAATTTCATTATTATCAACGAAATAAATAGGAAATTGTATATAGTAACAAAATTGACGTATATACAGTATATATAAAGTATACTGTATAAGCTTATGTTGTTTTTTTTTTACGTAGATATCTTTCAATATCTTCTATATCAATGTTCTTATTGAATATTACCATTTCTTTCTTTTTATAAACCACCTTTTAAAACATTTATTGTATACGTTTGTTTTTATCTCTCTTCTTCTTCTTCTTCTCTTCTGTTCATAAAAAAAACTTATTCTATTTTAAATAAAAGTAAATCTTTTTTTATAGCTGATGAGTTAGTTATTTTTTTTAAAAAAACAAAAAAGAAAATGAATATTTTCTACGATGATTAGATTATTTCTTTAAAGACAAATAATTTCGTTTCTCTTTGCGTTCCCTTTTCACCGTCGACTTTATAAATCCTACGAAAAAAAAAAAAAACACCTTTTGCGAACGTTTACCAATTACCCTTATAAGAAGGGTATTCCCCTTTCATTACATTCCCTACGGTATTGAAATCTACTGGAAACATTGGCAGCGCTAAACTTTGATTTTTAGCTCCACGGAATTTCAAAACCTGGCTGAAAACTAGTACTTTTCTCAGTAGATCGAGTATCAAAAAAAAATGTATACGTCATTCATATACATACTTTGAACTTTGAACTATATGATTCTTGTTTTACTGTGCCTGAAAATTGTTTGAATCTTTTAAAGGACTTGGAATTATTTATTTTATGTCTTTACTACGGTTGCTTTATCATTGTGAAGAGTCCTAAATTGACTAGCAGGTCAATTAAATTATCTAATTTAGAAATAAATCAATGCTCCTGTTTCGGATGATTGAGAAAAGAAAATTGTATTTATTTAAGATTTTAAAAGAGAATACTTTTTAATAATTAGATTAATCATAGAACTCGTTTTAGTAACCTTTGTAATACGAGTAGTAGCTTTTCTTTCAGAGTGGGATTTTGTATTTATACAGAGAATGCATTCCCACCTAAGGAGAGATGTGATATAGCTAATTGACACATCAGGCATAATCTGAATAAAACCTATTTATAAAATATAATAGCATGCTCTATCGCCAGAATAAATTGAAGCTTCTCATGAGAATAGAAGATTAATTGATTTAACAATTGATGCGAGAAAGACTGTTGTGGATACAATAAACCCTAATGACAAGGTGAATATCACAATATTAAAAATAAACCTGACTTATTTATACAAGAATTGATAAAATACAAGTGAGGACTGTAAATTGATAACAGTATAGATTCTGCTATTACAAAATATAAAAAACATCGCTAAGATTAAGGGAATATAATGATATTTTTCCTTGTAATTCATAATTTATTTACAGAATTACTCTTGTTTTTATTATTAGCCCAACTTAAAAACTAGATCTAATCTATAAAATTTCTAATTGAAATATTATTTTTAGAATATCCACAGGCCTAACTAAACTATATAGTAGATGATAATCCATTAAAAATGAATTTTGAGAACATAGAAACGCTCTACAAAGTATTTTGACACGGAACTTTCCTTATACTAAGCAATTCTCAATGGAATAAGGAAAATAACAAAATTTCCTCTAGTAGTATGTGATTTTATTTTGTAGGCAAATGATTTTCATGTAGAAAATCTTAAATAACTAATATTTAATAATCATTGAATATTGTTTCTGTTTCTTTTTTATATCATCAATATAAAGTATCATCTTACGCGTAAATATAAACGAAAAAAACTATAGAGAGTGGATTGTAACGAATTCATATATTACTATAAGAATTGAAGACAAATTTTCCTAATTAGATTACTTGTAGAGTTATAAAAATTTCAGTTCTACATTTATCTATTAGATACTTTGATTAATAGCCTCATTTGCGTTTAATGTTATCTGTACAAAAAAGAAAAAATAGTATTTAGTTAAGATAAGATCATTTTTTTTTCACCATTTTTCACCATTTTAACAACGTCTATTAAAAAGTCAACAACATTCTGTTGATCAACAAATATCGTAAAAAAAAGGAAAGTTTCTTTAAGGATTAGTAAAATATTTAAGCCTATTTAGATCGGGGTTATTACATCTTATTTATAATGTTAGAATGAAAATGTTGATTGTATACAATATACACATATTAATGTTAACCTATATGCCAATTTCATGTTTTAATACAGGGATAATTATAGGAAATTTCTGATGAGCTCACATAAAAGTCCAACTGTGGAATGTCTTTCTTTTCACAACACGTGACAATCATACACATCAATGTGAACTAATTTCGAATGGAAAACGAAGAGTCTTAGGATTTTATTCATATAATATATATATATATATAGCATGATAGATAAAACTCATTACTCTTTAGACGACTGAATTGTTTAAAATTAGACAATAGTCATAAATTTATAAGTTATATCTAATGTAGTCTAGCATTTTCGACTCTCAATAAAACATATTCAAAGTAATGTGGGTAGGCTTTGGTTCGTTATTCATTTTTTGTAATCGCATTCCATATTGAAAGGTGCAATCGTGCAGGGGATTTCAATACATATAATATAGGGCGTTGTTTTTTGGAACAGACTGTTTCGTTTAACTTTTACACTAGTTTAATTTTAGAAATTGTGTTTATTTATTTTATAATTAAACATTGAATAATAAAAAGATAACAAAAGCTAAGGAAAGAATCGGATTGTGAAAAGAGAACCCCCCGTCTCTAGATCCGGATAGGGCGCCTACACAGCAAGTTCCACCATGTACACTCAGCCACCTTTTGATACAACGTTTCGTCTTTAGTTTATCGTTTTAGCCGAATTAGACAGAATTCTAGATAAAAAATGGCAACCGTGATTGAACAATTAAAGCAACTTCATGCCTCTCAGGAGAACTCCTGGCCAAGACCAATGAAGAAATCCCAGCTTAATAAAATATTCTCGCCTGAATCTCCTAATAACAGCGATAGTGAAACCTTAAGGAAACAAAGGGGTGGAAAGTTTGTCATGCAGTCAGCTTATAAAACGTTAGCCATCAAAGATAAAACAACGACTCCCGCAGCTGCGAAGGACATATTTAAGAATCAATTGGGAGAGACTCTTAAAAGAAATTATGGAGCAATGCAGCAAGCAGCTATAGAAAGAAGTGAGAAGGGAAGTGGTATGCCGTTCTCTCCTAAAAAACGCGAGAGTACAACTGGAACAGAAATCAGCACCCAAACAAGTTTAGAAGACCAGATATCAAATAAAAATTTGCTCCCTTCCGCTTCAACTTCATCTTTTCCCATCCCAGCATCACCACCAGCATCACCGCCAGCTCCACCGCCGCCTCCTCCGCCACCTCCACCTCTTCCTTCTTCCGCATCTACTCACTCCACTTATTCTACTCCACCTATAATTTTAAGGCAAACGCCAACGGCTAATAGGAAAATAAGTGGAACAACTCAGCAAAAGGTGGATAGTAGAAACTCTCGGATAGATATAGAGAAATCAAAGGCTATCCTTGAAAATACCCTGGGTATGAGAAGTATGCAACCGACATGGATTCATAGACGTTCATCTGCAAATCAGAATACAGGTGTAGATTCTTCTGAGAAACCTCTCTACTCTCAAACATCACCTATAATTACACCAAGGACTGATGATACGGAAGTAGGATTTTCTCGGTCAAGACCTTCCAGCACAAGATCAACGAAGACGTACTTATCTCAACTTAGCGGTGTAGAAGGTTCCTACGATGTCAATAAAGACGAAGATTCTTCACCTTCATCGTCGGAAAATGAAGCTGAAGACTCGAAACGAAATAGCGAAATAAGACACTTTAGAGTAGATGAGAAAATAACTAAAATGGATATGTCAAAGAGGGAATCTCAAGGCTCTACAACTTCAAGGAATATCAGGAGAGTGTCTACCGATGGAGGGAGTCATATGAGCAACTCACGGAAGAATTCAACTCAATCGGGACAATCCGGAAATGTAGGAGATTTCGCGAATGCTTATTCAAGTAATGTATCATTACCTACTAGAAGGAGTTCAGTGAAATCGATTGAGCATCAAAAATCTGATGCTGCTCTTTCGAGACGAAGTTCTACCAACTCCGCTGCGTTGGCCCATAGAAATAGTGTCACTTCAAAGACTTCCAAATCGGATTTATCAAGATTATCGAATATGTCCGACAAACACGAAACAAGTCCCAGAGACTCTTTTCGAGATCAAAATTCTCGTATCTCGAAGACATCAAGCAACTTCGATTACAGCAGAAGTTCGACTAACTTAGACAATAAAGCTAGAAATTCCAATGCAAAACGTTCATCTGTGGTCTCATCAAATGATAACTCATCACTAAGAGAAACACAAAAATCTCCTCCTGCAAGAAATTCAGTAGCTTCAAACGCAAGAAGCTCAGCATCTTTATCATTTGCATCTGATTTTGGAATAGGGGAAATGATAAAGACATCATCTCTTTCTGCAGGACGAGAAGGAGATAGAGATAGCCATATGTCCACTTCTTCGGTCAGCGCGAAGCCCGCTCCTGATACTATAGAAAGGCGTACAAGTGAAACCATATCAAGCAAAAGAAACTCAGCAACATCTGAGAGCTGGGCTGCAGGGGAACGAACGTACGGCAGACAATTAAATCAATCCGCTGATCGATTCTCGGACTCAGATTCTTCCACTATAAAAGGAGATCTCTCCAGAACAAATAGCAGACAGTCACAAGCGTCTAGTAGAATTTCAATGGATCCTATGCCTGGTTATCATCATTCATCCAACAGCAGAAATAACTCTTTTAAAAGTGTAACTGATTCTTTTGGTGCCAAAGACGATTTGGAGAGGAAGATATCGTATCGTTCGTCGTCCGCTGGCGATCGATCATCTAGACAATCTTCCGCAAGCCCTATAAGAAGTATGTCACCTAGACAGCCAATAGTTATAAGCCGAACCATGAGTCCTCGACCGTTTGCAGACAAGCCTGCTTCTTCAACTCTTCAGAAGATCTTATCTACATCCTCCACCACTGAAATTAAAACGTATAAACCTGAAACAGAACATAATCCCGTACCTTCTTCCGTTTATCATCCAATTATAAGTGCAAAAGCTGAGGTCGCTTCATTAACTGAGCGCTCAAAATCTAATAGCGAATCTCATAGATCTTCTTCATCCTACCTCCCAAATAGTTTATCCTCTTTGGAAGAACGTAAAGCTCCCTCTAATTTTTCATCGACCAACTCAATTGACAGAATGCTGCGTGAGAGGGAGAGTCAAGTAAGACAATCGAAGTATGAAGAAATTGCAAATCCGTTTTTATCGTCTACTTCTTCTGTTGAAAGAATCGAAGAAGCGTCCAGAAGAACATCTAGAATTTCCGAGAAGGATGAAATAGATTCCTCTTCGACAAGTTTATCGAAATCTAGAGTTTCACATAGATTAGATGATTTTAAACCTCCTAACTTGAACCTTTCTAATAATAGAGTTCAAAGGTCGGAAAGTGGAAGGCGATTTGAGTCGAAAACTTCAGAGACTCAACCAAATTTTTCAAATTCAACTCTTAAAAAGAAATTAATAAGAAAATTAACTGAAGATGATATCAATTTTAGGACGGAAGCAGTCAAATTACTTGAACAATACAAAAGTGCTCCTACAACACCAACTCACACTTTAGAAAGACCAAAAGAAAAGTTATCTTCCCCTCGGGAAAATGTTAGGCGAAGCAGTAGTGTAAACGACCTTGATGCCCTGAAAAAATCTATTGAGGCAGAGCGGTTAATTGAAAAAGGAAGAGTTAAAGATCTAGTAAAAGGAAAATTTTTAAACCTAAAGCTAACTGGAGGGCTATCTAATCCTGAACTTTTTAAGACGAAAGAATCAGATGATGCGCCTCGTATTCGTAAGAAATGGCTTGTCGAAGGCATCGACATTCCAGCCACCAGTGACGAAGCTTTGGCTCCATTTTTACCCTCTAGACCTATAAATCCTTTTA